TGTCTGTGGATTTGTGTGTGTCGAACAAACGGAAGAAAACATTGTGTGTGTGTGTGTGTGTGTGTGTGTGTGTGTGTGTGTGTCTGTGTGTGTCTGTGTGAGTTTGTTTAAGTATCAAACAAGAGTTTCAAAGTGGCAGTCGAGACACACGGATAGTTTTTCCAAGATTCTTAGCAAGATTTCCAGATCAGCAATCTACTCATCGCATTAGGGTTAGAACTTTGTTGAATAAGTTTCTTCACAACAAAATGTTTACACAAATAATGTACACACAGTTGAGGACTTGAAAGAAGCAACTATAATTACAAGTCAAGAAAAAACAACAGGCACGTTGCAGACGGTATCTGACAATATGAGGAGAGTTACCATCCTGAATCTAAAGTGCCACCTGAACAGTCAGACTTGTGTAGGGTGATAATCACACTGAGATGGAAATGCAGAGACTGGCCAGTAGGTGCCACGGAGGTGGAAATTCGGCAATTAATTCAAGGTAATGCTTGCTCAGAGGATTTGATTATTTACACAGACGGTTCAGTGTCAAGAGGCAATAGGAGTGCTTGGTGTTTCTTAGCAAAAGTTAATGGTCGACGTGACGTTTGGTGCAGGAGAGCCTAGCGTATGATACCACAACATCCAGCTAAAAATGGAGGTGGAGGCGGTCACTGTAGCTTTCCGCTGGTTAGAGAACACGACATAGGCATACACACATATCGTGATTGTAACTGACTTAAGAATGCATGCTGAGGAAGGTCAGGACAAGCATGCTTCGTGCAGAGTGGCATGCTTCACTGCGGAGGACACGGGTGAGAAGTGTTATCTGGATTTTTTCACCGGGATACGCCTGTGTGTTGGGAAATGACCAGGAGACTGGCTGGCTGGCTCTGCTCAACTTTGTGGAATACTGATGCAAGAAAGGCAGACGTGGTTAGTGCCTTGTGGGAAAGCGTGTACAGTTCGGAGGAGCAGATGGATCACCACAGGCTGGGGAGATTGCTGTAGTGAGGAGTGACGAGAGGTTCTAGCAGATGCTCGAGGCTCAGAGGAAAGGCAAGACAGAGGTTTAATCAGAATGACACTGGCACCACTGGTATCGAAACTCTTCACTGGCTGCTGAGGATGGGGACGAAGCGCTTATGGGGATGCCATGAGTGCTGTAATGTCGGCTCTTGAATCAACTCAACTCAACTTAACTCTTTACTTATCTAAACTATCTCTATTTATTGTCTTTCTGAGCTTAATGCTGTAAAGCTTCGCAGGCACGGCTAATGCTCGGTTTCCGAGAGAGTGCGCGCTCGTTAACTAGTTGCATTGTTGTATTGTTAAGTTTCAGCCCGTTGTTAACTCTCTCTGTATTTCGGCGCCTATCCTATACATCACAATTATAGCATACACATAAAACAAATAGTTGATAAAAAATACTACTACATGATGAGTGCCATACAAGTATTTTGTGTGACTATACGACTAACGTATTTGTCCTTCTAATGTTTATTTATTTTAGAATGTATGGCACCTTTCCGTCTTTCCAGACGATAGTGTTATGTTGCGCTATTAGGAGGCATGCCACTCACAGTCCATGGCGATGACGTGTGTGACTAGCAAGACCCGTACACGTTAAGAAAAGTCTTCCACAATTATAGCATGAGATTTCAGAACTATTGTTGTCAACAAGGGTGTTTAGTCTGTTTCTTCTCAAACGCTCAACTCTCATCCTTTCTGCAATTATTTCTTCCTTCCTTCTCATTCCCATCCTGATGTGCGCTCTCCACACAATACCGTCTATTGTATCCCCCCCTCCCCCCACGAGTCCACCTCAATACCTGTACCATTCATGTCCAGCTTGCACACATCTTTATATCGTAGTCGTATCGTGGTCGGCCTTGACATCTTCTGTCTTAAGTTAACTCTAGAGGATGTCCTTAGGGACTCGACCATCCTCCATTCTCCAGGTGTGATCCAGCCACCTGAGTCTTCGCAGACTAAGCATTGAGATGACTTTTGTAGTACCTGCTCTTTCCAATACCCGCAGTGTTTGTGATCTTGTCCTGCCACTTAATGGCAAGGTTTTTTCTTGGGTATTGCATGTGAAAGTTTTTTAGCCGTTTCTCCTTGTGCAAACAAGTTGACCAAGTTTCACTGCCATAAAGTAGAATGCTGAGAACACACGCCTGATAGACAAGAGTTTTTGTTTTAATCGCGAGCTTTCTGTCCTCCCAAACTCTTTTTGTTAATCTGCTCATTGTTGTTTCTGCCTTACCTATCCTGATGTTGATTTCTTGGTCCGGCGATAGTTATTCCCTGTGGACCCCAGATCGGTAAAATGGTCGACTTTCTCCAGCACACCATCAGTGTGGACTGCAGGTCTATCATTAACACCTTGTACCATAATCTTTAGAAGTATTAATAACATATTTTGTTTGCTGTTAGAGTTTATCATATAAGTTTCTGTTTTTTCTTCGTAATTAAACCTTGAAAATTAAGTAGCTATATATATATAAAAAGAAAAATAAACTTTGGCTTTTTTTCGTGTTTTGTGACCCATTTCTGATTTGATCGCTACTGTTGTAAAAATCCAGGCACAAGTCTGCGTAGAAACGAGAAGCGTCAAAATGGCGGACACACAGTAGAGCAGAAGACAAGATCGTTTTATCAGACTTTTTGCGTTGGCTGAAATATTTGAATCCCAGTAAAAAATATATATATATATTTATTGATTTCTAAAGGTGATATACGTGAGCTTAAATGTTTAAAATTCATATTAATGCTCCTTGTCTGGGATAGACATAGCCGAACTTCGAAATATCAATCCAGAGTCAGTCAGAGGGGATAAGAAGAGGATTAGATTGATTTGATTCAAGATCACCTTGAATCCAATGTTCGTAATCATCGCTAGCATCAGACATTTTGGATTTTGATGTTAAGGCTAAATATTGTTTGATCTATGTTAGGCTATCAGTTTCATATCGTGGCCTATGGTGCTCATGCTGTAGAATTAATATTTAATTTTGAAGAAAAAAGTTATTTACCATGTCCTCGTACACTTTTGACCACACTGTAATGTAATATTATTAGATGTCGTCATTGCATATTGATACCTTAGGTATCACTTTCCAACAATGAACCAAAGGATCAGGATGTGGAGGGCTCGGGCATACCTCAAAATATGTGCTGATAAGAAACACCCACTGCATCAAGCGCTTTTTAGTGAAAAGGGCGACAGACTGAAGAGGGGAAAATCGTGGCTAGGTCGGGCAGAAGATGTTATTAGGCAAATATGCAGCCTAAAACCGACATCATACCTGGTGCAGAATGGATACCTGTGCCTCAGGCGTTTATTTTGTACATTTTCCTGTATTGTCACACTCAACAGGCGATGTAAAGAGAGAATCCTGTTGCTGTTAATGCAGAGGTCAACGCTCTCATCGGTGAAAATTCAGACGAAGCAGATGCAATAATCTATACAGACGGATCCCGTTTATACGCCAAAGAAGAAGCGCATGGGCATTTACAGCTCGCTCAGCGGGTAAAACAGTCAAAGAAGCCAACGGCGCCTTCTCCATGACAACCAGCAGCATGACGATGAAGGTGATAAATGGCAGTGACGCAAGCGTTTGCCTGGCTTGAAACACAAAAATACACCCGCATATGTATACTCAGTGATTCAATGAGTATGATCCGGAGGGTTTCAGGCAGGTTTTCAGTGCGAAGACAATGGCTTGAATCATTAGCAGAAGTCCACTGTGCGTGGAGTCCACCTTTATTTTTTGTTTCCGGGACAACGCAGGCGTTGATGAAATGAAAGAGCTGACAGGTTGGCTGGATCCGCTATCACTACCGACGGTCCGGCCTATGGATCATGATGATATTATCAATGCCCTCAGAGAAATGGGAAGGATAGAGGACTTTTGGTGCAGTGAATCCACATCACTCGCCAGAATGGCAGACTTGGGAATTAAGATCGGCACAGCAAAAAACGAGACGCACACCGGACACGTCAGAAGACTTGTTAATCAACATAGAACTGGTACTATTAGCCATCGGACGTTGGGATTCATACTGAGGGGAGGATCTGAGCACCTATGGGCATGTCCGGAGTGCAATGATGATAACCCAACTAACTAACTAACTAACTAACCTTAGGTATCTCTATGCTGATAATATTTCTAGAATGGCTTTTTATATATCTCACAGTCAACAGACTACAGCCCACTACTGTGGAGTATTGGTGGAGGGGGAACTAACTTAACACATTTATTTTCATGAAGATTTCCATGCATGATTTCATGTGTATATTTTAACAGGTGGAATATTTTAAAGCAAAATTAATAATTGATTTCTCATTGATATTAATTTCTAGGTTGTATTGTTGGCCCTTAATTCTGCTTACTGTTCTTTACAACCTCTTTTACCGCTCTGGTGTCGAGACAGATTTAAGGTCCTACTTACTCTTCTCTTTTTTCTTCTGCCTTTTCCTCCCAAATGGAGCATACTCACACCAAGCTGTCTTATCCTTTGCTATTTCATGCAGCTGACCTCGTGTCTTCCTCATCTTTTGTCACTTCACTGTCTAATTCCCTTCTCTGTGTACTTTTGGTCTGCGTCTATTCCGTTGACCCTCTGAGTTCCAGTGCCAGAACGTTTTAGCTTTATTGTTATCAAGCTTTCTCAGTGTGTGTCCTATCCTGTGCCAGCATCTTTTCCTCACCTCTTTATTTACTCAAATATTTTTAGTTCTCTCACAAAGCCACAGCTGCACAAGATTGATTCTGGCAACCTTATATCTCTTTCGGTTCTGTTAATACATTTTTTTAATTGATGAGTAAATTTGTTCTCCATGTTTCAGCTTCATATAACATTACTGATTAATGCTTACTATATCAAGTATATCCATCAGCTTTTATTGTGTCTTTACCATTAGGACAGTATAATCTGCAAATCATATGTAATCGTGATGATATAAATAATTATTAATATAAGTTCGTTTTGTTCAGTAGAAAAGTATGGCCCTGCGAGGTTTAGAAGGAGCTGAGCTGAAAAAAGGGTTGCGAGAGTTGATCACAAGCTGGGAGAGCATTGTTCGAGAAGCTGGTTCATTTGAACAAGTTGAAGATACACTTCTCCACTTGGAGGAAAATGATGAAAACTTTCACAAGTAAAGTTTATTATTTTCTTTAAAGAGTTAATCTCTGTCTATCTCACTCTTGCCATTTTACCATTTTAAAGTGCTCTCTCTTCCCCCTGTCTCTTTCTCTCTCTCTTTTTCCTTCATGCTAAATCTCCTTCTCAATGTCTTTTCCTCCTTCTCTTGTGTGAATATCCCAAGTGAAGTGATGCCTGTTCTTGATTGACTGATTGATTCATTTATTCCTTCTATCCCAGCCTCTCAGTTTCCTTGTTTCCTCCTACACCTGCATGCTGACATTAGAATATTTATATTATAAGCTTACATTACTGCATTTTGTTATACACATAATGTGGCTTAAGTTAGTGCTTTAGAATTTGTTCGCACTGAGCTGTGATTCTTCCAGTGATAAATTAACTTTTCCTTTGTGTGAATTCTCAGAAGGAGTGATTCACAGTAAGCTAAGATCTGTGGACCACCATTTTCCCCAGATGTCTACCATTGATAATTTATTTTGTAAATGATCATTTATGGGAGTCGCCGTGACGTTGGCGACGAGAGGCCCGCTGCGGATTATAGGGTCATGGGTTTGCGTCGTGACAGAGCCAGACTTTTTTTCTTCTTATAAAATGACCTTGACTTCCAGGTCGACCCAGCCTTGAATGGGTACCAGGTGCAGTCCTGGGAGGTAGAGGTGGATGGCCTGATGCTGACCACATCACCCACCAAGTGTCAGTTAGTCTAAAAAATATGTCTAGCCCTATATTCCCAATACGCCTAAAGGCGTGGAAGAAGGACCTTTACTTTTTTTATAAATTTTTTTAAATCGTGAAAAAGACTGCATTGTAAAGATGAGGTGCATTTTGTTTGTTTGTTTTTGTTTGTTTGTTATTGTTGTTGTAAATCTTCTTCTTGTAAATAATCCCTTTAAATCTGTTACATGGACCACCCATTGGAGAAAACTGCTCTGAGGAATGAATTTTACTTCCCAAGTCCAGTGCTGTGACATTAAGATAGTCTGAACCCCTGATTAGGCTGTCAGTGTTAGACTTGGACATTGACTAAAAAACACATTAGAAAAACTGACTCACTGTGAAAAAAGATGTTTGAGAAAGGCTGTAAACAAAACTAGAAGAGATTAAGTAAGACACGAAGCAATTAAAGAACTGTTGCAACAACATCTGTAATTAAATTCATTGAAAAACAAAAACCTAATTGGTTTGGTCATTTCATAAGAATAAATATAATGATGCCAGCAATGAGAGCGTACATCATAAAAGTAGAAACACCAAGGGGTAGGAGATGACCACGAAGAATATGGATTGAACAAGTCCCAGATAGCTTGAGAGTCTACAACATAATGGGCAACTGAGTATACCCTAGCTGAGATACCAGTCATCTTTTTACCTGCAACATTTAGTGACACAAAGAAGAATATGGACAAAAGAAAGAAGAACTGAAGCCTTGCGTCTTTTAGTGCGAGGTTGGTGTAGATACCTTTCTACTTACCTGGTACCAAAATACTACCTTCACTAGGAATGTTGAAGAGCACTCCTCCCCATTCAGCACTCAGATGAGCGGAAAAAAGAAGAAAGGGGGGGGGAGTGGGTGTTGTGCAAAACCACTTATAGAACTTGAAATCTGTAGGGAAGTATTTTAGGAAATAATCATGCTGTGATTTAGAACAGTGCACAAAGTCTGTAATTAGGTTTGTTTGTTTGTTTTAGTATCCAGAAGCTATGAGTTGTTAACCCTTAGGCTCAGTATTATGGATATCGCAACCTTTCGGCATTGATTCCATTGTAAATACCGTAAACCTGGGAACAAATGTGACTTTTCTGACTACCCCCGGGAGTGAACCCGGACCACAAGGAGTTCGTCACCCGGTCACCGCGCAATCCGGTTTAGCCAATTACGCTAGAGAGCCGGGCCTGTAATTAGGTCAGGATTGGCAGTGTGTAGTTTTAACTAAAAGCTTTTTTAATGTCTAAAAAGTACTGTCCAACTGGTAACTGATGATCACATTGTGAACAACCTTCTTTCTTACAGCTAATTTTAACAGAGGTATCATTTTCAATAAATCCTCTTCCACATTATGTTACTGTTTCAGCTCTTTATATATAAGGAAATGTTAGAAGTGTTGCGTACATCAAATCCAGAGACAATAATGTTGAAATATAAAAAAATCATGATAAGGCAGACGTGGTTAATGCCTTGTGTGGAGAGCTTGTAAAGTTCGGAGGAGCGGATGGCCCACCCCAGTCTGGTGAGATTGATGCAGGGGGGGGAGTGATGAGAGGTTCTGACAGATGCTCAGAGGCTCAGGTTAGACGGATGTTTAATCAGAATGCTACTGGCACCATTAGTATTGGAACTCTTTGCTGGCTGCTGAAGATGGGGACGGAGCACTAATGGGCATGCCCTGAGTGCTGTGATGTCAGGTCTTGAATCAAGCTTAACTCAACTCAAAGAGCATTGAAAGCAGCAGCTGTCTGTGTTTTCACAGTTGTTAATGTAAGGTTGATGCAACAGACTCCAGTGCCCTAAAATAGTATTTGATAATAGTATGGAAATAACAGTTGTTTACTAGGTGGGTTTAAACTTTTGGCCACAACTGTAATGTAATATTATCATATCATTACTGCGCATTTGACATTATTAGGCATTAGGGTGACGATACATACCATTTTCCCCGAATAGTCCTATGTTTTCTCAGGTGTGTCCCCGCCATCCTGTCGATACTTCTAAAAATGCCAGTTGTCCCGGTTTTTAAAAATCTAGGAATTAACTCAAGAATAACCCATACACATATTGTTACACCTGTAGACCTTACTAGTTAAACCTGTAGACCTTACTAGTTTTTATAGTTTTAGATACTTTTAAAGCCTGAAATACTTTGATTTGAATTTTATTGTAGCAAGCGCAATTAAAGTGCATATAGCTTCGTTAATTTTTTTATAACAGTGGTTTAGGGTTTTAAAACCATTAATCGATCGGGTCAGTAACTTTTTCACCTCGGTAACTTAAGAAAACACTGGTACGGTTTAACTAAATAGCTTGGAATGTCCCATTTTCAGCTCAAAATATTAGTGGGATGTCCTGTTTTCAGCTCAGGGTATTATAGTCCACCTTCTAGGCATGCTCAGTCCTCAGATGCAGCCATTCCAGTAACCTCCGGATTGATAATGTTTTCTCAATGTCTTTTCGGTATCTCATAGTCAACAGTCATCAGCCCAGTACCATGGGGGAAAGGGGCTAACCACGACCGGCTACAGATGACGGGCTGTGTTGTTGGCATCACCGGCTCAGGCTAACAGTGCGTTAACGCAGCGGTTCTCAAACAAGAAATAAACTATTTTCGACAGTGGCGAGGGAAGACAACTTCAATTCTAACTTTTAAGTATCTACATGTGTTTGTTAATAATGTCACAATTTTTAGCTGACTTTTCTTGAGTATTGCTGTGGCACCCCTGGCATACGCTCACAGCACTTTAGGGTGCCTCGGCACCCAGTTTGAGAACCGCTACATTAACGCATCTTTAGCCCTACCCGGTGACATCAGCAGCGTGCCCTGTCAGCTGGAGCGGGTCATGGGCTAACACTAACACATTCAATCTCATGTTTTCCAGGCATGATTTCATCAAGACATTGAAACATAAACTGGAGGAAACACTTAGTAATTTAATTGATGAAGAGCTGGACAAATACTCAACGTCGGGGCACATCGACTCAGAGATTCATGAGACTTTAGTCAGCCAGATAATTCACACCATCACACAGTCAAAACAGTAGGTTTTCTCTTATTTTGAAATGATAAATTTTGTGTGGTTTTTTTTTTTAAATTAGTTATTAAATTTGAAGTCAAGAAGATAGACCTTGTTGTGCTGGGTTTGATCCTATGTGGCTTGGTCTGTATTCATAGAAAGGGTAAGTACCTGCCTAGAGAGCTGTGCAATGCATGAACTCTGTAGCTGCAGCGACCTTACCCAGGAATCTCTATAAAAACGGTATTAATTAATTGAACAACTTCAGATCACCACTTATAACCTGTGGTGTCTGGTTAGCTTTTTCATTCCCGAACAAACCACCATGTGTAGTGTATATTACTTATGTGCAGTAGTCAACACTATTTTTTTATGTATACGTACATCTAAAGTTTAGTTTGGTGGCAAAGTCAGTCCAGCAACACAAGTCAGCCACACTGTCCTCTGTATTTTGACCCTGCGGATGTAGTATACCTATGCTTTGGTGGTCATCATTATTGCTCCAGTCGGGCACCAGCTATGATGTTCTAAGACTGAAAGACTTAATATAAGTGATATTGCGTCAATGAGCACTCCCTCTTCAGATTTGTTTTTTGACAGATTATCTTTGCAGAACTTTGAGCATTCATCTGTAAAGATTTGGATCCTTCCTTCAGTGTAACCCTCAAGATAAAGCAACTGATGACACCTGTTCTGTGGTCATTCACTATTCTGCTGTGGCCTGCAGCTTTGTCTGGCCTCTTTTATTTAACTTTCTTATAGTTTGGCAAAGGTTGCAGAGTCACAGCCATTGCTTGATTCGTTTAATCACTCTGGGGGTTTCGTTATATCAGCTCTTCCGTAGCTCATCTGGTTTTCACTGTAGCCTCTCCAGAAAGATTTGTTCATTACTTTTATGTATGCCTGCCATGGCACAGAAATGAAATTGATTTTTGTTAGCCATTACCTTCGCAGTATTAGAAACATTTTACATTGATAGATCTACAAATAATAGAGAATATGTATTGGCAGCGAACGACAGCTATAAGAGTTAACAACTTTTTAGGCACATTTCAGTGTATAAAGAGCGACGTACGACAAGGATGTGTACTGTCACCTGATTTATTTACATTTTACAGTAAATATGTAATGAGATATTTACTTGAAATGCCCGAAATTGTGGTTGGTGGGCATAATATAAACAATTTACTTTATGCTGATGACACAGTCTTGATAGCAACAAGTCAGAAAAAGCTACAGAAAATGATAGAAATTGTTGTGGTAGAAAGTGGAAGAATGGGCCTTAGTTTGAATAATGGAAAGACAGAAGTAATAGTGGTATCAAATAAAAGAATTATTCCCAAATGTGTAATAAAAGTCAGTGGTTTTTTTTTTTTTTGGGTGGGGGAGGGGGGGGGGGGGGCAAGTACAGAAATGTAAATATCTAGGCACATGGATAACATCAGATGGAAGATGCATCATTGAGATCAGAAACAGAATAGGATAGGCAAACACTGCATTTTATAAAATGAAGAAGATCTAATGCAATATAGTATCTCTGTCATTTATGGTAAAAAAAAAAAGAATTCTTGCTTGCTAACATACTTCCAGTTTTAACATATGCCTGTAAGTCCTGGAAAATCTGTAAGCAGGCCAAACAATTTATTGAGGCCTCAGAGATGTGGTTTTACAGAAGAATGCTTAAAATTCATTTGCACAAAGCCAAAGTCCAAACAGATGAACTACCAGGACTTTCCATTAGAGCTTACGGCCGGTGAACAAAAAAGAAAGAACAAGAAGAGTTCTAAGATATTTTTATGTATAGTCCCTGTGTTGGTTTTGGGGCCCCAGTGGGGATGGGGGAAGGGAAATAGGCTCACTATCCCTAAGCAAGCATGTCCTAAAAGGTGACTAACTGAGGATTTGCTGAAATTACATGTATTGGGTCAAGAGGTGCAGATTTCATAGCCCGTAAACCACAACACAACCATCTGATAACCAAAAGCAGAAAAAGAAGGAGAAAAATAAGATGAGAACGGAAACAAATAAGAATATGATAGTGTAAAACTAGCTAACTTTGCTGCATTCATTCATTCATTCATTCATTCAGTAGCATGTCCCTCGCGGAACCTCGCTGCCATAACAACCCTCCGGAAAACCTTCCTATCCTGAGCAAGATGTCCTGCGTCTGATACACCCATCTGGAGATCATCTGCCACATCCTGCACCCATCTTCTCCTTGGCCTTCCTCTTCCTCTCTTCCCAGGCATATACCCCTCCATTATTGTTCTCTCTAGACTTCCATGACGTTTCAAGTGACCAAAATATTTCAATTTTCTTTGTTTTATTGTCTTTACTAGCCAACCCTCTTCAATATTTAGCTCTTGAAGTATGGATGCATTTGTTCTTTTCTTTACCCAAGATATTCTTAGAACCTGTCTGTAACATTTATATTCAAATGCATTTATGCGCTGTTCCGCTGTTTAGTAAGTGTCCAGGTCTCACAGGCGTATGTTGCAATGGGAAAGATGCATGCTCTTAAAAATCTGACCTTTGTAATTCTATCTGTACAATTCCATAATTTATTCAGTTGTTTTAGTCTTTGAAGAGCAATTGATAGTCGTCGTTTAATTTCTTTCATTGTGTCACCATTGTTGGTAACCAGTGACCCAAGATATTCGAAATTTTCCACCACTTCCAATCTTTCCTCATTAAGATATATTTCCTTCTCCATGGCAGTTTTGTTTGTATGCATTATCTTTGTTTTTGCTATGTTAAGAAATAAGTTATGATTTTCACTATTTCTTTGGACTTTGCTGCATTACAATAAACTAATTAATGGCTGGGTTTGGAGGCAGTTCATCCAGACAGTGCTTGCAGTAAATAACTCTCCTGGTTTGGAAGACTGAAAGCTAAAAAAAAAAAAAATAGCAGCATTACAGGTTTTAATTTTCCAAAAGTAGATCATGTGGGACATGTTTTTTTCTTTTTCAACGCAGATATGCAGACTTGAAAAAGAAGCTTCAAAAAAACATCAGTGAGGCTGTGGATGCTTTGATTGCAAACTTTGATTCAGAATTTGGTATTGGCCGAGTAACTTCTGATGTGGTGTGCTTTGATCCTCGCAAGACTCCCGATGGTCACAGACGATGAGGAGGTACAGTAATGTTGTAGCTCAGTTCATTGTTCACCAGTGAGCTCACTGTGCCTTTATTAGTTAGCTCATTTATCACCTGCAAAGGATTGATCAAATTAAACTGCTCTCCCCAAGCACTGAGATGTGTGTGTAAATGTCTATGATGACCTAACCTGACAACTTCAGATGCAGGGTTGCTTATCTTCTTCTTTTTTCACAATTACCGGCTGTCAACTGGTGAAAAGCTGTGGTTATTCGAACACTCATTGTCTTTGATCTTGATCCAGAACTTTGCAGAGTTTTTCATGCACAACCATTTTACAGATCTGTCTTATTTGTGTTTAGACTGTTGGTTCCTCGCCTCTCAGGTCATGCCGGTGTGTTGGGAAATGAGCAGGCGGATAGACTGGCCAGTTCTGCACCACTTGGTGGTGAACTGATGTATGACAAGCTGGATGTTGTGAGGGCACTTTGGGAGCGAGTGAACAGTGCAGAGAAACAGATAGATCATTACAGTCTGAGGAAAATGGCACTGCGAGGAGTTACAAGGGGATCTGGTCGACTCTCAACACTCTGGGGAGGGGCGAGACGGATATACAATCAGACTGTTACTGGTACCATCTTAATTTTAACTCTTCGCTTGCTGCTAAAGGTGGGGACATAGCATTTATGGGAGTGTCCTGAGTGCTGTAATGTCGATTCTTAATTCAACATTCACCTCTGAGGCACATGCACTCTGACTTCAAAGGAAACCTCCCTAATTAGTCACCTTTACGACATGCTCATTAGGGGGACAGTGGGTCTATTCTTGTTTTCCCCAAAATAGGGCCCTGGAACCCCCACACAGGACATACTTACTTATAAACCTTGTCCATAAGTGTAAGCCTAATGCTTGACCATCTTACATGATCACCAAAATCATGGATCAAGTTTGTGCTTGTGTTTCACCCTATTCCTTTGACAAGCCCTCCAGGTTTTCTCTCTTTTCTTCCCCTTGCTGAGTTTCCATCAATCTTGCCAGCTGTAACTAAGTTATCTAGTTTAATTCTTTTTCATAACAGACCCAAAAACAGTGAATGTCAGTGGTTAATTTCTCTTATCCACTTTACGGTTTCTATCTGCATCATTGAGGTCTTCCTCATTTGTTTCCCAACACTCATAATATACTTGTATTCTTCTCAGACAGCACATCTCCACTGCCAGCAGATATTTCTCAACCTGTCTGCTCATTGTCCATGACTCACGTGCATATAAAAATCAGTTTCTTTATTTAATTCTGTTATATCTGCGAACATTCTTTTCAAGTGTGTATAATCAAGCCATTGGAAGAAAGGTTCATTTGATCACACATTTGCTTTGTTTCTAATTCATAGAGTTTGTTGAGAATACACTGCACTCTGTGCAGAGTGGCAGGCCTGGCTTCAGAGATCCCGGGTGGTTAGCGTCCTTTGCATATTTTCTCCAGGTCATGCTGATGTGTTGGGGAATAAAATGAACCTAACAACCTTTAGAGCTCGGGGCAAATGGCTCAACCATTTAACTATGGAAATCCTCTTATTTTAAAGAATCAAAGTATTTCAACAAAACAAAAAAATACTGCATTTATTTAATGAATTATTCCACATGTAGAGCTTTAAAACATGTTCACATTTTTATAACTAGGACAGTGTCATGCTGTTCAACTCAGATGACCTCAAGAGCATCACCGACAGTCTGAGCAAGATGAAAAGTGCCAGTGTAAGTTGTTAGTCGATTGTTAACTAGATTGTCTTTGCACTGGAACCCACAAGTGCTTAGAAATACAGTCAGACTCCTCCCCTCCCCCCCTAAAAAAACCCACATGAAGCAGGGAACTAGACAGAAAAATTAAAATGAAAAAATAAGCAGAACATGGGGTGAGTAGCAAAGAATAGAATGACTTGGTTAGTTGGTAGAAAGCCTATTGGTCAGTACTTTTTCTTCTTTTTTCATTCGCTTGAAATAGATTATATCTATATCTGTAGTACTGTCTCTAGTGTTAACTTCGTTGTCCGAAGTAATTCGCTCTCTGACCCGTAAAGTGTGGCTTGCACCTGTGTTTCTCTTGGCCAAAAGTTTTGCCTTGATACGTTCTATTTAGGGCAGTAGTGTTTCTTGTGTTAACTCTTTCTTCTTCTTGTTATAGACTATGCCATGTAGGGTAAGTAGTTATGTCTACCTACAACCTTCTGTCTCATGTACTTTCTCTCATTTCTGACAGATGAACTTCCATGCCGTGATGTCAGACCATCCACCACCTTCTCCCTTGGTTTCCGTCTGCCTCTTTTCTGTCCAATCTACCAATCACATAAGGTACTTCAGTTTTCTCCTTCTCATAACATGACTGAAGAATGTAGATTGTCTCCTTCTGTTGTGAACAGTCATTTCTCTTGTTTGTTAGTGATCTTTGTAAAATGGTCATTTTTTTAAAAAAGTATTTAAAAAAAAACCCAAGTTGCAGGCCATAGTTTCTGAGGCAGAAGGTTTAAACATGTTACTGCAGAAATCCCATTTAATGAACAGCTTTTAAAAAAATTATTTTAGGGTGAATATCATACCAGAAAATTTTTAAGCTAGTCTTTCGTTTGTTGAAGAAATTTTTGTTTACAACCTTACATCAAATATTTAAGAATGTGTTAATTGTTTTTTTTTCCTGCCCTTTACCACACAACCTGTAGTATGCATACTCTGTTTCGTATTTTATTTTATCACATTCAGAACACATATAGCATATATGGAGTCAAGACTTGCACTTCTGGCCTCTCTTAACATTTGTTGTAGTTTTTCTTGGATGTCCTTTTTTTTCTTAATCCATTTGTTTTTCACTTCCTCCCCCATTTTATTTTATTTTTTTTTCAATTTGGCACCCTCATTCTCTTATAACTGTGTACATCGGTGGTTGCCCTGACACATATCTGTTCTCGTCACTTTTGTCAAATTAATCTCTTTTAATGTTTTGAAATCGATAAGATTTTAAGAATCAGTTGCCTGGGGGTTTGTAGCGAAAGCCAATGGCAAATATTTAGTGCAAGACAGCCTAGCATATGACATCACAACATCTAGCTTGAGAATGGAAGTGGGAGTGGTAACTGCAGCTTTCCGGTGGCTAGAGAATAAGATGCATACACATGTCGTAATTGTAACAGACTCTAAAAGCATGCTGAAAAAGGTGAAACAGGGATGCTTCGAGCTGAGTGACAAGCTTCATTGGGAAAGTCATGGATAGTGAGCATACTTTGGATCTTTTCTCCAGGCAATGCCGGTGTAGTGGGTGATGAACAGGCAGACCGATTGGCTGGATCTGCACCACTGGGTGGTGAATTGATACATGAATGGCAGATGTGGTCAAGGCCCTTTGGGAACAAGCAAAGGAATTAGTAGAGGAAGAAGATTATTATAGCCTGGAGAGAATGTAACCAGAGGGTCTGACCAGCTCAATACACTCAGAGAAAAGGCAAGACGGACATATAACCAGATTTTAACCGGTACCATCAGAAGATGAGGACGGAGCACACATGGGAATGCCATGAGTGCTGTGATGAAAGTTCTTGACTTGACTCAACTGAAGAATCTGTTCTGTTATTTAACACTTTAATTACCTTGCAGTTCACCATTCATTATTTAATTACTCTATATATGGTATTCTTCTGAACCGTTCTTCAGTAACATCATTACATACTGGTCCATGTGTGACTTTATTCCTTTTGTCCAATAGTTGTTATTTTAACTTTTACTTACTCAAAGATTGTTACTCAAAAGTGTACTGGCTGTGAGACTGTTAATCACAAGTACAACAACTGTGAGATAGGCAGCATTCAAATAACAGAAAAAGTCTCCTTTTTTTCATTTTCTCTGCTAGATTTTTTTTAGATAAAAAGTAGGTTTTTTACAGGTTGTGGGGTAACACACGTCCTTTGCTGAGCCACACAACATGGTTTCCACCAGAATGCCAACTGGCCAGACCTTGTGATCTTTCTGCTGCACGTAGAGAGCATGTCAGCAGCACATATTCAGATGCCTGACTACATAAGAGGTGCCTGACCACATGAGGAGGTGCTTGACCACATGAGGAGGTGTCTGACCATATGAAGAGGTGTCTGACCACATGAGGAGGTGCTTGACCACATGAGGTGTCTGACCATATGAGAAGTTTCCTGACCACATGAAGAGGTGCCTTACCACATGAGAAGTTTCCTGACCACATGAAGAGGTGCTTGACCACATGAGGAGGTGTCTGACCATAAAAGGAGGTGTCTGACCACATGAAGAGGTGCCTGACCCCATGAGGAAGTGCCTCATAATTTTATTTTCCTTAACCATATACATATTGCAGATCCTTCCTATTTCTCTTCTGTTCAGAATGGCATATTTTTCTAATATTTAAAATGGTTTCTCTTTTTGTATTAAAAATGATGTTTCTCTGTTTTGTATAGTTCATTTTCCGTAACCATGCACATATTGCAGATCTTTTTATTTTTCAGACACGAAAGGAAGCCATGCAGAAGCTGAACCAGATAGTTTCGGGTGAGATTGTTCAGAACAAGCACTGGCCACAGCTGCGCAAAAATCTGTTGGATGTCATGGCTGACCCAGATGATCAACTGTCTGTCAGTATTTTTATTAACTTTTAAAGATAATTCTTAGTTTCTGAATGAAATTATGAAATTTAAAATATGAATATTTTATCATCCTTAAAATTGTTTCTATGTCACATGTTTTGTTTTCAGTTAATACAAATATATTTAATTATAATTCTATCACCCCAAGAAGGCAAAGTCTACTCACTTCTAGTTATGATACACCATGTGAATGCAGTGTTCTGCAGTGACCTGTTCTCAGAAATCACAGTTAAATGCCATTTGTTCTGTGTGCAGCTGCATAGTGTTTAGAAGGCTCGGATGGGAATATATTAACTAAATATAGCATTTAGAGGGGTTGTCTTTTAAAGCCAATACCTTTTTTAAAGCCAGGTTGACTTACAATTTTCCGATAAGCCTCAGTGATAGAGGTTACAGGATGGGTCACCTATTACATGTTTGTTTTAAGTCCCGGGGAATGCATTCCAATTAATGCTTCACTCTGCTCTTGGTTATTGAATACTCACTACCTTTATTTCATTACTGTCAAGTGCCTTGCCAGCTGGCGTAGGCGCTCATGAATCTCCACAGATCTCAGTCTTTGGTGATCTGGATCAATTCCACTTGTGATATACCTCCATGCCACTGTCTTAAGCCATCCAGCATCATTTCTCTTGGTTTGCCTCTGCCTCTTCTACCAGTGATCTTTCTGGTCGCCACAATATTTTCTAGTGCTCCTTTTCTCATCACATGACCAAAGAACTTTGTCTCCTTCTCATTGTTGTATATAATGTCCCTTTATATATCTTTACATATTTCATAACAGGAGTTGTTGTGGTGTAGCTGCAAGACCCTTGCCTGCGGATTGGAAGGTCATGGGTTTGCTCCTTGGCGTAGCCAGACTTTATTTTTTTCAAAAATGACGTTGGCTCCCAGGTCAACCCAACCTTGAGTGGGTACTGGGTACAGTCCCGGGAAGTAAAGGCCGCCGGCATGGTGCTGACCACATTACCTATTTTGTGCTGATTATTCTATAAAATAAAGGTCCAGCCCTGTTTGCCCTATATGCCTAAAGGGGTAGAAAAGGGTCCTTTACTTTTACATATTTCATTAAAAAAATTTAAAATGAGATAAATCAATTGTTTTACAATCGGTTATTTACTTGTGTAAAGGTTTTTTTCAGAAATGTTTATCTCTTTATGACCTATTTGTTTGAGCATTTGCTGGGTGAGAGGGCTAAATTGTCAGCCTCTTTAAGCCAAAATAGTTTTTCCTTATAATTGTTTTTTAGTATTCAGGTCACTCTTCTTGTTCTTCTGTTTTCTTAATCTGCTTTGTGCCACTAGGTGTCACAGTTCAACAAACAATCTGTAGCTGAACCAGGGCATACTTGATTGCTGGTATTCTGCGATGTTGCCTAAGTCTTAGGTTGTAACCGACTCCTACAGTCCACCTTTGTCTAGGTTTTCCTATGGTTTATGATGTTTCCATTTCAGGTTGCAAGCTCTCACTAGGTTTATACAATGGACCAACATCATGGCACAAGGGTAGTAACCAATAAGTGCTCCGCTCTACTTCTAACCCGAGTCTGAGTCTGAAGAATCTCAGCACAGTGCACCGGAGAGGATCCTGAAATAGTTTAGGTTGATTTTTAACTCTAAATTTTGCCCAGGCAGTGCCGTTAGGATTCTGTTTTTGATTTCCAACTGCGAAGGGAATTTTTCATGTGCAACAATACAAACTGGCATCTGATCTCACTACCCAGAGACCAGGAGAAATTACTAGAAGTCCACGTGAAAAAATCCCAGCCTTCCCAGGCCTAAACCTAGGACCCCCAACACTCAAGGCGGACGCCATGCCTCGAGACCACTCAGCTCCCCAAAGCTCTCACTGCCAGCATCATTGGGCTCATTCTCAGTACATGGTCAAACCATTTCAGTCTTTGTTTCTCAGTTAATATAACGATGGGGGTTGTTCAGTAGTTCTAATCTCTTTATTTCAGCAGCAAACAAAGAGTTCCAGTTCTGATGGCACTAGTAAATGTCTGATTATATATCCGTCTCATCTTTCCCTTTTCATCTTTGTGTGTTGATTGTCAACCAGACCCCCTGGTAACTCCTTGCAGCGCCATTCTCCTCAGACCGTAATGATCTGTTTGTACCTCTGCACTGTTCACTTGTTGCTAAAGGGCCCTCACAATGTCTAGCTTGTCATACATCAATTCACCACCAAGTGTTGCAGAAAGGGCCAGCCAGACTATCTGCCTGCACATTTCCCAACACACCGGAATGAATAACGTGAAGAAAATATCCAAAAGATGCTAACTACCCGGGACCTCTGAAGTGAATATTGCTCTTTCCAAATAGTGTAAACGCATACAACTAGCAACATACACCCAGGCTGACATGATGTTGACCACATCATGCACCAAGTGCCAATTGGTCTGCAAAAATAACATTTAACATCATATGTCCCATGTACCACTGGTTTAAAAAAATAGGGTGTGTACTTTTCTTTCTAACCCAGTGTATTTTAAGATGTAGAAATTGGTACTTTTCTTATTTATTTGTGTTTGAACTGTGTCTTGATGTTAATTTATTTTGGTTTTGTTACAGGAATTGAGTCTGAAGTTTGTGGCTAAGTCATTTACGTGTACATCTCATCACACATACCAAGTTTACAGTTTACTCAGTAAGTCAATCAGGCAAATTGGCACGTTTTAGTTACGTGTACTGGTAGTTCTATAGCAGCTACAGCCATTTGGATGTAATGTTGTAGGCCTTCAAATATTTGAGAACAAAATATGTCTTTCTTTGTCCTAGCATTCACCGGCTGTAAACTATTGGTGGGAAGTTTTGGTTGTTCAACCACTTCTGGACTTTAGTCCTGTTCCAGAACTTGACTTTTGCATCACGTCCATATTATAGATCTGCCTTGTTTAATGCAAACTGTTGGTTCCTGTCCTGTCAGGCAGATGCACTATGACTTTGAAAGAAACACCCCAAAAAACTCGAGCTTTGTGACATGCTTGTTAGGGGGGCAGTGTGTCTATCAAGGTGAAACATTAGGGAAAATGTAAGAGAATGCTTGAGATCAAGGTGAAACATTAGGAAAAATGTAAGAGAATGCTTGAGATCAAGGTGAAACATTAGGAAAAATGTAAGAGAATGCTTGAGATCAAGGTAAAACATCAGGAAGTATGTAAGAGAATGCTTGAGATCAAGGTGAAACATCAGGAAAAATGTAAGAGAATGCTTGAGATCAGGGTGAAAACATCAGGAAGTATGTAAGCAAAGGCTTGAGATAAGTTGAAACATCAGGAAGATGTAAGCAAAGACTTCAGATAAGGTGAAACATCATAAAGAATATACGAGAGGCTTGAGATCAGAGTGAAACATCAGGAAGTATGTAAGCAAAGGCTTGAGATAAGATGAAATATCAAATCAGGAAGATGTAAGCAGAGACTTCAGATAAGGTGAAACATCATAAAGAATATACGAGAGGTTTGAGATCAGGGTGAAACATCAGGAAGAATTTAAGAAAAGGCTTGTAGAAGAAATGCACATGTCAGGGTGGATCTAAGAGAATACTTGACAACACGTTGAACATCAGGTATCCGGTCTCTGTATTGCCTTATTAAATAAAATACATTTCCCGTAGCCTAACAGTATTTGTTTTAGGTGACTCGTGCTGTGATCTCATGACTTCTTTCACTGAGGCTTACACAAAATTGACTTCAACAACAAACTATTGAGTTTGAAGAACCACACACCCCCCCCTCCCCCAGATACCTCATAAACTAGTGCGCAAGCATGAACACAGCCATAGAATTAAACAGGTCACATTTGACACATTAAGGCAAACCTTTTGGCCAGAAAGAACAACAGTGGAACGTAAACTCAATGGACTAATAAATGCGCTGAAAATGACAGTTAAATTTATACAAGAGACTAAATTGCTGATATAGACAATTTATTTCAGGCGAACAAAAGAAGATGAAGAAGAAAACAGGTCACTATAGAAAAGTCAGAAAAGTGATATTTACAGGAAATTAGCACCAACCCGAAGTATAAGTTTTGCAATTTCATGAGGCAACAGGGTTAAGACTGAAGTAATAATCACTACAAAAAAAAAAAGTATGTTTTTGTTCCATGTCTAGATAATTGTTATGACTTCTTTCTCCATTTAGTGGACTTTTTATGCAGCCAGTTTAATTCAAAGAACTTCACAATGCCTTTGGTGCAGAATGGTTTGGATTCTTCTGATAAATTCATGATCAAGTTGCTGAAAGCTGTGAGTTCATAACTTAATTATATTGTTGTTGTTTTGTGTGTCAGGGGAAGTCACTCTCATAAAAGAGAGAGAGGGGGGGGGAGGGGGTAATATAATAAAATAGATTATAAGCTTGGAACAGGAAATAAGATAAAATATGCAGAGGAAGAGTTACTGTGAAACAAAGTATGCAAGAAAAAGCCAGATTATAGGTTTTGAGGTTTTAGACAACAATTCAACATCATGGCACACGGATGTAACCCATAAGTGCTCTGTTCTTCTTCTAACTCAAATAAGTCTGAAGAAGCTCAGCACAGTATCATTCCTTACATCCTTCTTAGGACGTTATTTTTTGTTATTTGAAGCCCCACTCTGGCTTTTGCCAGGGGCCGCAATATAGGCAGGTCATCATTATGGCCAAATGTCTGAACGCGGGCGGTTTCTGGGACCTCTCCACGGTGATCCTCATCCGCATGGTGGCACTTTGTGCCATCGGGTGTTTATCGCTTGTGTGATGTCCTGGTGGGGTAGAAAGTCAGTCAGTCAGCACAGTGCACAGGCTCTGTAGCACCTGAAATACTTTGTGTAGAATTTTAACTCAAAATTTTGCCCGGGCAGTGCCACGAGGCTACTCTTTTCGATTTCCAACTGCCAAGGGATTTTTTTACATGTGCAGCAATACACATGGGCGTCCAGTTTCACTATCCAGAGACCAGGCGGAATTACTAGAAGTCCAAGTCCACGGGGAAAAAATCCCAGCCATTACCGAGGATTGTACCCGGAACCTCTAGCACTCAAGGCGGACACCATGCCTCAAGATCAAGCAGCCCCCTAGAGTCAGATTAATGTTCATCAAATCTTTATGTTTTTCTTTTCTTTCAGATTTATTTCATTCTCATTTTTCCCACCCTGAATGTCAAGAGAAGGTGTCATAGTACTAGAAAACTTGTGGAAGTCAAAATAAAATCAACCTTATACAACTTTTTAAAAATTAAACTCTTGACACGACTTCAGTTGACATCCATCCCCAGGTGGGATGCAGTATTTCATTATTTTGAAGCCCTAACAAGGCATACATTGAGGAAACTGGCAGGAAACAAGCTGATCGTTTCCAGGAATACCTCTCTGATATTGACTAGAAGACACTTAAACCAGTCCCTCTCCATTTTAATAGCTCTGACCACAGATAAAGATGATATGTTACAGCATTAAAATCTTGTTCTGGTGATCATACCATGCACCTCACTTATGAAAATAACCCCACCCTTTCTGTTGCCAGAGGCCCTAATATAACCCAATCTATGGGTTGATCAGGGTTTCTGGGACCTGTCCCTGGGCGAATCTTATCTGAACGGTGGCACTTTATGTCACCGGGTGTTTGTCACTTAGTATGATGTCCTGGTGGGTGTTGAACGTCAATCAATCTACATTACTTTGGTAGTGCTGTATGGATCAGAAATAGGGAGAATGACTAAAACAGTTTACCAATAAGCAATAAACATTCAGTAACTGATGACCACAAAGTTGAAGAACTAATATGATGTACTCCTGTATGGGTTCTGGGGCCCTATTTGGGGGGGGGGGGGGGGGGGAATGACCCACTGCCCCTTTAACAAGCATGTCATTCAAGGCAGTGAATCATTTTGTTGAAATTGGATGTTTTGGACTGAAAGTTGCAAATATGACAGCCCAGCTTTAAGGCCAACATGTCAAAATATCTATCTGGAACACATTCTACAGGAGGCTCTGAACAACGTTTTAACCATCACAAGGAGAGGTGCTTTCTCCACCAAACGTAATTCTACCAGCGATGGACCCAAATTGATTTAAACTTTGCATCCCTCACAGTGTGGTTGCTTCCAAAGTTTTCTTTTGCCATTTGGACATCCTCCGCTCTGATCTGGACACCAAGATGATCTTTAATGAGAAGCCAAGATTAGTTTATAGACGCGACTGCAACCTAAAAGACATACTTGTCAGAAGCTGACTCCCGCTGATCCACACAGCACTTCCTTTTAGGACTACTGAATGCCACTTTTATTTTATTTCATAATATTACTTTATTCTATCTCTTACCAGTATCATTTGTATATCATTACCATTTGTATTTCTATTACTCTTTTATTACTACTTTTATATTGTGTATTAACAATAGTACTTTTTATTCTTTGCGTGTATTTTTTTTTAGCTTTTGTTTATATTATTTTGTTTCATTCACTCCACATCACATTTTTTTAAAGTTGCTCACTTCACACCTTAGAGATTTGAATACTCTACTTACTGTTACCGTTGTGTAGTTCATTGCTAGTTCAAGAAAGGCCATCGAGCGAAATGTTTTGTTGTTGTTTGGTGCATATTTTTCTGCTTCCCTGTTTCATTAAGCTTTTTGGTCACATTTCACTGAGTTTCCTGAAATGATAACACAGTGTGTCAGCCACCCTTTTAAGGTGGAGTACAGAAGAAGAGGAAGAAGAATACTGTGTGATAGAACTACTGATGAAGAGAATAGAACGAACGAACGAACAAACTTTATTTTCAAAGGGTTACAAATTGGGCACGCAGGCCCGTCTGACATTCGGCCCTTCTAAGTACTCATTTTTCAGAGTACTAATACCTGTTATCAATAATGCATGTTATGGATTTTAAAAGAAATATATAATGCATACACACATCGTGTGAACGCCATCATACACACTCACACACACGTATACATACATCTACATTTTCATACAGGTGAACTCATATACAGACATACGTGATACATACACACCTGCATCTACATACATATACAAGCATACACATACACAGAAATAAATGCACAAACAGAAAACACACACACATACATTTATGGATATACATGCACACACGCATTCCATATATTCACATCTATACATGCACCCATGCATACACACATATACCATTACATGTACAGACACCAACATATGCCAAAAAACCACACATTTACACTTACATGAATACATACACCCACACACATGCATATATATATCCACACATTTATACCTAAACTCACATCTTTACACACATACATACATACCTAAATATACTTTCATATATCCACATGCATACACACACAATCACACACACATGCACACTTGCATGCTTTTATAAATACACAAACACCCACATACCTACACAGCTACATATACCTGCATACACCCACATTATACATAAATATACACACACAGATACAATCACATACTTACACATTTACATTCATACATTCTCATACATACAGACATACATAATACATACATGCACCTACATACATATACGCACGCACACATACACATGTGTACATACATAGGCTAAATCTGCATGCATACATAATACAAACATACATCAACATACAAACATAAACACACATTTACATAGACATACATGCGCACGCGCGCACACACACATGCATACATACACACATCCATACATACACTCACATACTTACAAACATACATACATACTTGCAAACACACATAAATTCACACACATACTTACACAGATACATACATACATCCACCAACATGCATACAAACACACATACGTGCATACATACACACACATAACATACATAAACACATATGCATGCATACACACATAACTAATCACACAAACAGACACCCTCATACAAACATTCACTTATATATGCCTGCATACATACATACTTGCATACATAATACAGACACACACACAATCACACTCATATACAATCACACATATATTTACAACCTACATACATAATTACACACGCATACTCACAAACCTAAAAATACAGACATATATCCACATATATACATACACACTAACAATTACACACACCCACCCACATAATACACACATATAATACATATAAGTAAGGTGATAATAAATGTGAATAGAGAGAGAGAGAGAACTGAAAAAATTTCAGCGAATCAAGAGATGAAGAAAAAACCCTAACCTTGGAAACTATTCACCTTCAGCTCATCAACCTGTGTTTTCATAGACCAGTCGGTACTCAATGAGTGACATGGTCAAAATCACTCAAGCCGACTTTTTTCCCCATGACATCCTGGTACTAATTTTTTTAGGCTGGGTCAGTTCAAGAGACCTCTAGGAGTGAAGTGTAAAGATGGCAGCACCACTTTTGACATGCACCGGAGAGGTGCAGCGTTTTATTATCCATTTTTTTAAATGAGCGACCTAAAAACATTTATTGGTTTGCATGATGATGTGCATCTGTCGGTCCGGCAAGTGTGTGAGTTTCAAAACGGCATGACATCTATGACAGACTGTTCACGGCCAGATCAGGCACACCGAGTAGGAATCCCAGAGTTGATTGCAGTCTTTCCCCCGTGTGGGTTCCGGGGCCCCATAATAGGGGAAAACAAGAATAGACCCACTGGCTCCCCAAAAGCATGTCGTAAGAGTCGACTAATTGGGGAGCTTCCTTTGAAGTCGGAGTGCATCTGCCGGAGAGGCAAGGAAACAACAGTCTGTATTCAAGAGAATTAGATCTGTAAAACTGATGCACACACAACACTCAGGTTCTAGAGCAGGACTGCAGTTCAGTAGTGGACGAACAACCAGAACTTTCCGCCAGAGTGTACAGCTGGTGAATAAGAAGAAGAAGAAGATTGCAGTTTTTGAAGGAGAACCACAGATTGACTGCGAGCGACATTGCCACACATCTTGGCATCGGTCAGGGTTCAGCCCACCAGATCATCCATGATGTGTTACAGTACTGCAAAGTGTCTGCGTGGTGGATGTCACAAAAGTTGATTCCAGAATTGAAACGACACATTGATGCATTTTCAAAAGTGCTACTTTCGAAACTTCCTACTCCATTCATACACTTGCTCTGCTGACGGGCTTGTATCACCATACTGCACCTTCATGCGCCAATAGATTTTTATAGGTTTCACCTATTCACTAATTCAGGAGCCGTGTTTGCGCAGTTGATAGGAGGCTCGCTTTCAAATCCAGCTGCGACTCTCGGTGTTTGAAACCGGGCAGTTCCCAGGGTTCACCCGACCTCTAGGAAATGGGTACCAGAGTTTACACTCTGGGGTAAATGGAGGAACGTCTCTGTAGTTATGGAGTTACGTGCTGACGGCAACACAGGCGGACAGTTTCTTATCAGCTGTCGTACTGGTGGCAGAGCACTTATGGTTTATAACCGTGTGCAATGACACTGGTCTACATCTCCCAACTTTATCTTTTTTTTTAACGTTTATTCACTAATTAAAAAATGGATAACTATTCCTGTTGCTCTTTGTTGCACGCCAGAATGGGGGCGACCATCTTTAAACTATCATTATGACATCACCTATTAAGGCGCTGGCGTTGGATAGGACACACATTGTGAAAACCTGAGAAGAATATAACTAGGATGTCTTTGCACTGGAACCCACAGGGGCAGAGAAATAAAGGAAGACCCACACACACACACACAAAAGGGAGCTAGAGAGTTAAGTTTAAAAGATGGGCAGGATATTGGAAGAGCTGCATGCGATAACGAAGGATATAATGATTTGGTGTAAGGTGGTTGAGGGCCTAAGCTCCATTTGAGGTTAGAAAAGCAGAAGAAGAAGAAGAATGACATCACCGTCTTTGTCTGCACTGTGCTTTCATAAGTTTTCAACACTCTTGATAAACATGATAGGTAACAAGACTAAAGTATGGTTATCGTCATTTGTATTTCGCTTTTAGATTTTAATTTGAAGGCCCCTCATTTATTGAAATACTAAATTTCTATAATTTTTTTGTCCTTGACAGTTTCGACTGATGAACGAATTCCAACAGGAGGCCCCAAACTATTGGGTGCGTTATCCATTAAGTTACCTGGAGGAAATTATCAAGGGTTCACTGAACCTGCTGATGCTGCAGATGACACCACAATCTCCTTCTACCAGGCTGACTCCTCTACACTTCATTGCTGTGCTGGATCCAAGAGCACAGTGGTTTACTAAATGGATGGTGAGACCTCCTCCTCTTCCTTCTTCCTCCTCCTCCTCCTTCTTCTTCTCCTCCTCCTCTTCTCCCTCATCTTTTTCTGCATTCACCCTTTGGAGTACAGTTGGAATATTGTTTTTTTTTTGCTAAGGCTGCATATTTACACATTTTGACCGAACACATCCGATTTCAGGAAACCTCTAATTCATCATCATTATCATCAGGTGCCTTGCTGACTGGCGTGGGCGATCATGCATCTCCACAATCTGTGATCTCCTGCAGCATGTATCAATTCGTGTGCTGACACACCTCCATGCCATGCAACAAGACTGTCAAGAATCTTCTCTCGTTGTCTTCCTCTATCCCTCCTTCCACAGATCTTTCCAGTGGTCACAACATGTTCCATATTCCCTCTCTCTTATTAAGTACCTTTAAAGACATGCTTGTTAATTATTTTAGTACTGAAAGTACTAAAATACTGAAAATAGTGAAAAGGCATTGGGTAATTCCCCCCCCCCCCCCCAAACCCTCCAGTGGGGTCAAATGATGATAGCCTTATATTTTTATGGAGCAGTCAGTACTTGATGAATGATGTGGTCAACACCATGCTGGCCACCTTTATTTCCCAGGGCACTGCCTGGTACCTATTTCATGATTGTTCTTTGCAATATTCTTCTTCTTCTTCTCGTTCACTGGCTGTAAACTCCGGCCGAAAGTTCTGGTTGTTCGTCCACTTCTGGACTGCAGTCCTGTTCCAGAACCTGAGTGTTTGGGTGCATCCGTTTGACAGATATGTATGCAGACTGTTGGTTCCTTGCCTCTCAGACAGAAGCACTCCGACTTCGAAGGAAGCTCCCAATTAGTCGACTCTTACGACATGCTTTTGGGTAGGCAGTGGGTCTATTCTTGTTTTTCCTATAGTAGGGCCCCGGAACCCACACGGGGGATTTGCAATATTAATTTACTGTAAATTCCTGTTTTTTGATGTGATATACATGTCCTTATAATTGTTTTTGGTCGTCAGTCTTTAGTGGGGAAGTGAGTTCTTAAAGGATATATAGAGCCAGTCATGATGTATGCAAGTGAATCATGGACAGTAGTCGGTTAGTGAGAAATAATGTGGATTTTTTTTTAAAGGCCATTTTAACAACAGTGGCATTTTAAACATATGGTTTAAGAACTCATTTTTTTAGGTGCATAGATCAGTTGGCAGTTGGTACTCGATGGTAATGTGATCCGCATAATTTCAGCCACCTTTGCTTCCCACGACCATGCGTTTACCCATTTTAAGCTGCCAGAATGAGAGCCAAGTTATTAAAAAAAATTGTAAACAAAAAATTAAATCAGGTTCAGTGCAGAAAGTCAACTAATTGAAGGGGGGGGGGGGGTTTCCTTCAAAGTCAGAGTGCATCTGCTAGAGACAAGGCACTAACAGTCTGCTAACACTTAAGCCATGTATAAGTAAATGTGCGCACAACCCTCAAATTCTGGAATAATACTAAAGTCCAGAAGTGGATGAACAACCAGAATTTTCTGCTAGAGTTTACAGCAGGGGAACGCAGAGAAGAAGTAGAAGAAGAAGAAGAAAAAGAAAAAGAATGTGGAATTTAACCTGAGACCTTTTGGCCAACATTCATGCATGAGACCATTATGCCACTATGGCTTACTTTGTGAAAGCTTCTGAGAAGTACTTCTACAGAAGAATGACAATGTTAGGAACAGATAAAAAGCAAAGAAATCTTGAAAGAAATTAGGTCACAGAGAGAATTCTTTTTCTTGGCATTCACTGGCTGTAAACTCAGACAGAAAGTTCCGGTTCTTTTTATACTTCTGGACCTTGGTCTTGTTCCAGAATTTTGTGTGCACATCAATTTTACTGATCAGATTTATTTGCATGCAGACTTTTGGTTCCTTACCTAAAAATACAACTGATTACCCACATTCTGAAGATATTGTCTAGGAAGGAATCCCACTGAAGAAGAAAACTGACCGCCACAGGTTATACCATACCCTGGGTTATGTTAACTTTTTTCTGTCCCAAAGAATCCAGTATGGGTGATTGGGTATTTAAAAAAGTCTGGAGATGTGAACCAGCGTCATTGCACATGGTTATAAACCAAAAGTACTCTGCCACCAATTAGGACAGCTGTTAAGAAACTGTCCATCTGTGCCGCTGTCCACATGAAACTCTGTAGCTACAGTGACGTTCCTCCATTTACCCCAGAGTGTTAACTCTGGTAACCATTCACTAGAGGCTGGGTAAACCCGGGGAATTGCCCAGTTTCAAACACTGGCCCTGGGCTGCAGCCACTGCTATCGACTGCACTAACGCAGCACCCTGGGTGATTGGGTAGTATTCATGTATACTCCCCATATGGGTTCCGGGGCTGCATTTTGTTGGGAAAAAAGATAACAAACCCACTGCCCCCCCCTCCCCCAACAAGCATGTTGTACAAGTCGGCTGATTAGCTGACAGTTACTGACGATCTTTCCCTAGATGAAGAATATGAATATGAAAGGCTTCAGCAATTCTGTCTAAACTAATGATAGTGTGATCAAACCAAAAATTGGTGAAGCTTATGTCCTGAACACGCTCCTTGACCTCAGTGAAATGTGGACTCTGCATGCTTCTCAAGAAAAAAAGACTGAATACTTTCCACAGGCTTTGTATGAGATGATTTTCTTGGGATATCATGACAAGACTTCTATCTCTAACAAATTTGTATTCAGAAGAGCAGGAATGCCAACAGTGTACTTTCTACCGAAGCAAAGGTGCTGGTTGGGACATGTCTCCCACATGGAGAACAGTCACATTCTAAAGGATCTCCTGTATGGTGAACTGGAAACAGGGACAAGATCAGCAGGAAGCTACACTGCACGGACATAGGCGAATACGACTTCAAAAATACAACATTAACACAGACACCTGAGAAAGATCAGCTGCAGACTGAATCCTGTGGAGGGACCAGTAAAAGCCAGTGTACCGCAGAGTGGAAACATCTAAGAGAAATATCTGCATCAGTGCAATTGAGCATCAATATTTTTATGTGGACTTTGTGGCAAAGCTTGCCCCTCCCAGGAAGGACAGAAAAAGCGCTGTAAAGACACTCTCAGGACTTCTCTCAATTCTTTTGGCACCGATACAGCGACATGGGAGGTTGCTGCACAAGACTGTTCTGGATGGCGTACCTCCCTCAGGCATGGTGCATCAGCCTGCCAGGCAGCGGAGGTTGCACAGGCAGAGAATCTGAGGCAGACTAGAAAGAACCCTACTGCTAATCTCACACTTACTGCGGCTTCCATCTGTTGTCCGCACTGTTCAAGAACTTTCCAGGCTCATACTGAACTAATCAGACACCTTCGTACTCATAATCATTGACCACTACTACTTTGGATGAAAGTGGTCTTCATCACTCGTGATGGACGAACAAAACACCCCTCCAATAATGGCCTTTACATTTGTAACAGATGCTGTTTCCAAATCCAAGGGCACAACTTCATGGTCCCCAGGAACTCTTCTTCTTCTTTACGTTCACCAGCTGTAAACTCAGGTGGAAAGTTTTGGTTGTTCGTCCACTTCTGGATTGCAGTCATGTTCCAGAACCTGAGTGTTGCATGTGCATGCGTTTTACATATCTGACTCATTTGTATGCAGACTGCTGGTTCCTTGCCCCTCAGGCATATGCACTCCGACTTTGAATAAAGCTCCCAATTAGTCGACTCTTAGGACATGCTTTTGGGCAGGCAGTGGGTCTGTGCTTGTTTCCTTTATAATAGGGCCCCAGAACCCACACGGGGATCCCAGGAACTCATGGTTACCTATCATGAGAAATACATTTATTTATGTTAAAGTCATTTTTTCCTGTTTTTACCTCCCTGCTTGTCTCTTTTATATATCTTTTATAAATTTTGTGTCTTTTCAACTTGATTCTGTTAAAATTTTAATCTTTATCCTGCTTTATTTCAGCATTGCAACTACAGTAGACAAGAACTATTAGATCGACTTCAGCAGTACAAAATCCTAGTGAGTTTGTATATCCTCAATGTAAAAAACAAGTAGTTCAGTTGGCAGAGTCTGTCATATTGGTGAGGGATGTTAGGCTGTGTTCAAAGGCAGTATAAGTGCACGGGGGTTTAGAAGCCTCTTAGTGCAGTAAAGCCTAGGATATGATACTGCAACATCTAGTCGAGAATGGAGGTGGAGACAGTCACTGCAGCCTTCTGCTGGATTGAAAACCAAATGCAGAGTGGCAAGCATCATTTCAGAGGTTCTAGGTAGTTTATATTGTTTGGATATTATCTCCAGGGTATGCTGAGGGGGGTGTGTGGTCTCGAGGCATGGTGTCCGCCTCGAGTGCTAGAGGTTCCAGGTTCAATCCCCCGTACGTGCTGAGATTTTTTCACGTGGACGGGGACTTCTAGTAATTCCCCCTGGTCTCTAGCTAGTGAGATCGGATGTCCGTGTGCATTGTTGCAAACGTAAAAAATCCCTTTACAGTTGGAAATTAAAACGAGTAGCCTAACGGAGCTGCCCGGACAAAATTTTGAGTTAAAAATCTACCCAAAGTATTTCAGGATCCTGGTTGGTGCTCCAGAGCCTGTGCACTGTGCTGAGCTTCTTCAGACTCAGACTTGAGTTAGAAGAAGAATGGATCACTTATTGTTTACACCCGTGTGCCATGATGTTGATCTGTTGTTCAAAACCTTAAACCAAATCCAGGGTATGCAGGTGTGCTGAAAAATGGACAGTCAGGCAGACTGGCTAATGCTGTGCCACTTGGTCATAAACTGTTACATGACAAGCTAGATTTCATCACAGCTCTTTGGGAAAGAGTGAACTGTGCAGAAGCACAAATAGATCATCACAGTCTGAAGAGAATGGGGCAGATGGAAATGACAAGGACAAATGACTGACACTCAGCACTCATTCAAAGCAAGGACAAAGACAGGCATATAATCATATTGCTGCTGGTACCATCATACATTAAACTCCACGCTGACTGCTGATATCAGCTGTTAAATAGACCCAACTTAGCTCATATTCTAGGTCATTACATTAGTGTCCAGTATCCTTCTCACTGCCTTTCTCAGACAACTTTTCAGAAAACTCTAAAAACTTGAAAAAATAATCCAGTAACTATTTTACTTGGGCATATTGAGAGAATGTCAGATGACAGAGAGTGAACAACTGTATACACAAGGCAGCTGAATGCTTGTAGACCATGAGGCTGACCAAGATGATGATGGAGAGAAAATGTCCAGACAGACCTACATGCTCTTGGTGTTACCAATTGGAGGGAGAAGGCCAACCAGAGAGATGAATGGGAGCAGCAATGAACCTCAAGGGCTTGGAATGCTGAAGTAGAAAAAGCAGAAGTACTATTTTACAAGGGTGGGACTATCCCAGAACTATGGAATTAAGAAAGGTAAATTCATTGCATAGCTTGGTAAAAACATTTTCTCAAAGACTCTGCAAAATTGATGATGAAGTCTGATCTGGTTATCCTGTTGAGATGGCAACATACCAATTCCTACAGTAGGTGGAAGAGATGATTAGAGGTGACAGGTGAGTAAGGGTTGACTCTGTAGCAGCTGCATTAGAGTGCTCGCATGGTTCAGCATACAACATAATGCAGTTTGAAGAAAATGTCCAGGCTGTTGATGAAGTCTGATCTGGTTATCCTGTTGAGATGGCAACATACCCATTCCTACAGTAGGTGGAAGAGATGATTAGAGGTGACAGGTGAGTAAGGGTTGACTCTGTAGCAGCTGCATTAGAGTGCTCGTATGGTTCAGCATACAACATAATGCAGTTTGAAGAAAATGTCCAGGCTGTTGATGAAGTCTGATCTGGTTATCCTGTTGAGATGGCAACACACCCATTCCTACAGTAGGTGGAAGAGATGATTAGAGGTGACAGATGAGTAAGGGTTGACTCTGTAGCAGCTGCAATAGAGTGCTCGTATGGTTCAGCATACAACATAATGCAGTTTGAAGAAAATGCCCAGGCATGCTAACTAGAGAAGTACTGTTTGTTCATAACAATGCCAGACCACATACGTTCGGTTAACGGTTAACTCTGGAGAAAATTAACCTTCTAGGGTGGGAGCTGCTGGACCATCCACCTTACAGCTCCACCTTAGCCCCTAGTGATTTCCAATTGCTTTTGGGTCCACCTTGGCAGGAGACATTTTGCAGAAGTTGAATGTGAAGTGAAAATGTGGTTTAGAAAACAGAGCACACAGTTCTATTCAGCAGGTTCTGGAGGACTAATAAAATTATGGGACAAATGCATCAATGTTGGCAGAAGTTTTATTGAAAAATGAAGGGAAAATGTATGTGTAAAAATAAACAGTTTTCAAGTTGTTATCAGCTTTAGTTTAAAAAAAAAAAAAACCTTTTGTGACTTAGTTATTGACTTCCTCTCATATAAATTTTTCATTTGTCAGGTAGAAACATCCTTGAAGTACTTTTAATAGTACTATAAACTGTTCATTTGTCAGGTGGAAACATCCTTGAAGTACTTTTAATTGTACTATAAATGTTTATTTGTCAGGTGGAAACATCCTTGAAGTACTGCACAGATTTTTCTTCACTGTGTAAACCAAGTCCTGATGAAATGCATGAAGTCACTGAATCTCTGTTCAAGACATCTTTGAGTAAATATTTTTAACATTGTTAAAATTTACACCAATTAACTGATTCTGTATGTAGCAACTAGTATTGATCTGTTAGCCATGTTTTGAAGTCCAAAATTAGATTTTGATAACTCACCCTCGCACAAAATAACCGTCTTTTTATGGACAGACCAGATGAGGACCTTATCTAGTCTCAGAACCGGGCACAATTAGCTAAAGAGCAACATTTATCATCATCATCATCATTAGGGGCCGTGCTGATAAGTATAGGCAGCCATGTTTTACCATCTCACATGATCACAAGAATCACAGATTTCAGTGTTTTTGTCTCGTGCCTTCTATGTGGCCAAGCCATCCAGGTATTTATCTCTTTACCTTCTCCTTGCTCTTTTTTCCCAACAGCAACAGCTGTCTGTCCATGAGCAACAGCTGTCTGTCCAAGACCAACAGCTATCTTTCCATGAGCAACAGCTGTCTGTCCATGAGCAACAGCTGTCTGTCCATGAGCAACAGCTGTCTGTCCATGAGCAACAGCTGTCTGTCCATGAGCAACAGCTGTCTGTCCATGAGCAACAGCTGTCTGTCCATGAGCAACAGCTGTCTGTCCATGACCAGCAGCTGTCAGTCCATGAGCAACAGCTGTCTGTCCATGACCAACAGCTGTCTGTCGGCTGCTCTTAGGCTCAGTCCACCACCTGCTCCCACGGTTTCACTTGACCCTGTTAGGGGGGTGGGCTAAACAGGTACTCCACCTTGTCCACTGGTGCCCTGTAGACTAGTAGAGTGGAGCAGATGCTTGACTTCTCCTGTGAATGAGAATACCCCTGCCTACCCTGCCACCCCAAAAACACCACATGCATGCCGAAATTTAAAATGGCATCTTTAACCATTTGCCCGTTGTAATTTGTGCTCCGGATAATAAACATACTCTAAAACTGTTCCCATTAAAGCAAACTATTTGACCTAGAGAAATGACAATGGAAGCAAAACTTTCGTGGTCCATTGGGTGAACTAATACAAAATGGTTAAATTCATAAAAGAGATAAAATTGCTTATATAGACAATATCTTTCAATCGAGTGAATGAAAAATAAGGAGATTTTGGTTAGTTCTTTGCTATTTCTCATTTCATGTTCATATATTTATCCCCCCTTGTAAGTTCCAAGGCTCCAGTGGAAAGGGGGGGGGGGGGGGGGGGGGGGGGGGGGGGGGTTGGTAAACCCATAAAACCCTACTGAGTATGTTGTAGAAGTCACCCAACTTTTTAAAATTGTCGTTGTTTTGTTGTTGCTGCTGCTTTTTATCATGGCAGTCGACATTTGTTTTCACATTTGAAATGTACTCCACAGCGGAGAGTGGCAGGAGACAACATTATTCATATTCAGAGCTTGAATATGCTCTTTTCATACACTCACTCTCACTTCTGGGAAAGCTCCTTTGTTACCAGGCAGGACGGTCATTTTTTCCTTACAAGTTAAAAGACAAGCCAGGTAAATTTTCGTTTGATTACTGCTCTGTTTTTGTTGTTTAATGGTAACTGATAATTTGTAAAGTGACAAATGAGAGGGTTGACTTTGGTTCTGAGAATGCCCTGGCACCAGCAGCCAAACAGTTCCATGTTGAAGAAAGAGTAAAAGTTCCCAATTTCTGTTCCTCTTATTGGGCATATAGGGCAAGACCTTTTTTTAAGACCAGTCGGCATTTGTTTGTAAGTAAAGTAAAGGACCCTTTTTGACGCCTTTAGGCATATAGGGCATATAGGGCTAGACCTATATTTTTATAGACCACGGCACGAGATGGGTGATGTGGTCAGCATCACGCCGGCCCCCTTTACTTCCCGGGACTGCACCCGGTACCCACTCAAGGCTGGGTCGACCTGGGAGCCAAGGTCATTTTTTAAAAGTCCGGCTCTGCCAGGGAGCGAACCCACGGCCTTCCGATCCGTGGCGAGCGTCTAGCCGCTTGGCCATGGCGACTCCCCACTTGGTAGTAGTAGTAGTAGTATATTTTACCACAATAGGACATCACACAAGCGATAAACACCAGATGACACAAAATGAGAATCACCCATGGAGATGTCCCGGAAACCACGTTCAGCCATTAGACCATATTTATGGCCGGGCTATATTGCGGCCCTTGGCAAGAGCCAGGGTGGGGCTTCAAAATAACAAAAAATTTCATCTCACAAGGGGATGGCGAATAATAATCAGCACTTGTTGGATGATTGGTAACATCACACCAGCCACATTAGAGAAATATAGTGAGCATAAAGATAGAATTGCAACATCAAGAACAAACTGAAAGAAATTAATACCTACTTTTGAAGCACATTTCTTAAAGTAAACGGGTTTTGTTAGTCACACTTGCCATAGCTATGGGCGGTGCTTCTCTTATAGCACAATATAACATATAACACTATTATCTGGAGGGGGTTTTGTTAGTCACACTTGCCATCGCTATGGGCGGTGCTTCTCTTATAACACAATATAACATATAACACTATTATCTGGAGGGGGTTTTGTTAGTCACACTTGCCATCGCTATGGGCGGTGCTTCTCTTATAACACAATATAACATATAACACTATTATCTGGAGGGGGTTTTGTTAGTCACACTTGCCATGGCTATGGGCGGTGCTTCTCTTATAGCACAATATAACATATAACACTATTATCTGGAGGGGGTTTTGTTAGTCACACTTGCCATCGCTATGGGCGGTGCTTCTCTTATAACACAATATAACATATAACACTATTGTCTGGAGAAAAAAACAGAAAGGCGCCAAAAATACAATACATTAGAAATAGCACACAGATTGTATATAATTATGTTTACGTGACACCTCAATGAGTTAACTGCTCTAAAAGAAAAAAAAAAGGAAGAAGAATAAAAAGAGGAGAGGAGAAGATAAAAAAGAAGAAGAAGCAGCAGCAGCAACAGCAGGAGGAGGAGGAGGAAGCATCGAAGAAGAAATGTTTCAGAGCAGCATATGCAGACTGGAAGGGATTAGCCTTTGGCTGCTATTACTTCCATTTTTGGGGTGTATTTATTTTTTCTTTGACAGCCGACTCTAAACCAGTGCTCACAGGGAAGTAAGCAATACTTTCATCAATCTTTATTGATAGTTCTACTGTGATTTACAGATGGCAAGTGGGACATAAATGATACAGGCATTGAGATGGATTCGTGGAATACCTTGGACAACAATACATGGAGGAGGAAATTTAGGATATAAATAGGAACAAAGGAGATAATAACTGCAGAAAGGTTAAATAAAGCAGATCCTCTGAGAAGTGTTTTAAAAAAAATGGTGGTGCCCACATTTCTTTAAAAAAAAAAAAATTTACCCCAGTATGGGAGGCAATATTTTGTTTTTTTTTAAAGCCCCACCCGGGCTGTAGTAGGTTGACTCTAATATAACCTAGCGGTTGAACAAGGTTTCTGGGACTTGTGCCTGGGTGATCCTCATCTGAAGGGTGGCACTTTATCGCTCATTGTGCTGTCCTGGTGGGGCTGAACATCACTCATCCGCATTGGTTGTGAAGTTTTGTGCACTTATTGTGGAAGATTCTTCTTAACATGAGTCAGGCTCACCATCACCATGGGCTGTCATTCTAGTGTCTCCCTGTAGCACAGTGTGGACTATTTTATCTGAAAAGATGGAAGGCTCCAACAACAAAATATTAATATTTCGTTAATTAGCATTTCACTTTTTTTTAACAATGAGACAGGTGTTTGATAAATATTGTCATTGTGCCTGCACTGCAGTCTTGTTAAAGTAATGTTTTTTTTTTAAATAGCAAAGTAAAGGACTACTTCTACATCATTGGGCACATATGCATTAAAAAAAAAGTTTTTTTTAAAAAGGAAAAGAAAAAGAAAAGAAAAGAAAAAGTTAAAGATCCTTTTTCTTTTGGCGCAGTTAGGTGTATTGGGTATGTATGGCTAGACCTATATTTGGCACTTGGTGGGTGATGTGGTCACCATCATGCTGCTTTTACTGTCCAGGTCTTTACTTTGGACCCATGTAGGGCTGAATTGACCTGGGCGCCAAGGTCATTTTTTTGGGGGTTAAGTTTGGCTTTGTCAGGACCTGAACTTGTGACCTTCAGATTCGCAGGAGAGTATTTAGCCTTTACACCACGGCTGCACCCAGTTCCACTATATTCACCTAAATATTGTCTATTATTGTTTCCTTGTGACAGCAGCAGTGACTGTCAGCCAACTTCTGAGAGCACTGGTACAGCTCATTGTTGATTCAGGGCAGACAACTCAATACAGAAGGATTGATAAAAGTAATTTTTCCATCAATTGTCATTTTTAATGTGTCCTGTCTATCATTGGCTTAGGTGTTTTTTTTTGGGTCATATTGTCAATTCGTAATATTTTATCCCTAGGAGTTTTTCATTTTGTTGTTGTTGATTTTTTGTGTGTTTCTTTGTGTGTTTAGGTTAATTTTATTCTCTTTACATTCACCAGCCATAAACTCAGGCAGAAAATCTTTGTGGTTCATCCACTTCTGGACCTTGGTCTTGCTCCAGAACTTGAGTTTTTGCATCAACATCCATATAATGATTCTGGCTTATTTGTATGCAGACTGTTGGCTCCTTGCCTCTCAGGCAGATGTACTCCGGCCTCGAAGGAAACTTCTCCAATTAGTAGCTTTGTATGACACGCTTGTTATAGAATAAGACCCTGGAACTCAAACAGGGAGCCAGCTTACTGACTTCTGGCCCACCACTCATCAATAGAGAGTGATGCTTTATTGAGACCTTTGTCAAATTACCATATACATTTCAGTCCATTGCCTGCTCACACTGCAACCGTGGCTATGAGCTGTGGTCATATTCTTGTAAACATTGCCCCCACAATTTTTGCACCAGCTGGGAGATGCCAAATCTTGGGAGACAGCACATGCAGCCTTTCAGTACAGTAAACGCCAGTACAGGGGGTAAAATTTACCAACGAGACCAGCCCCATGTTTTCATCATTCTTTCCCCTAATTTTGTCTTTTTCTCCTCTTCCTTCTTCTCCTGCTTCTTCTCCTTTTTGCCTTCTTCTCATTCTTCTTCTTCTTCTTCTTATTCTTCTTCTTCTTCTTCTTCTTCTTCTTCTTCTTCTTCTTCTTCTTCTCCTCCTTTTCCTTCTTCTTCTCCGTCACCTTCTTTTCCTCCTCCTCCTCCTCATTCTTCTTCTTCTCCTTCTCCTTCTTCTCCTTTTTCTCCTTCTTCTCAGTCTCCTTCTTCTCATACTCCTTTTCCTCATTCTTCTTCTTCTTCTTCTTCTTCTTCTTTATCTTCTTCTTCTTCTTCTGTTTTCTTCATTTTCTCTTCCTTCTGGGATCTGATCAGACCAGCTGGCAAGCATACACGACACTGCATTACTTTGGTTCCATGTCAATAGATGTAAATGAATGAATAAATGAATAAAGAATTGACATGACAGCACTCAGGACATTCTCACAAGTGCTCCATCTCCTTCCTCCGAAGCCAACAGAGAGTCAACATGCTAATAATACCAACTGGAACCTGATTAAAAATCCGCCTGTGTTTCTCTCTGTGTTGAATATCTTCCAGAATCTCTACTCGCCCCCTTCCTGTTAAATTCAACTCCCAGTGTATGGATTCACTGTTTGTTCTTTTGCACTGTCCATTTCATTCCAGAGAGCCTTCACCAAATCCAAATTTATCAATATAAAGTAGTTCTTTTCTTTACCCAAGATATTCTTAGAACCTGTCTGTAACATTTATATTCAAATGCATCCCGCTTGTTTCATTAGTATAGAGAGCCTTCACCAAATCCAAATTTATCATAAAGTAACTGACCATAAAGAGGAGTGACAGCAGCCAATCTCTCAACCTGCTCATTACACCACATGCCCAAATATCCTGGACAGAAAATCCATGATATACTCCGGATCTGATGTAAAACTATACATCTACTGGTACCATCAGAAGGTTTAAGTTTTGAGGTTTTGAACAACGGATCAACATCATGGTCCACAGGTGTAACCCATAAGGGCTCCATTCTTCTTCCAACTCAAGTCTGAGTCTGAAGAAGCTCAGCACAGTGCACAGGCTCTGTAGCACCTGCGAGGTTCCTGAAATACTTTGGGTAGGTTTTTAACTTCACATTTTGCCTGGGCAGCACCGTTAGGCTACTCTTTTCGATTTCCAACTGCCAAGGGATTTTTTACCTGCGCAACAATGCACACGGGTGTCCGATCTCACTACCAAGTGACCAGGGGGAATTACTAGAAGTCCAAGTCTACATGAAAAAATCCCAGCCCTTACCGGGGATTGAACCCATAACCTCTAGCACTCGAGGCGGACACCATGCCTCGAGACCACGCAGCCCTCACCAGAAGTGGAACTCTGGGCTGGCTGCTGAGGCAAGGGACGGAGAGCTTATGGAGATATCCCAATACTATCGTGTCGAGTTATAGTTCATCTCAACTCAGTACTGTATATCTGTTCTGCATCACTATTTTTGTTGTGCCGTTTATTTAATTTGCATTTGCTTATATACAAAGGAGAAACAAAAATTATAGTGAATTTTGCAGACGTGTATGAGTCTAGCTTCCTGGTGACGGAGGTTTTCAAGTTGCTGTGCGGCACCGAAACGACCTGCAGTGTTTTGTTGTGTAAAGATGACATCATGAGCACCCTGCTGTCCCCCATGTCACGGTTTCTGGATGGTTCACATGTAGGTTCTCAGACATGGCTGCTTGATTGATTCATTGGTTCGTTGTTTGGGTGGATGGTTGGTTTGGTTGATTGGATTGGTGGGTGTTTTGGTTTGGATGGGTGGGTGGTTGGTTGAATGGGTGGGTATTTGGTTTGGACGGGTAGGTGGTTGGTTTGGTTGATTGGATTGATGGATGGGTAGGTGGTTGGTTTGGTTGATTGGATTGATGGATGGGTGGGTGGTTAGTTTAGTTGGATGAGTGATTGATTGACTGTTTAGATGGTTGATTGTGTTTGAACCTTTGGAAGACAACTCTTAAGTTTGATCCTTAGCATTCAGGTCATCTTCTTCTTCATTTTCAGCCTTGATGTTATTCTTCTGCCTTTCTAGCCCCCAATAGAGCATAGGCCCTCAACCAACTCACGCTAAGTCGTTCTATCCTTTGCTATTGCATGCAGCTCTCCCCGTGTCCTCCTTATCTTTCTAACTTTATTCTCCAGCTCCTTCTCCATGTGTTTTTTGGCCTTCCTTTACTCCTATGCCCCTTGGGGTTCCAGTGCAAAGACATTCTAGTTATATTTTTCTCCGGTTTTTTCCATGTATGTCCTAACCAACGCCAGTGTCTTTTCTTCACCTCTTGGTCCACTGGAGTTTGCTTAGTTCTCTCCCAAACCTCTACATTAGTGATTCTATCAAACGATTTTGTTTCCTCTATTCTATGCAGGCACCAGTTAATATGAATGTCTGTAGTTTATTAGTAATTGCCTAAGTACTGATTTTACATTTGAATTAAAAAATTTTATTTTAGTATTTCTTTTAATTTCTTTTGACCTCCACAAATTCCCTAGTGCCTAAAGCTCCTCTTGCCTTTTGTATTCTGAGTTTAATATCTCTATTAATTCCCCCCATCTTTATCTACATTACTGCCCAAATAGATGTATCACTCTACTTCTTGGAGTGGGGTGCCATTAAGAGAAACCACATTACTATTTGAGTGATTTGTTCTCATTATCTTTGTCTTTTCTTTATGGATTTTCAGACCTAGCTGCTGTGATCTCGCATCAGTTATGCCTCGAGGTTCCTTGCTGCAAATATCACCACCTCTCTTCATTTCTGTGATTGGCCTTTTCTTTCCATTTGATCACTCCAAGTGTTTGTAGGTCTGCCTGTATTTCATACTGCCTTTTTGGTCTGCCTCTTTGTCTACTCCCGCTCAACTCTTTTGTCCCTCTGGTATCTACCATTTACTTAGTGTGGCCCAGCCATTGCAATCTATTAGTCTTCAAGATGTCAGCTGTTATTGGTAATTTAAACAGATTATGAATCTAGTTCTGATCTTCTGTGCCTAGAAAATTAGGGCTTGTATCTGTTGGATTTCAAAGGCATTTTTTTAGGACAAGTACAGACATTTTGTTGGCTCTGTGGCCAAGTCGATGCGAACACTTCTTAATGCCAGGATGCTGGGTTCGATCCCAGCTGCGGGCCATGCGCCTTGCCTTGGTTTTGACAGTGGTATCAAGAAAGCCGACCGTCCAGAAAGCAATGGCAAACTACTGGACGTAAATTTGCCTTGAAAAACCACTCAAAAGCCAGGGGCTGTTGGCTTTCTGCTGTGTAGAGGATATATGGACATAGTCTTTACAATACTTCCCAGGCTTTCTGCTGTGTAGAGGATATGTGGACATAGTCTTTACAATACTTCCCAGGCTTTCTGCTGTGTAGAGGATATGTGGATATAGTCTTTACAGTAGTCTTTACAGTACTTCCCAGGCATTCTGCTGTGTAGAGGATATACTTCATCACGGTCCTTAATTGGTATAGCCATAGACTGATCCCTATATCACTCTATATCACCATGGAAAGCATGGTCTGAAAATAAGGAAAGATGCCAACAATTACATTGGTGAGTGTTTGTTTGCCAGAGATAATTTTCTAGTCATATTTTCTTCAATGCAGGGCACCCCTGCTCCGAACGAAGCCTGCCTGCTTCACGTTGCAGATATTTTATGTGTGATGGCTTCTACAGCCAAAGGCAGACAGTTCTTGTTGTATGGAGAAAGCAACAATCTTCTCACCAGAACAAAGTCAGTAATTTATTGTACTTCCTCTTTGTTTAGGTTTGTCTGATTTCATAGAAAATAAAAAATGAAGAAGGGAAGAAACAAGAAAGGAAGGATTAAACAATAATATTAAAGAAATAAAGAAAAAAGAAAAAGAAAGAATAGACAAACAACTTTATTGCCTTGGAGAGTTGTATATGTTAAAAAAAGATAATGAATATAAAAAAAAATATTCATTTGTGGGTTGTTTGTAGTTTACTAGGCAATTCCCCCCCCCCCCCCCCCCCCCCCCCAGCAGTTTTTCATTGCTTTCTATGCAGTTCGACACCATAAGATTGTTGAAATCACTACACAGTGATCTGCTGCTTAATTTCCTGCAGTTGAATTGAACCAGATGTGTCAGAAGTATGAAACTGTGATCAGAACCCCTAGGCCACAAAATTGGACGTTATGAATAAACTCAGCTTGGTGACAGCTGGCAAACTTGATGAAAAAAGAGCAAAGGAAAGACACAGAAGTTAAAAACTAACTTTATCCCCATGAGGGTTCCGGGGACACGGTTGTGGGGAAAAGAAGAATAGACCCCCTACCTCCCCAACAAGCATCTCATAAAAAAAAGTTGGATTGCATCTGCCTAAGAGGCAAGGAACCAGCAGTTTGAATACCATTAAGTCATATATGTTAACATATGAACACGCAACACTCAGGTTCTGGAATAAGACTAAAGTCCAGATGTGAGCAAATAACCATTAACTTTTTCTGGCCAGAGTTTACATTCAGTGAACCCGAAGAAGAAGAAAAATAATTAACCTATTTTCAGTTTCTTGCTACTTAACTGAATTAATTCTGCACATCTTGCAATACCCAAAAGACTTAATCAACCAACTTTCTGTGACATTTTGTGGTTATTACAAAACACACAAAAAAGAATAAGAAGAGAAAGAAAGATAAAAACTATTTTACTGGTTCGATAAAACAACTGTAAGTGAAATGTAAATGATATCCCAGCCTAACTGTTAAGTGTATTACAGCGTGCTACCACCCTTTTAACCCTTTCACTTTAAGAAGGCTAAATCTAGTCACATCCGGTTGTGACACACCAGATTTCAGCAGGAGTAGTGCACGATGGAGGAAAAGAGCAGTGACTAAACTGAGTGTGATTATCCTTTTAGGAAATCACTTCAGGCCCTCCCTTTGCAGATGGGGTATGGCCAAGGGATAAGCGAGACAGCCGGTGTATATTAACACAGCAGAGGAGTTGGGTTTGATTAAATATGTTGTTTGTGGATTATGGAGAAATAAGAAACCTTCAGATAAATGGACATTACTGAGCAGCAACTTGGAATGCCCACATGGTACTAGGACTAAGACATGGTGGCTAACATATGGCCATTTATGCAGTGCCCTATTCTTTAAAAGTGTAGTTAAATATCATTAGTTCTTTGTACACTTGTATAATGTTTAGGAGGCAAATATAGTAATTAAAAATAGTAATAAGGAGGGTTTCCTTATGACACCAGTGACTTTTGTAAAGCCAAGTTGATGTCAAATTTTCCCGTAAGCCCCAGGGATAGAGGTCGTGGGGTCATGGCATGAGTCACCTGGTACATATTATTTTTTAGGTCCCGGCAAATGTATTCTACTCAAGGCTTCACTCTGATATATATATATATATATATTGGGGAGTCACCATGTATTAGTGGCTAGACGCTTGCATTCAGATTGGAAGGTCGTAGGTTCAGGTCCCGATAAAACCGGTCTTTTTTTCAAAAATGACCTTGACTCCCAGATTAACCCAGCCTTGAGGGGGTACCAGGTGCAGTCCTCAGAAGTAAAGGCAGCCAGCATAATGCTGACCACATCACCCACCAAGAGCCGAATGATCTATAAAATATATGTCTAGTCCTGTGTTCCCAATGCGCTTGAAGACATGGACAAGGGTCCTTACTATATATATTTTTATATATTTTGAGGAAAATTTAAAAAATTTTGATAAATAAATATGGAGACGATTTATTAGTGACCTGTGTAAAATGGTTGGTTTTTACAGGATTTTTTTCTAGAAAATTCCTACAGTATTTTGACCCATTTTTAAGAAAAACATTTTTTAAAGCATTCTTAAGGTGAAAGGGTTCTGAAGATAAAAATCTGCATGCAAATGAGTCAGACCTGTGAAACATATGTACATGCAACGCTCAGTTTCTGGAACAGGACTAGAGTCCAGAAGTGGACAAACAACCAGAACTTTCCGCAGGAGTTTACAGCCGGTGAACGCGAAGAAGAAGAGTTAATTATAAATGAACTCATCATGCGTTCATTGGTATTGAAAGAGTTAACTCTTTAATTCTCAAGCAACAACTCATGTGTTAATGAATCTACCCCTTCATTTCTTTCATTAGCATAATATTCTCTCTTACTTTTTTCATATTGGATAAGGACACAATATAGAAATCAGGCCTCCTCAAATGGTCACTGTTGCTGCATAAATTAAAATTAAAGCGTTCACAATATTTCACGATTGTTGTTTTCCCTAATTTTGGTATCTCCTGTGAAACTTTCTGGTATTGAAAGAATTAAAAAGGGGTTTCGAACCTAAGATCAGTCACCTAGCTACTGGACAAACGTGGTGTGGTGATGTTAATTGTTATAACATAACATAAAATAATGGTGTTGCTTGTTTCTCTAGTCACACCTTATTGATGCCATAATTGTAACAGACTCTGAAAGCATGCTGAGAAAGGGAAAGTTAGGGATGCAAGCTTCACTGGAAAGGTCACGGGTAGTCAGCCTACTTTGGATTTTTTCTCCAGGCCATGCTGGCGTATAGATTAATAAACAGGCAGACAGACTGGCTGGATGTGCACTACTGGGTGGTGAATAGATAATGACAAAGCAGATGTGGTCAAGGCCCTTTGGGGACAAGTAATGAAGTCAGAAGAGAAAGTAGATCATTATGGCCTGTTGAGAATGATGCACCTGTGTTGTCAATTCTTGACTCAACTCAGTTCAACTCAACCTTTATTTTTGTTTTGTAATTCTTGACCTGTATTTGTTGTATCCTTAGATCATCACCAGCACATCTTGTTGCTGAGTTTACCAAGAGGGCCCTGTCCAGTGATCTGTCTAGATCATCTTCTCTGCCATCGAATGCTGTGGTTGGAGCATATCTTTATGTGTGTCGGCAGCTGTATAGTACTTGTGATGGACTCCTTGTCTTGTCGCAGTATGAGTTGCACACTTCCATTGCACAAGCCTGGAAAAAGGTGAAGATTGACACTTTATAGAGAAACATACCTGACCCGTTTTTGTTTTTTGTTTTGTTATAGTGGTGTAGGACATGAAAAAAATATTGTAATCTTGATGATTTAAGGCTGTGTGTCTAGTGCAACTACTATAAATTGTACAGGTTGAAGCTTTACATTTCTGCTGAAGACTGGAACCCAGATCTCTAGAATGTTAGTCTAGCATTCTAACCACTTATCCAGTCACTCCTTTTATGAGATGAGTAAACTGAAAAGCAAAAATAGAAAATATAACTGATCAGCTTTACACACAAGAGAAATAATCACAAGTGATAGAATGAACATTGCAGTAAAAAAGCCTTCAGTCAGCATAGTAAAACAGACTAAATTACCTGAACACAAACTGACTGGGAAGCTCACTAAAGGAGGAAGGAAAGAGACACACAGTTGTCCACCACCCCCCAATCTTTTTTTTTTTCCAAGTAACAGTTTATGTTTATTAGATGCAATGATACTACCCCGACTGCAGTCACCCCTGTCTATTTTCATCACTTTCAAAACAAAAGGAAATTAATACGACACTTTAAATAGCGTAGTTGGCTAAACCGGATTGCGCGGAGACCGGGTTCAATCCCGGGGGGTAGGCAGGAAAGCCACATTTTCTCCCAGATTTACGGTATTTACAATGGAATCAAGGCCGAAAGGTTGCTATATCCATAATACTGAGCCTAAGGGTTAACAAATCATGGCTTCTCGATACTAAAACAAACAAACCAACATTAAAAAATTTTTTAACGGAAATATTTATTGTATCCATGTTCTCATTTATTTTTATATTTCATTTCATATTTATATATTTCCTGCATAAATAGCTACAAGTGGCAGAGAAATCTGGCGGTTCAGCCATGAGCATGAAGACCTATGAAACGGACAAATGCAAGGACACTTACATGTAAGAACATTGATGGTTGTCATGAATGTCTTGTTTTGTTAATTGCATAACAAATTTTATACAGTTAATGTATCTTTTATCTACATTTAGAATAGATTCTATATATATAATCTGTGTGAATATACTAGAAAAAAGTAATGTTTCATATAACTTCTTCTTCTTTGCGTTCACCAGCTGTGAACTCTGGCAGAAAGTTGTGATTGTTAATCCACTTCTGGACTACAGTCCTGTTCCAGATCCTGAGTGTTGCATGTGCATTCGTTTGACAGATCTGACACATTTGTGTGCAGACTGTTGGTTCCTTGCCTCTCAGGCAGATGCACTCTGACTTCGAAGAAAGCTCCCAATCAGTCGACTCTTATGATATGCTTTTGGGTAGGCAGTGGTTCTGTTCTTATTTTCCCTATAATAGGACACCGGAACCCACACAGGGGTTTCATATAACTGATAAGGTGATTCATAAATGGAAGAGAACTAGAAATTGAAACCAAACAGATGGGGAGGACATGGGATGAGTTGCATATGATAGCAAAACACAGGGCGACTAGGTGAAAGTCAGTTGATGACTTATTGTGGGTGCCAGTAGGGGTGTTGGCTTTAAAGTCAGAGTGTGTCAGCCTGAGAGGCAGGGAACCAACAGTCTGTATACAAATAAGCCATATCTGTCAAATGGAAGTGCAAAATAAAAACCCAAGTTCTAAAACAAGACTAAAGTTAGCAATGGACAAGCAGTTAAAACTGTCTGCCAAAGTTTGCAGCTGGTGAAGAAGAAGAACAAGATTTTGTAAGAGATAAAGGGAGCCAGTCTTAATGCATCCAAGTCAGTCATGGACAGAGGGCATATTAGTGAGAAATTATATGAAGCTTCAGAGATATTGTTTTATAGAAGGATGGAGAGAAGGCTGTGGATAAATAACAGTTAAATAGTTAATTAGTTGACAGATTATCCTCATTGCACGTCAAACCACTCAGTCTGTAAGTGCTCGGATCCCCTCCTCAGTAAACTCTGCAGTGTAGCGGCTAACGACACCAGTCTCTGTTGATTTATTATTCTTTTTTGGCTACCCACATAGTGTTCTTGTTTGGTGACACCCTGTTTAACATGATGTTTCTGCAGTCTGACCATGATGGCAGATTCACAGTTCTCAGTTGGTGCACGCAAATATGACCCACTTCAAATTCCAGAAAACGATTTATTAAAATAATAACACTTTTAAACAGGTCATTAATAAATTTGGATTTATCTAAATTCAAAATTACATTTTTAGATACATGTAAAGATAAATGAAAGGAGTAATCATTAAAACAAGAAAAATGGGGCAGAAAGAAAATGTATTGGGTGATTCATGCCATGTTCTTGTGACCTTTAACACTAAACTTGGCCAGGAAACTCTGATGTCAGTTTGGCTTTTAAAAAAGCCTTTAAGACTCCCCCTTTCCACTCACACTTAAGAGCTGTTGTCAGTTAATGTGTTCATTTCTTGACCTCCTAAACGTTTGTGCAGATGCAAAAACAGCCAGCAGCATTGACAGTGTATCTCATAAATAGGTGACTATAGACAAGTAGGAAAAGTTACATTCATAGGAAATTGACCCAACTGGAAGGAGGCACAAGAGTTTATGAATTTAGGTAGTTTATTAGTAATTGGTTTAGTCTTCCACCTGATTTGGCAGTACGGTTAAGTGTTCTAAACTGGTGTCAGGTTTAGTTTTTGTTGACTTCCACACCTTTCTTAATGAATTAATTAGGAATTCCTAATTATGAATTGACATCACAGCACTCTGGACATTCCCAGAAGAGCTCCATTCCCATCTTCAGCAGCAAACCCAAAGTTCCAATTCTGATGGAACCAGTAACAATTTGTTTATATGAGTATATCCATCTCACCTTTTCCTCGAGTGTCGGCTATGTCCCCTTCTCGCTATACCTTTCTCCTCAGACCAGGGTGATCTTTTTGTGCCTCCACTCTGTTCACTCACTCCCAATAGACTTTACAATGTCTAGCTTGTCATGCAACATTTCACCACAAGGTGGCACAGAACCAGCCAGTCTATCCGCCTGTTTGTTTCCCAACACACCGGAATAACCCGGAGAAAATAACCACACATTTCCTAGTGCCTTCTTATCTTTTGCTGAATTTAAATGTGTGTTGTTGTTGTTGTTGTTTTTTTTTTTCAGATCGAGGGATTCATGGAAAGAAATGTTACAGGATAATTTGCTCAATTTTGCTAGTACAGCAAAAGGAATTCTTCTGCTTCAGCAGACGGGAGCCCTTAGTGAATGTATCCAATACATGTACTCACGCTACGACAAAAAATTGCAGGTAGGTTTTTTGATAAAGGACCCTTTTTTAATTTAAGCCTTTTATGCGGCATATAGGGCTAGACCTATATTTTATAGACCGATCGACACTTTGTGAGTAGTGTGGTCAGCATCATCCCGGCTGCCTTTACTTCCCAGGACTTTTACCTGGTGCCCATGTAATCCTGGATTGATCTGTAATCCGAGGTAATTTAAAAAAAAAAACAAGTTTATCACCATCTGGGTTTGAACCCACAACCTTTTGATCTGCAGAGGAGTGTGTAGCTGCTACACAACGGTGGCTGGCAGGTTGTTTGACAGGCAGAGTTTAAAAGAAACTACAAGTAGAACATCACTAACAAGAGAAATGTCTGGACAACCACTTGTATCAACAGTTATGAGACAAAGAAGTTGGCAGTATATTTGGCACACAATGAGAAGTAATAGACAGAGTATCTCTAGGCACTGAATTTTCAATTCCAATTCCTTTTAGGGAAAAAAATCAAAAAATCAACCGCCTTCAACCTGCTGCTAGCTAGCCGAAGCTGCCAACAGTCTCTGGCTATATTTGTTGTCTTGTTTTTGTGTGCCATCAATGCGTCTTTCCTCCAAGTCAGAGCACCCATTCCCTATCCTGTTTTCAACTCGCTCTTCATGCACTTACATTTTTGATGTTTACTTCTGATGTGGTCAGGCATATTTACGAGGAGAGCGAGCTTCACAACAAAACCTCCTTTGGACCCCCATTTATGATTTTTAAATTTTGAGTATTTTACTTTGCCAGACAGTACTGAAAACAGTTTTTGGGTTTGGATAAATCCGAAATGTAAAAATTACAGGCACTCAAAAAAGAAACAAATGGATGTTGAGGAAACGAGGATGTCCGGGAGAAATTCTAAAATGAACATAGTTGAGAGACCAAAGGTGCTGCACTGGATTTAATCCATGATAACAAAAGGATTGCACAGTATAGAATTAGATGGAGGAGTTGACTGCCAGCCCTGTCTAACGTATGACACAACAGTGTGATGTTGATGAACAAGAGATGGGGCGGGGGGAGGGTTGGAGGTTTGATGGTTGGGGAGGTGGAGGTTTGCTGGTTGGGGGGGTTGAGGTTTGATGGTTGGGGGTGGGGCGGCATCAAAAGCAGAAGAAGCAGAAACAAAAACAAAAAAAAAAACCACTGACTTACCTAGAGGACTTTTTTTTCGGTATCTCATGTGGAGTATTGGAGCCTAATGTTATGTAGAAACTATCTTTCTGTATGGTAGTTTCTTCTTCTTCTTCTGCATTCGACATCAGTCATGCTAAACATTGAGTCCCGTCTGGGTCACAAATAGGATTGTGCGTTTAAGGTCGCCACCGGTCCCCCATTGCTTCTCTTGCAATGTGGCTCCCTTGGGCCAGATCCACAGTGTGTATGGTAGTGAATCATGGAATGTGAAAGCACAAATTCGAAAAAACTTGGAGGCGATGGAGATGTGGTTTTTCAGGCTAATGTTAAGAATCTCTTGGATTGCCAGAGTAACCAACAAGGATTGCTTGAAGGAAGCTAAGGAAAGCAGATCAATATATACTGCTATAAGAACAAACGAACACACTTTATTTTCAATGGGTCACAAATTTGGTAGTGGTACCATCAGAAACTCTGCACTGGCTGCTGAAGATGGGGATGGTGTGCATATGCATAGCACAGTTTATATGAGACTAGCTTTCAAATCCAGCTGCAACTCACTACAGCCCACGGCCGGTGTTTGAAACCAGGCTATTCCCAGGGTTCAGCCAGCCTCTAATGGGTACCAGAGTTAAACCTCTTGGGTAAATGGAGGAACCTCATTGTAGGGTAAACAGTTTAAGGTCAAAAGGGTGCTGGGTAGCCACTTCCTTTCCTTGTCACTTTTCCTTCTCAGACAATGCCCAGAAAATATCTTAGTCCCATTTTTTTATGAAGCTAGGTTGATCCACCCCAAAGCTTTACTAGTAGGAAAAAAGGCTGCAAATAAAAGCAATTAGTGGAACTGATGTGTGATTTTAGCTGTGTAATTCTCTCTGTCTGTAGGTCAGCAAATGTGAGAAGTTTGGCTATGGGTATATGGTGACACAGGTGGCAGCAACTGCTACAGGCATTCAGGCACTCCAAGGAACAGGTAGTAATCTGCATTCATATGTAAACATGGCAAAAGTTAGCCTTACAATTTGTATGTTTGTGTCAACAGGATAACATCATGTTCTTGTATTAAACAGCAATTGAGACTGTTCAACAGAAACCAAAAGTAAGATAGCCATAGCAATGCAAAGATTAAACAGCATGAAAAGTCTATGGTTAAGCACCAGCAAGGAAATCAGAATCAAAATTTTGAGAGCATGCATCTTCCCTGTGGCAACATTTAGATATGAAAAAGAAAATAGGGGCTCTTGAGCTAAATTGCTACAAAAAGATTCTCAGAATATCAAGGACAAAAAAGAGAAGAATACTGACCTTTCAAAAGATCTGAACATAAAAGAAGATTGGCAATTAAACAGCATCTTGTCTCAAAAGCTAAAATATTTTGGTCATATCAAGCACCATGATGGATTGGAAAGGTTAATAGCAGAAGGCATGGTACCAGGAAGGAGGGGCAGGGGCTGACCAAAATGAATATGGGCAAAGTTTAAATGTGACTCCTTGAATGTGAAAGTACACAAGGCGGGAGAGCTGGTAAGAGACCGAAATTTTTTCAGACAGACCACGATGAGAGTGACGTTCTGCAAAGGACGTGCTACATGATGATGAAGAAGGGAAGTAATCAATAAACATGAAGAAATTGAAGAATTAAATGGAATATACTCTTTTTGGACCTAAAGCAATGACTAGGTGATGCATACTTTGACTCCTTTGCTAAGCGACTGCTAGAGGTGAAAAGTAAATTGTGGCATAATAATGACTTTAAAAAGCCATTTGTTTTCACTATAACCCAAACCTCCAACTCCCAGCAATGCTATTTTGGTAAAAATAACCATATCCTGCCCTTGTAAACACTGCAGGTGCAAACAGAACCAATGCCATCGAATGGGCTTGTCAGGGATTGGCCAGTGCAGCAAAGCATTATATATATATAGGCTTCACAGTGACTTGTAATGGATGGCAAAGCCAAATTCTTTGTGTCTTGAAGTGGCTGGGTAAAAAAACAGGCAAAATGCAGTTAAGAATGCTTTTATCCTGACAGCCTTACAATGCCAACACTTGTGTGGACTTGCAGAATGAAATGATGAATAGTGAATAATGTTTCACTTTGTTCATGTTAAGATGTCAAGAAAAGATATAAAACCAAACCAAAAGTATATTAGCAAGCTTCACAATTTAACAAATACAAACAAAACGTGAACGTTGCGGCTATAGAGCCTTCATCAGCACATTCACAAATCAAACAATACTACACAAATACACAAAATCACTTAGCTGGTATCTCAAAGCAGCCGGGTCGATGTTTTCTCAGCAGACTGCCGAGACATGTGGGCCAGGGAATAAATACCCCCTAACTGTTCATGTTAATTGATTGCCCCTTTAAATAATTTATATATTTCACACACAAATTTAAAAAAACGTAGGTAAATGAAAAAAAAATTGGCAACCCATTGTGACCTGTTTAATATTTTTGGTTTTAAATGTATTTTTTTTTCATGTATTCTCACCAGTTCCTAACCCATTTTGTTTAAGGGGTAAAAGGTTTAGAGTCAAAAGGATTCACTTAATTGTACTGGGTTTTATTCCATATTGCCTGGACTCTCTTAGCAGAACAATTAGCCACCTGCTGAGGCAATCACACAAAGCACAAATTCCAAAGCCCAGTTGACAGTCCCCAGGGATATCTGTAAAACAAATTGCAGCAGGGAAGCACATGAAGCATTGTGTAAAATATACCAGTAACCTTAAGAGTTTTGGGCAAATACACCAGCCACTGGGTTCCTGTAAGTAAACATTACTTCTTTTTCTTCTTCTTCTTCCTTTTGTCCATATTCTGCCTTGTGCTGCTAGCTGGTAGGTCTTGCAGGTTAACAGATGATTGGTATCTGAGCTAGGGAATGCTCAGTTGCCTGGAATGCTGGGATGTTGTCAAGTCTCAGGGTATCATTGACTCTTTCAGTCCATATTCCTCTTGGCTGTCCTCTTGGTATTTCCACTTTCATATTGTATGTTGTCATTTGCTGGATCATGGATTCATTTTCATTTAATGGCCAAACCATTTCAAATCTTTTGTTTTATTATAGGTGTTGTTTAAATAGTTCTTGTTTGTTTCTCATATGATCTCTTCTATTTTTTCATGGCCTTTCTCTAATATCTTGCAGGTGATGTTTTCTTTTGTGCTCTTTAGTTAATGTCCAAGTCTGACACCAATATAACACAGTTGGTATGGGGATTGCATTGATAATTTCTCCTTTAGCCTCAACTGGAAGAGCTGAATATTTCCAGATTTAGGTAAGTTGATACATGACATTGTTGGCTTGTTGGAAAACATTTCTCGGTAAGATCCAAATTTACTACAACATTTACAAATACTGTTTCCTAGGTTATATTAAAGCTCTCCTGATGGAGCTGTGGTCATCGCTGGAATGTGGACCCCTGGACACCCCCTCTTTCTCACCAAAAGCTTGGCCAGTGGATCCCATCGACAGATGCTCTCAAAAGGTAATATATATACATATATATAACTTCCTGTTGTCTTCTCCCTGTCATTTTACAATCAGCCATTGCCTGTTTTCCCTAGTGTTTTTCTGTTTTCTCCCTTACATATTATTTTTTTCTTCTTAAATTGTACTAGAAGTTGTTTAACATTGATTACCAATTTTCATTTCTTTCCACTTTTCTGCTTCTCTTCCTATCTATTATCATCTTCATCATGATCTCTCTATCAGTCACTTTCCTTCTGTCTGATTTTGTGTTCCCATTGACCTCTATTATTATTTCTTATTATTACTTATTACTTGATCCTTATTATTACACTATCTGCCTCTCTTCTTTTTTTTTGTCTTTACGCTGCTCATTGTTTCTATGTTTGTTCCAAGAGTGGGTTCCAGATCCCTGTTGTGGGGGAAAACAAGAATAGACCTACTGCCTCCCCAGCAAGCATGTCATAAGAGTCAAAAAATTGGGAGCTTCCTTTAAAGTCGGAATGCATCTCCTAAGAGGCAAGGAATCAGCAGTCTGCATACAGATAAGTCAGATCTGTAAAACGGATGCGCACGCAATGCTCAGGTTCTAGAACAAGACTAAAATCCAGAGGTGAAAAAACAACCAAAACTTGTCCATGGAGTTTGCAGCCAGTAAATGTGAAGAAAGAAGAAGAATAAGAAGTTTATGTGTTTATGACTCTCACTTTTGTTTGATATTTGTCTTCTATCCTCTCTTTAGCTTGTTTTATCTCAGTTTACAGCTGTCTTTTTTTTTCTGCCTTTTTCTTTCTTCTTTGCATTTTTTTGTTAGGTTTCATATTGCTATTTGCTTTTTGTGTCTCTCTGTATGTATGTCTTCTCATGATGCATATTCTTTGTTTATCTGTCTATCTATCTGCCTGACTAACTGTATGTATGTGTGTTTGTCTGCAGTCTGCCTATCTGTTTGTCTAACAATATAGACTAAAGTATAACAGATATAAATGTGATTATGAAAAACTTTGAACCTGCTTATTCTTCTAAATAAGCGAATAATATTTATTACACTTGATGCTGAGAGCCACCTTGGTATTGGGGCTAAACACTCGCGTGCGGATCAGAAGGTCGTGAGTTCAAGTCCGGACGGAGCCAGACTTTTAAAAAAAAATGACTTCAGCTTCCAGGTCGACTCAGCCTTGAACAGATACCAGGTACAGTCCTGGGAAGTAAAGGTGGCCAGCCTGATGCTGACCACATCACCCACCAAATGCCAATTTATCTATAAAATATAGTTCTAGCCCTATATACCCAATACGCCTGAAGGAGTGGAAAAGGGTTCTTTACCTTTGTTTTTTAAGAATAACACACGAGGTGAGATGCAGAAGATGGCAAGGGATTAAAAGGCTTGGCATGAGTTGGTTCGTGTCTCATGCTCCATTAGACTACAAAGAAGAGAAGAAGAAGAAATAAAATAAATAGTATCTACAACAACAACATTAAAATAATAACAACAAATCAGGAACACAGCTGCTGTTTGATAAAGTGCAATCTGATTTTTCCCCCCAGCATTTCATACGACTGGTCAATATTCTGTCAGCATTTCCAGCTGTGTATGAAATGATATGTGGAGAACGACTACCAGCACGAGAGACGTACAGCCTGCGAGACATTCCTGACTCCATTACTGTAATCTTTTTATATTTATTGTTATAATTATATTGACTGTTCTAATCAAATATTACTGTTTACAAAATTATTTTAACCGACTCCATTACTGTAATCTGTCTATATTTATTTCTATAATCAAATGTTATTGTTTACAAGACTTTTTTTAGCCGACTCAATTGCTGTTATTTGTCTATATTTATTGTTATAATCAAATTTGAACGTTTACAAGACTATTTTAATCGACTCCATCATTGTCATCTGTCTATATGTATTTTTAAAAGTCAATATTGTTGTTTACAAGACTTTTTTAGCCGACTCAATTGCTGTTATTTGTCTATATTTATTGTTATAATCAAATTTGAACATTTACAAGACTATTTTAATCGACTCCATCACTGTAATCTGTCTATATGTATTTTTAAAAGTCAATATTGTTGTTTACAAGACTAGTTTAACTTTTCACATTTGCCCAGAGAAGCTACATTTTTGCATTCTCATTATTTTTAGGTTGTGTTTTGTCTCTGTTCTTCTTACACTTTTCTTCTTTTGCTTTTATCCCCCAGTGGAGCAAAGGTTTTCCACAAATTTACACCAAGCCTTCGTAACTGTTCATGTTGTTTCATAATCATAAATTGTAAATAATTCATTCATCTTGTACTAAAGTCGTAGGTCTTAAAACTGTAAGAGACGTAAGGCAAATTAAAAGGGATATCTAAAACAAAACAAACAACGAAACTTTATGTATGTATGTAAATTGTAACCCACCAGTACATCACACAAAACCATAAACACCTGATGACACAAAGTGCCACTATGAGGATTTTGCCCGGGAAGAGACTCTTAAGAAAAACATATTGCATTATGATTTTTGCAATACTTGATAGTAGTTAATTTTTTTTTAATTCAATTGAAATGGTCAAACTTCTCTAGGCTCTGATTGACAGAATCATTATTGTGGACTCTGACGTGAAAATCCACTCATTGTTCAACTATGAGGAGTCATATACATTTGGTTTAAGGTAAGAATATTTGGCAGTTATTTCCTTATTTTGAAGTGGCAGATATTTTCAATGGGAGCTGCCATTATCTGGCGGCTAGACTGACCTGCGGATCGGAAGGTAAAAAAAAACAGACCTGCTTTGGAAGACCCATTTTCAACTAAAAAAAACCAGTTAGATGTCCTGTTTTTTAACCTAGGATGGTCACCCTATCTGTAGAGGACCTGCTGGTTTGTAATGATGAATAGAATTTTATGTTTATAAAGCTGAGAAGGAAATTTGGTGCTTTATTAATATCATACCCCAAACAGGGAGAAAATCCACAGATCACGGGACAGTCTAATATTTCAGGGGGTGGTAGATAGGCTGCATGCAGTCGTGGGGCCTAGGCTGCATGCATTCATGAGGCCTAAGCTGCACTCTCTCTCAGGACGTAGGTGGGTTAGGGTTAGGGCCAGTTCTAGATGTTTTAGGGTCATTAAAAGCATCAGAAAGCTGAGAAATCCAGTCTTACCACCCTCTAAATTTTTGGACTGTCCTGTGATGTGATCTGGGGAAGGATATTAATAAAGAACCAGAAATTCTAATATTTCTTTTCCTGATTTTAGTTTTTAGAGTTCTTTTACTCTTTTTTTTTTTATTTGAAATCCTTAGCAGGGATTTATGTATAATCTGTTGTTCTTCATGTGTCCCAACCAACACACTGTGTGTAATTCTATTTCTTATATTTAGTCATCTTTTGTCGGCTCTGTGGATAAGTCGATGCGAACACTTCTTAATGCCAGGATGCCGGGTTCAATCCCAGCTGCGAGTTATGTGCCTTGCGTTGTTTTTGACAGTGGTATCAAGAAAGCCTACCGTCCAGAAAGCAATGGCAAACTACTGGACGTAAATTTGCCTAGAAAAACCACACAACAGCCAGGGGCTGCTGGAGTTGGTTCTGCAATGTCCTGTAAAGGATACGCAACTAGCCTAGTCATCCTTTAAAAGCGGAGTGCATCTGCCTGAGAGGCGAGGAACCAACAGGCTGCATACAAATAAGTCCTTTGTGTAAAGCGGATGTGCATGCAAAACTCAAGCTCTGAAGTTCTGGAGCAAGGCTAAAGTCCAGAAGTGGATACATAACCAGAGTTTACAGCCAGTGACCACAAAGAAAAAGATGTTTCGTTAAAACGATGCAAAATAATGTTGATGACATATTTGGTTTTTCATTTTTGGCGTGCAAAAGACATAAACTGGTTATTTCTTGTTAATGTTAGTCTCCCACACTGAGTGGCCGCCTTGATCTCTTGTTATTGAACTGTTGTATTGATGGTATGTTGCTTGTCTTCTTCATTTTCTTCTTCTTTGCATTTGCTAGCTTCTTCTGTTTTACAGATATAACTTATTTATATGCAGAGGAAGCTACATGGTGTCCGGGTTAGAGGCTAGAGGTTCCGGGGTCAATTCCCGGTAAGGGCTATTATTGTATTGGTGTTGGGACTTCTAGTAATTTCTCCGGTCTCTGGGTAGTGAGATCGGATGCCTGTGTGCATGATTGTGCACGTAAAAAATCCCTTGACAGTTGAAAATCCAAAAGAGTAGCCTAACGGCGCTGCCGGGACAAAATTTGGGGATTAAAATCTACCCAAATTATTTCAGGATCCTCTCCGGTGCAACAGAGCCTGTGCACTGAGCTTAGCATTGTTCAAACTTCAAACCTCTAGCCAGCGAACTTATATACAGACCATTCAGGTTCCTTGCCTTTCAAGTAGATTCCACTACGACTTCCAAGGCAACACCCCTAATTAGCTCTTTTCTATGGTTTGCTTGTTAAGGGGCGGTAAGTCTGTTCTCTCCCCCCCACCCCTTTTCCCCAACAATGGGGCCTCTAAACCCACATGGGGACGTAGCTTATTAAATATGCCTGTTGAACTGCTGTTGTCATTGCTGCCTATAAGCGGTGTAGGCAGGGGAGTCTTTGAGCCTGAAGATGTAGGGCCACATTGCTAGTGTTGTCGCCACGGACTGTGCAGGTTAGGATTTATTTTTGCTCCTGCCAGAAAAATATCCCCAGCATTACCAAGGATCCGAACCTGGGTCTCCTCTGGGTCTTCTAAGCATTCAGCCAGCTGCTAATTTACCGGTTGCTTTATCTTATATATCATATATACAGTTATGATGCAGAAGTTCAAGCCATCAAAATAGCAGTAGAAAAATTGTTGAATATACATCATATTTCACAACTCATGGTATTTCTGACAGATTCAACAGCGGTGCTTCAGGCACTCCAATCTGGAAAACTACCTGGTATACGAACACTACTCTCCAAACTTGGCAGTCGGTGTAAGGTAACTATGCAGTGGATATCGTCCCACTGTGGAGTTTCCGGAAATAAAAGAGCTGATAAACTAGCTAAGGAAGGTGCAAATAAAGAACAACCTGACGTACCAGTCTCTTATCAGCAAAAAAAAGAGAATAATAAAATCAGTCAGAAAGCCACCAAAACCGGCACAAGAAAACTATTTTATGAACAGATCAGAGCAAGTTATTATTCTACGCCTTAGTACAGGACACACAGTTGACTTCCCAGCCACATAAACACAACATTTTTAATCAGTGAATCAGCCATGTGCACATGTGGATTGGCACCTGAGACAACAGATCATGTCCTCCAAGACTGTCCCAAATACAACATATTAAGGCAAAATTTTTGGCCAATAGAAACATTTTACGGGTCGCTGAGTGAATCACAAAAGACAGTGAAGTTTATACTAGTGACAACATTGCAGATATAGATTTATTTCAAGCGAATGAAAGAAGAAGAAGAAGAAGCTTTATCTTATCTTGATATTTACATTTCTAATTCCCTGGTGTGTTTTTAGGGTGCTGTCTGCGATGGTGTCTTGCTTGGATACATATCTTTTGCTTGAATCACAGTACAAGTTTCAGGAGTTTTTGCTGAAGGAGCAGGAAGCCAACAAAATTGAAGACAGGTGCTGTGCTTTTATTCTTGTGCGTTTTATTGTTTATTTAAAAAGAACAAAAATTAAAATATTTGTGCACACAGTTGGATGATTGGGCACATGCCTGTAGACCAACTGACTCTGAGGGTCTTTTTCTTCTTAGCACTCACCAGCTGTCAACACTGGTGGAAAGTTCTGATGGTTTGTTCATTCCTGGAAATTTGTCTTGATTCAGAACTTGAGTTTTGTATGCTGGTCCGTTTTACAGATCTGGCTCATTTATATGCAGACTCCTGGTTCCTTGCCTCTCAACAGTGCTACTCTGTCTTTTAAAGAATCACCCCTAATTACTTGTCGGCTACGACATGCATGTGAAAATTAGATGTATTCTTTGTCCTCAAAAATAGAGCCCTGGAACGCACATGGGGAGTGCTCAAAGTGAAGCCAGCCATCTTATCTTGCCATGTCATTTCCTGATGCCCATTTTCTTGGCTGGATTGAGCTGGAAGTCTTATGTCACTTATAACAATATTTTTATGGGTGATTTCAGCTTAGAACCTTCCGGCTAGCAAGAGAATATCTAGCCACTTTGCTTAAGAAGCTCTTATGTTTTCTCTGACAAAATAAACAAAACAACTTGCATGTCTTTACAGGACATAACAGAACCAACCCCGGCTATAGGGTTTCAACCACTAGCATGGGGGTGAAAGTAGATGCAATCCTTGCTGTTATAAAGTCATTAGAAGGTACTCAGATTCTGGAACAGTTTTTTTTTTCTCTTGCTACTTGTTGGCATTGCAGAAACAGGTGTTGAAGGAATTCAAACATAGCAAACCAGCAGTGTCATGGTTAGCTGATTCCTCTTTAGAAAGGTGAATAGTGAAATGTACATTTAAAAAACAAAAATTATGTGCTATGTCCATAATGAAGGTTAGCATCTTTGGTGCCAGAACCTGACACCTTGAGCATCCCACCACCCCACCAATGGGGGGGGGGGGGGGTGGAGGAAGGGGGGGGGGATGAGCCATATGTCTTAGCCATCCAGGTATTTTGTTTTACTTTCTTGTCCCCTTGTTGTCTTTCTATCAGTCTTGCCTGTTGCTACTGACTTCTCAAGTTAATTTCTTCTCCTAAGAAGGAAAAACACTGACTCTCTATGTCTAATTGTTCTAATCAGTTATGACTTTTCTCTGTCTTCAGGAGGACTGCCTTGTCTGTTTTTCTATAATTTCATGATATTCTTTGCATTCTTCTCAAAAACTACATCTCTGCTTAAGTAAATGTTTTTTAGATTTCTCTCATCACAGTCCATAGACACACACATACAAAAGCCCCAGAACAATCTTGATTCATATAAAATCTTCTTCTTCAACTTATAGTCTTGAAATAAAGCATCAACCCTCAACCAGATATTGTTGTTGAATGTTGTTTAATTAAGAATCAGCAGCACTTGGGACATCCAAATAAGTGCTCCGATCCCATCTTCAGTAGAAAGTGAAGAGTTCCAGCTCTGATGGCACCAGTAACAGTCAGTTTGTATATCAATCTTGCCTTTCCCTTGAGTGTTGAGCATTGGCCACATCACTTGGTCACTCCTTGCAGCATCATTCATCTCAGACTGTGATGATCTGTTTGTGACTCTGCACTGTTCACTCACTGCCAAAGGACCCCTACAACATCTATCTTGTCATGCATAAATTTACCACCAAGTGGCATAAAACCAGCCAGTATGTCTGCCTATTATTTTCCCAGCACACATCCCACTAGCTACCCAGGCTCTGAAAGTGATATTTGCTCTCAACCAGCCTGTGCTAAGCCCCTTGTTTACCTGTTTATATATTGACTGAAGTTTTACAACTCAAGTGTTCTATGTGCTGATGAAGCCAGTGTCACACCTGTAGACTACTTATTAAATAATTTTGCACTGACAGTATTTTATTGCAGTAGGCATTAATTTTCATTAAAAAGATATGTTTTGTAAATTTGTTTTGTAAATAATAATCAAGTAGCAATTTTGTATTTGTGTAACTCCTAGTGGGGCCATCATTGCGGACATGTTGTCTGTGGAGAGAAACTATATCTTAGTGAAGTCCTACTTGGTTGGAGGACCCAGTGAGAGGACATTACCGGCCAGGACTTTGGAAGAAGTATGCCAAATTTCTCTCTGCTTTTGCCACAAGAACATCATTAATTAATTTGATTATTATGCTAAATATTGTTATTGTTTTTCAAATAATGACAACAGTTATGCTAAATGTTATGCCTTTAAAACATCTTTGATTAAAATCATTAGAACTTGATCTGTTTCCACATTTTAAATCTGGCAGTTTGGAGAAGAACATAATCGAATGCTTTTTAATAAATCTGATGACTAACTGGTCATAACTAAGAGGCTAACCAACAGCATACATGCACTTCCTCAAATAAAACCTTTCTCTCTTTTATGATGAACATGTTTTATGGCTTTCCTTATTGTCATCATGTTTGTCTAATTAACTTTATCATATTTTTTTAGAAATAATAACTTCACTACATTGCTGTCCAGCATGATTTACTCCACTTCATTTTTATTGAGCTGTCTTATAAATTAACTATATTGCTACCAAGCTTGTCATAAAATCTCATTACATTTTGTTAGCAAGCTTACTTCACTACAACGAAGCTTTGTTTTTATAATTTTTCCTTATTGTTCACCTGTGCCTTATGTTTTTTTGTTTTTGTTTTTTTGTTTTTGTTTTTTTGTTTTGTTTTTAGTATCCAGAAGCCATGAGTTAGGCTCGGTATTATGGATATCGCAACCTTTCGGCCTTGATTCCATTGTAAATACTGTAAATCTGGGAGAAATGTGGCTTTTCTGCCTACCCCCGGGAGTGAACCCCGACCACAAGGAGTTCGTCACCCGGTCACCGCGCAATCCGGTTTAGCCAACTACGCTAGAGAGCTGGGCCACCTGTGCCTTATAACCTCTCTCTATTGTTAATTAGGTTAACTCATAACTTCACAAAATCTTGGTTTTCTTAGCACTATTGTTGATTAGGTGTTAACAATTTGGTTTAACATTTGAAATATATAATTGAATGCACAAATTATTTTATAAATAATACAGAACAGCATGATACTTCCAAAACATTTATTGCATACACATATTACAGTATTTTTTTTCCGTGCAGTAATGCAAATATGTAAATATGTACTATTATATTAATGTACAAAGAAATTGTGTTTTACACGGATGAGAGCATTCTGTCCTGTTTTTGTGTTGTTCAAAAAGAAATACTTCCCATCTATTGCTATATAAGTAAAGATCCCTTTTCACGCCATCAGGCGTATCGGGCGGAAGAGCATCCATATCGGCACTAGGTGGGTAATGTGGTCAGCATTATACCGTCCATTTTTACTTCTTCAGGACATACATCCTGGTACACATTTTAGTCTGGGTCGCCCTGCGATGCCCCATACCATGATAAAAATTCATGCAGTCAGCAGTGAGTTTCGATCGCTGTACATTGGAATTACGAGTCGACTCGCAATGCCTAATGTATTACTATATAATTTTTAATATCGTATGCCCACTAATTCTAACTGTATATTTATTTATTTGTGTATAAATATTTAAATTGCATAGGACAGAACAGGGAATATTCAAGCCCCCACCTTGTTCTCATCATATCCGGTACCCAAAGAATACCAGCCAAATGTTATCAGCAAGTCTTCCACTAAACAAGGTAAGTTAAACAGGCATAACATCTTCTTCTTTTTTGTTGTTGTTGATATCTTCTTATTAGCATTCACCAACTGTAAACTCCAGTGAAAACTCCTAGATGTCCGTCCACCTGTGAGTGTTGGCCTTATTTCATCAGAACTTGTGAGTGTTGTGTTCTCATCCATTTAACAGATTTGTCTTAGTTGTGTACAGACTTTTGTTTCTTGCTTCTTCTTCTCAAAGCCTAAGCCATGTCTCATGTACTTTCAGTTAACTCTGACTCGGACAATCCTTCATGCAATGATGTCAGACTGTTCACAGCATCTTCTCTCTTGGTCTGCCTCTGCCTCTCTTCTCCTCCTACTTTCCTAATGTCACAGTGTATTACAGTTTTATCCTTTTCATCACATGAACAAAGAATGTAGACTGTCTCTTTCTGATGTGAGCAGTCAGTTCTCTTCGTGGGTTAGTTTCTTTCAAGGCATCTGCAATGTGCTCTGCTAGGGGTTTGTTTCTACATGCCACATTGCTGTATTGATGAACACTTAGTTGCTATGACACACCAAAAATGAATGTTCAGTTATAGACCTTTATTCACTGAATCAAACATCTCACTGACAGCGCATTCTTTCATCCTCGTGGCCGCTATGCATGGCTGATTTCTGATGACCTGGCCAACTCTCTCGCACACTGCTTTGCTCCATTCGTATCTCTCGAATCACACATCCATATCATACTAAAGCCTTGTACCTAGTATTAGTACATGTTGAAACTGGCAATCAGGAATCATTCATGTCTTCTTTCCAACAATTATACATGATCACAAGTTCTCCATTCTCATCAGGTGTTCTCTCACATACGACTGCACTCCTCCAGGTCCGAACTTCAACTGTCATACTATAGTCTCTCGGTTCACGTCTTTCGTTCCAGTCTCACGCTTTTCTTGTATCCCTTATTCGCTCACCACAGGATACTCAAGACCCACTTATCTCGTTTTCTTGTATCACTGGTCCTCTGACCTTGTCCTCCCCATCGGGAACTCTCTGGGATTTCCCCAGGGAATTCACACCATTACACATCTTTATGACTCTTTTTATCTCTCCAGGGTTTTCTCATTATTTCTATTTTAAACCACATCTCTATAGCTTCCAGATAATTTTTAACTAGTATACCAAGTATCCACTAGTCTACCGAGTATCCACTAGTCTACCATGTATCCACTAGTCTACCATGTATCCACTACTCTACCAACTGTCGACTAGTCTACCAATTGTCTACCAACTGTCTACTAGTCTACCAACTGTCCACTAGTCTGCCAACTGTCAACTAGTCTACCAACTGTCCACTAGTCTGCCAACTGTCAACTAGTCTACCAACTGTCCACTAGTCTACCAACTGTCCACTAGTCTACCAACTGTCCACTAGTCTACCAACTGTCCGCTAGTCTGCCAACTGTCCACTAGTCTACCAACTGTCTACTAGTCTACCAACTGTCAACTAGTCTACCAACTGTCCACTAGTCTGCCAACTGTCCTCTAGTCTATCAGCTGTCTACCAACTGTCCACTAGTCTACCACCTGTCCACTAGTCTACCAACTGTCCACTAGTCTACCAACTGTCCACTAGTCTGCCAACTGTCCACTAGTCTACCAACTGTCTACCAACTGTCCACTAGTCTACCAACTGTCCACTAGTCTACTAACTGTCCACTAGTCTGCCAAATGTCCACTAGTCTACCAAATGTGTACCAACTGTCCACTAGTCTACCAACTGTCCACTAGTCTACCAACTGTCCACTAGTCTACCAACTGTCCACTAGTCTACCAACTGTCCACTAGTCTGCCAACTGTCCACTAGTCTACCAACTGTCCACTAGTCTACCAACTGTCCACTAGTCTACCAACTGTCCACTAGTCTACCAACTGTCCACTAGTCTACCAACTGTCCACTAGTCTACCAACTGTCCACTAGTCTACCAACTGTCCACTAGTCTACCAACTGTCCACTAGTCTGCCAACTGTCCACTAGTCTGCCAACTGTCCACTAGTCTGCCAACTGTCAACTAGTCTGCCAACTGTCAACTAGTCTACCAACTGTCCACTAGTCTACCAACTGTCCACTAGTCTACCAACTGTCCACTAGTCTGCCAACTGTCCACTAGTCTGCCAACTGTCCACTAGTCTACCAACTGTCCACTAGTCTACCAACTGTCCACTAGTCTACCAACTGTCCACTAGTCTACCAACTGTCTACTAGTCTACCAACTGTCAACTAGTCTACCAACTGTCCACTAGTCTGCCAACTGTCCTCTAGTCTATCAACTGTCTACCAACTGTCCACTAGTCTACCAACTGTCCACTAGTCTACCAACTGTCCACTAGTCTACCAACTGTCCACTAGTCTGCCAACTGTCCACTAGTCTACCAACTGTCTACCAACTGTCCACTAGTCTACCAACTGTCCACTAGTCTACCAACTGTCCACTAGTCTGCCAAATGTCCACTAGTCTACCAAATGTCTACCAACTGTCCACTAGTCTACCAACTGTCCACTAGTCTACCAACTGTCCACTAGTCTACCAACTGTCCACTAGTCTACCAACTGTCCACTAGTCTACCAACTGTCCACTAGTCTACCAACTGTCCACTAGTCTACCAACTGTCCACTAGTCTACCAACTGTCCACTAGTCTACCAACTGTCCACTAGTCTACCAACTGTCCACTAGTCTACCAACTGTCCACTAGTCTGCCAACTGTCCACTAGTCTGCCAACTGTCCACTAGTCTACCAACTGTCCACTAGTCTACCAACTGTCCACTAGTCTACCAACTGTCCACTAGTCTACCAACTGTCCACTAGTCTACCAACTGTCCACTAGTCTACCAACTGTCCACTAGTCTGCCAACTGTCCACTAGTCTACCAACTGTCCACTAGTCTACCAACTGTCCACTAGTCTACCAACTGTCTACTAGTCTGCCAACTGTCCACTAGTTTCCCAACCCTTTTGGGACAGGATGGCATCCACACTAATTCCAGCAGTGTAGGACATGTGCAGCCCCAGACATCTGAGGGTACCAAAGGATTTGATATGAACATTTATTTTCACATACAAAAATATTCTGTTTGGATCACCACTAATCACTAGCATCGTGAGAGCTAACAGACTGAAATGGTTGGGGCACACTGAAAGAATGTCAGATGACAGAGAAGTAAAAACTTTATACACGAGGGAGATGAATGGTTGTAGACCATTAGGCAGACCAAGAAGACGATGGAGAGACAATATCCAGACAGACCTGCAAACACTTGTTGTCACCAACTGGAAAGAGAAGGCCAATCAGAAAGATGAATGGAGATGGGTGATATCTGCAGCAATAAACCTCAAGGGCACGGAATGCTGAAGAAGATGAAGAAGAAAAATATATTAGTATATTTATTAATCTATAATGTTTATTAGTGGTGTTATCAATTCTTGATTAATTCGTTTATTCCTAATTATTTCTGACATTTGATTACAGCAGAAAATGAACTGACAAAATTTCTGAATGCCCAGCGAGCAGAGAAAAAGCCCAAACTGTGGGTAGACAAATGCAGGGGAGCTCTTCTGAAAGTTATGTCCACTAAGCCGGACCAGATGAAGGGAAACGGTGGGGGTGTTGTTGTTGTTATTGATCCAGCGGCGCATGAGCTTTCGCCCTTTGGCCCAATGCCATGTAGTGGAATTTGCATGTTTTCACAAGCTGTTCTCTTCCTAAGTACAAGGTGTTCCACTTGTCTGGTCTTGGAGGGAGTAGCATTCTTCTAGTCTCGCTGAGTTTTGGGCACTCAAAGAGTTGGTATTCAACAGTTTCGTAGTGGTAGTTACATAGCTGGCACTCTGGGGAGTGTTGTGGCTGTATTCTGTTTAGATGTCCACTGAGTGGAGTATGTTGTGTTCTAAGTCTGAAGATGGTGGCCTGGTCCCTTCTTGTTAGATGGTTAATGCTGTCATTAGGATCAGGGCCAGCCATATGTTTATAAACCTCTCTTCCAGTGTCCCCCATGGTAGGATGGTAGTTAGTGTAGTTCTAGTTACTCAAAAAGACTTGAATGTTGAATTAAGAATCAACATCACAGCACTCGGGACACTCTCATAAGCGCTTCGTCCCCATCTTTAGCAGCAAGTGAAGAGTTCCATTTCCAATAGTACCAGTAACTGTCTAATTGTATATATCCGTCTAGCTCTTCCCTTGAGTGCTGAGCATCTTCCAGATCCCCTGGTAACTCCCTGCAGTGCCATTCTCTTCAGATCGTAATGACATGTTTGTGCCTCCACACTGCTCACTCGCTCCCAAAAGGCCCTCACAACATCTAGCTTGTCTTACATCAATTCACCACCAAGCGGTGCAGAACAGGCCAGTCTATTTGCCTGTTGATTTAAAGAGACAGTGCACATGACTTTTTTTAGAACACTCAGTTATGACAGGCTAGATGCTGTAGAGGCCCTTTGGGAGCAAGTAAACAGTGAGGAGACACAAACAGATTATGTTGGTCTGAAGAGAATGGTGATGCAAGGAGTGACCAGGGAATCTGGCCAATGGTCAACACTTTAGGGAAGGGCGAGATGGACATACGGTCGGACTGGTACCATCAGAACTAAAACTCTTCACTTGCTGCTGAAGATGGGGATAGAGCGCTTTTGGGAATGTTCAGAGTAATGTGGTGTAGGTTCTTAACTCATGACTCAATAATGAAAGATCTTGAAGAACAATAAATTTGCACTACATTATGTTTCAGAGTAGGTACAACTTTTATTGAACAGTTTTCAAATTCTGCCTATAATGACAACTGTTTCTTCTTCTTTCAGTTCTGCCTCGTTTCTTTTAGATGAAAAGGTCACTGGCCTCTTTGAAGGTTGTGGTGCGACTCATGTCCTTCACCAGTCCATATAGCTGGTTTTCAATTGGTGTGCTAACAGACCAGACTTGGGAATCTCCCTATTGCTGCAGCTTTTTTAACCCATAGGCATTGTCATGAGTTGTACTAGCATTTCAATCTGGGAAGAATTTCTAGAACTGACCCTAACCCCAGCCCACCTACGTCCCAGGAGAGAGTGCAGCCTAGGTCCCACGACTGCATGCAGCATATCTACCACCCCCTGAAATATTAGACTGTCCCGTGACCTGGGGATTTCCCCTGTTTGGGGTTAGGATATTAATAAAGCACCGACAAATTTAGTTCAACTTCCACATCTGTGGATAACAATCACATTGAGAAAGTGATGTGTGGGATTTATGCACATTGGCACCTGACTATTAGGTTTTTGAGAAAGTAGTAATCTATTCTGAAAAGAAAAGAACCATGGTAACTTAACAATGGAAAAGAGTAACCAAATGTGAACACCACAGTGAACAATGAGATGTTAGAATAAGAACAGGTTTTTCCTATCTTGGACACGTAATAGCAGATGTCAGCAGAAGTGAAACAGAAATAAAAAAAGAGAATCTTCTTTCATGGCGACTTTCTATCCCCCAGATATCGCATAGGTTGAATTTTTTTTTAGAACCAACTGAACGCCAAGTGTCGTTCTATCCTTCGTCATTACATAGAGCTCTCTCCATGTCCTCCCCATCTCTCTAACTTCATTCTCCAGCTGTTTTCTCCATGTGTTTTTTTGGCCTTTCTTTATTCCTAGAACCCTGTGGGTTCCAATGCAAAGACATTAAACAGTCCACTTGTGCAAGAAAAGCGAGAAGCAATCTGATTGGCTGGTAGGAAAACCCTCCAGCCAATCTCAAGGCTTTTACTACACAAGGCTGATAGGCCCAGCCGTCCTTTTGGCTACTTTGCTTTGGGCAGATATTTCGGCTGTGTCGCCTACAGAGGGTTAACTGCCTAGTTTAGATTGAACTTCACATTTCACCATTTCTGAAACTAATAAGATGGACAGTGAGTTTATAATTGAAATTATAAGGTAATTATTTACCCAGCAGATGTCAACTAATTTGTGTTGCTTTTTTATACTTTTGTAGTGCTACAACAGCTTTTGGAGCAGATGGTGACAAATCAGTGCCAGATTCAGGATGAGGCAAACTTGGCACCCATTGATTTATCAGGTAAAAAAAAAAAATCTGGCAAATGTATTTTTGTAGGAAGGATGTAAACTGTACATTTTAAAGAAAAACATGAGTTTCTTTTTTTTTGACTCTCAAACTCTCTGTATCCTCTCTTTCTCTCTGACTTTCTCTGTCATTTCTTCTGTCTGTCTTTCATTCTGTCTCTCTGTTTTTTTTCTATCATTTTCTGTCTGTCTCTACCGCTTCCCTCTCTCTCTATATATATATATATATATAGTTTAGTAAAGGAGCTTTTCCACACTTTCGGGCGTATTGGCCAAATGGGCGCCAGACCTATATTTTACAGACCAGTCGACTCTGAGTGGGTGATGTGGTCAGCATCACACCAGCCACCCGTTCAGTGCTGGTTTGACCTGGACACAACTCACATTCTGGAATGGGACCAAAGTTCAGAAGTGGACGAACAACCAGAACTTTTCTGCTGGTCAACTATAAGAATAAGAAGATCTGGTACCCATTTTGAGCTGGGTCGACCTCAGAGATGAGGTCATTATTAAAAAAAAAAAAATCTAGCTTGATGCAATAGGAATAAACTCACAGGGAGCAAGTACAGCAGGGATCTACCAGTCATCAGTAGAACTAATCCTCGTCGACAAGTGAGTTTATATTGAAATTATCCTAGACACTTTCGGAGCAGATGCCCAACTGAGTTCATGTTGCTTTTTCAGGGCTTTTGTAGTGCTGCAACAGCTTTTGGAGCAGATGGTGGCAAATCAGTGCCAGATTCAGGATGAGGCAAACTTGGTGGTTTGTTGATTTATCAGGTAGGAAGAAGGATGTAAACTGTACATTTTAAAGAAAAACATGAGTTTCTTTTTTTGACTCTCAAACTCTCTGTATACTCTCTTTCTCTCTAACTTTCTCTGTCATTTCTTCTGTCTGTCTTTCATTCTGTCTCTCTGTTTTTATTTCTATCATTTTCTGTCTCTCTCTCACGCTTCCCTCTATATATATATATATAGTTTAGTAAAGGAGCTTTCCCACACTTTCAGGCCTATTGGCCATATGGGTGCCAGACCTATATTTTACAGACCAGTGGACTCTTGAGTGGGTGATGTGGTCAGCATCACGCCAGCCACCCGTTCAGTGCTGGTTCGGCCTGGACAAAACTCACATTCTGGAATGGGACCAAAGTTCAGAAGTGGACGAACAACCAGAACTTTTCTGCTGGTGAACTATAAGAATAAGAAGATCTGGTACCCATTTTGAGCTGGGTCGACCTCAGAGATGAGGTCATTATTAAAAAAAAAAATCTAGCTTGGTGCAGATTTGAACCTACAGCCTGCAAGCCCACAGGTGAGCCTCTAGCGGCTCCGACACACACACACATACATACATATACATTTATGCACACGCACACCTATACATACATACACACACATATATGCGCACACACCCACACACAAACATAATTGTTAATCTTCAGTTTCAGAGAAGACGATAAAAACTGTCCACTTGTCCCACCTACAACAGCTAGGGGTTCAGACAGCCGTTAGGTAAGAGACTTGGTTTTTGCATTCAGCAGCAGCAGCATCATCACTGTGAGCCATCATCATCATTGTCATCATCATCATTGTCATCATCATCATTGTCATCATCATCATTGTCATCATCATCATTGTCATCATCATCATTGTCATCATCATCATTGTCATCATCATCACTGTAAGCCATCATCATTGTCATCATCATCACTGTAAGCCATCATCATTGTCATCATCATCATCACTGTACACCAGCATGATTGTCATCATCATCATCATCATCATCATTATCACTGTAAGCCAGCATGATTGTCATCATCATCATCACTGTAAGCCAGCATCATTGTCATCATCATCATCACTGTAAGCCAGCATGATTGTCATCATCATCATCACTGTAAGCCAGCATGATTGTCATCATCATCATCACTGTAAGCCAGCATGATTGTCATCATCATCATCACTGTAAGCCAGCATGATTGTCATCATCATCATCACTGTAAGCCAGCATGATTGTCATCATCATCATCATCATCATCACTGTAAGCCAGCATGATTGTCATCATCATCATCACTGTAAGCCAGCATGATTGTCATCATCATCATCACTGTAAGCCAGCATGATTGTCATCATCATCATCATCACTGTAAGCCAGCATCATTGTCATCATCATCATCACTGTAAGCCAGCATCATTGTCATCATTATCATCATCATCATCACTGTAAGCCAGCATCATTGTCATCATTATCATCATCATCATCACTGTAAGCCAGCATCATTGTCATCATCATCATCACTGTAAGCCAGCATGATTGTCATCATCATCATCATCATCATCATCACTGTAAGCCAGCATGATTGTCATCATCATCATCACTGTAAGCCAGCATGATTGTCATCATCATCATCACTGTAAGCCAGCATGATTGTCATCATCATCATCACTGTAAGCCAGCATCATTGACATCATCATCATCACTGTAAGCCAGCATGATTGTCATCATCATCATCACTGTAAGCCAGCATCATTGTCATCATCAGCATCATCATCATCACTGTAAGCCAGCATCATTGTCATCATCATCATCACTGTAAGCCAGCATCATCATCATCATCACTGTAAGCCAGCATCATTGTCATCATCATCATCATCATCACTGTAAGCCAGCATCATCATCATCATCATCACTGTAAGCCAGCATCATTGTCATCATCATCATCATCATCACTGTAAGCCAGCATCATTGTCATCATCATCATCACTGTAAGCCATCATCATTGTTATCATCATCATCATCATCGTCATCATCATCATCATCACTGTAAGCCATCATCATCATCATCATCGTCATCATCATCATCATTACTGTAAGCCATCATCATCATCATCATCACTGTAAGCCATCATTTTTGTGGAACTTGCAAACAACTGTAGGACGGACACTTACTCGTCGGACGATTCATTCACTCATGCTTGTCACAATCGGACACGCTGTTCCAACACTGAAAACAAGACTGATTGATCATTCTCGATCATTACAGCTTAAATAATCTTTCTCTTCCACATGCTGTCAAACATCAGTGTAATTCATGCTCTCTGTCTTTTGGTCTACTGTCCCCAGTTCACCTGCTTGTCTTACATTTGTCGTGAATCACACTTCATACTCAATTCTGTTCACCAGAGTTTAAGTACGTAATTTATTTTTAATATCTAACATCATTACCAATGCAAATATTAATTATCAAGAAGAAAACTCACCCCCACCCAAAAGAAAAAAAAATGTATTCTCATTTATTACCATTATATTTATGTTTACACTGAATATTTGGCAAATTAGAGACTTGATTGTAAGGATTCATTTTTAACATGTTCACTTTCAATGAGTTATGTCAATGTATTTATCCTTGATTCAGTCTTTCATAAAAGAAATGTGATTTGATGGGACTGTGTAGGTGTTTCATAAAATAGATGTGATTTGATGGGACTGTGTAGGTGTTTCTTAAAATAGATGTGATTTGATGGGACTGTGTAGGTGTTTCATAAAATAGATGTGATTTGATGGGACTGTGTAGGTGTTTCATAAAATAGATGTTTGGACTAGAAGGTGCAGATCTTTCATAAAATAAATGTTATTTGATTGGGCAGTACATATCTTTTGCAAAATAGATGTCATTTGATGGGCTAACACTGGTCTTTCCGTAAATAGATGTGATTTGTTGAGAGCGTGCATGCCTTTCATAAAATAGATAGGACTTACCACCTAGTCTTTCATACAGTAATTTACATTACGTGTTGTGATTGTCAATCAATATACATTTCTTATGTTTAGGTATGGAACTCATTTGAAGATTGTAAGTAAAGCTGCAGAGTCAACAGAAGCTCTCACTCACTTGATGAAGCAGGCAGCCTGCTCTCTCAAACTGCAGCAGAAACCATTTAAGACTTCATTAAGTATCCTTGAACACACTGAAGTTTTCTGTCTGTCCGCCCGCCCTCTGTGCGTTCACCAGCTGTAAACTCTGGCTGAAAGTTCTGGCTGTTTGTCCACTTGTGGGCGTTAGTCTTGTTCCAGAACTTGAGTTTTGCGTGCACATCCGTTGTACAGATCTGTCTTATTTGTATTCAGACTGTTGGTTTCTTGCCTCTTAGGCAGATGCACTCTGACTTCAAAGAAAACCCCTAATTAGTCTCTGTTTTACCCCCACAATGGGGCCCAGGGATGCACATGGGGAACTGAAGTTTTTATTAGTGAAGTAATTGGGAGTAAGATTGGCATATCCTGGCATGAGAGGCACACCAGACTTATGAGGAGCCTTGTCAACTAGCCTAGAACTGGTGCTGATGATTGTGGGGCACTATACTTGCTGTGTTCCTGTGCTAGTGAAAATCAAATGAAATGTCCTGCACTGTCTCATCTGAAGAACTGGTGAATAGACAATTAGTCCCGGGAAAATCCAGAAATATGCGTAGGCAGTAAATGCATGTGGCAGTTGCAAGAGGCGCCAAAGCCAACAGTCGCCACCAGGAATGCAGTTTGTTGTTGATGAAAGTAATCGGGCACAGTAAGTTGGCTATACATACAAAGAATTATTACATAAGGTATTTCACTAGCTCACACATAAACTGGCTACTGGCCGTATTGAATACCACGACATCACCGCTGTACAAATGAAAGGCATTCCACATGTAAAACACAGCTCACAGGGCTGCACCAAGCACTAAACTCAGAAACTCTAATGTATAATCTCCTAAGACAACACTGTTGTCTGGAAAGACTGAAAGGTTCCAACAAATTCTTCCAAGATGGGAGAAATCTAGTCACAAGTTTGGTTGGGGTGGGGGATTAATGACATATTGTGAAAACAAAATATATATGATTAGATAGAAGCTATATCATGTAATGATGGTGGTACACATCTTTAAGAAACTTGCAGTAAAACAGGAATTATATTTTATTCAGCTACAACATTATATTCTTACACCTTACATCTCATCATGGGAGTTTTGGTTGAATCACATAATCCTTTTTGTTTAAACAAAACAGAATTGCCCACCTTTGTTCAGATCTCTTCAGAATACCTCAAAAGTTGCCTGTTCTGTTTGATACTAACCTTTAAGGCATAAAATGCCTGAAGTCCGACAGATTGAATTAGTGTAGAAGAATTTTGCTCTTTTATCCAAATGTGGGCTGGAGATATATTCTTCCATAGCATCCCACCGGCTAGTCTAGGCACATTATTCTGTCATCTTGGTTATTTTGGGTTTGTTATTGATCAGTTTTGGGACAGGCCGCATTTGGGGTATGCTGAAATCACTCAGAATAAGAATGGGCACTATCTTGTGTGAACAATAAAAAATTAAAAAAACTATTTGTACTGAATGCAGCATGTGCTTCACAAGTGTGGGTTCCAGGGTCCCATGGTGGGGAAACAAGAATGGACCCACTGCCTACCCCACAAGCATGTTGTTAAGAGGTGACTGATTGGGGAGGGGGGGGGGGGGGTGGCTTCTTTCACAGTTGAAGAGCGTCTGCCTGAGGGCCAAAGAACCAACACTCTGCATACAAATAAGCAAGATCTATAAAACAGATGCACATGCAAAACTTTAGTCCTGGAACAAAGCCGAATTCCAGAAAATGACAAACAACTAGGTCTTTTCCCGGGTGTTGACAGGCGGTGAATGCAAACAAACAACAACACAAGTAAATTATTTCAGATGTCATTTATTTAAAAATTTGTTTAAAATTCAATTCTTCCGTCAGAGATTATGGAATTTCTTTAACCAAAAACCAGAATTCTTGGAGGATACTTATCCGGGTTTTGACTGGTTTACAGCGACTGTGTATCTCATATTTGGTGGTAATGCAGAACGAGCTTGGAAATTCTTGCATAGGTTCTCGGCTCTTCGAGCTTCAGGTTACATGTGGATGGCCAGGTTGCATTCATCTGTGAGTTGCCAGTTTTTTTGGTATCTGAAACTAAATAACTGATGGCTTTACTATTTAATCAGTCCTAGTAAGCAGGCTGGAATCCTTCATGGTGTAGTGGCTAGACACTCGCCTATGGATCAGAAGGTTGTGGGTTCAGGTCTTGACGTGCCCGACTTTGTCTTTTTTAAAGGACTCTGGCTGCCAGGTTGACCCAGCCTTGAAAGGGTACCAGATGGAGTCCTAAAAGTCGGCCAGTTTGATGTTGACCACATCACCCACTGAGTGCTGATTTGTCTATAAAATATTGTTATAGCCTTATAAGCCCAATACACCTACAGGCGTGGAAAGGGTCCTTTCATCATCATGTAGCAGGTCCTTTGCAGAACGTCGCTCTCATCACAGTCTGCCTGAAAGAAACTTGTTCTCTCGCCAGTTCTCCTGCCTCATGCACTTTCACTTTCAAGGAGTTAACTATATCCTGTGCCCATCTTCGTGTCGGTCGGCCCCTGCCCCTCCTTCCTTTACTTTACTTTAAAAAACCAACTTAGTATTGAGGCAGGCCTACAAACACTTAAAATCACCAACTGGAAAAAAAATACCAATAATTCTGGGAATTGAAGAAAAGTTAATTAGTTAGTTAGTTAGTTAGTCAGTCAGTGACAGATTATCCTCATTGCACATCGGAAAAGTCCTTAATCGTTCAGATCCAGTCTTCAGGATATCCCTCAGTGTGTCATCGTCATCATGTAGCAGGTCCTTTGCAGAACATCGCTCTCATCATGGTCTGCCTGAAAGGAACTTGGTCTTTTTCCTGCCTCCTTGAGAGCATTGAGAATGTTGGCCCAGTCAAATGTTTTTCTTCTACCTACCAGCCAGCCAATCTGCTCATTCATTCCCTCTTAGCACAATAAATCCAAAGCACAAAAATTTAACTGATTCCTCTCAGACATGATTTCTCAATGGCGGTAACCATTTCCTTCTAATCCTCCCTGCCTCGATCTTCTGAAATAGGCTTATGGAATCACTTAGAAAGCATGCCTGGGAAAATTATGTGACTATCCACAACATTGCTTTTGTAACCGCTAATACCTCCATAGTCAGACTTCTTGTAGTTGATGCAAAAGCACCTATATCTTATTTTACTCTTCTCCCTCAATCCAGAACCATGAGAAGTCGTGAGTTTTGTATGTGTCGAACAACAGATCAGTTGGTGTGAATAACAGCACCTCCATCATCAGAATTTTCAGGAATTAAGGCTCAAATTTCTGCCTCAACCACCAATGGTCCTTGTTGTCTGCAAATCTCTATCAAATTTTATGCAGACTGAAAAGGATGAACACCACTCTGCTGGCACTCGTACTGATTCCTTACTGTGTTCTATGACCTCCTTCAAACAAACCCGTTGAATATTGTCCTCTGCCTGACCCACCGAGGAATGTCCCCTTGTTATCTTGCTACTCTTCTTTCTGTGAATCTCTCTATGAAGTGGCTGATATGTATCAGCACTGATATGCAGATGTGCATGCACATGCATTGCAAATCACTGTTCTCACTTCCATGGTTGTAAGAACAAGGAGGTAACACTTAGCCCTGCATGATGTATTCTGTGTGCATCCAAGTGTGGTGTGCATGACCTCAATCTGTTTCCTGTCCAGTCTGTCTATCAGTGTGTGGCTAAGGGTCAGAATAGTTAGAGCGTACTCAACTAGGACCAGACCCTGGTATAAGAAAATTAGGTGACGCTGCTTAGTATGATGTTCTTAAAGACAGATGATGTTAATAAAGGACATTATGATGTTCTTAAAGACAGATGATGTTAATAAAGGACAGCATGATGTTATTAAAGGACAGTATGATGTTTTTAAAGGACAGTATGATGTTATTAAAAGATAGTATGATGTTAATAAAGGAGAGTAGGATATTAATAAATGACAGTATGATGTTATTAAAGGAGAGTAGGATATTAATAAATGACAGTATGATGTTATTAAAGGACAGTATGATGTTTTTAAAAGATAGTATGATGTTAAAAAAGGACAGTCTGATGTTAATAAAGGGCAGTATGATGTTATTAAAGGACAGCATGATGTTATTAAAGGACAGTATGATGTTATTAAAGGACAGTATGATGTTATTAAAAGATAGTATGATGTTAATAAAGGACAGTATGGTGTTAATAAAGGGCAGTATGATGTTAATAAAGGACAGTATGATGTTAATAAAGGACAGTTTGGTGGTAATAAAGGACAGTAGGATGTTAATAAAGGCAGTAGGATGTTAATAAAGGACAGTATGATGTTAATAAAGGACAGTAGGATGTTAATAAAGGACAGTAGGATGTTAATAAAGGACAGTATGATGTTAATAAAGGACAGTAGGATGTTAGTCATATAACCTATCTAGTGCCAGTTGGTTGATAAAAGTACAGATTTAGCACTGTATGCCTGATGTGCTTTTCACTTTACTTCTTGTATGTGGTGTCTGTTTAATGACTGTAGACTTTTAAAAAATTAATTATTTGCACACTGTAATTAAATCTGTGTATTATATCATGTTTCAAGCGCCATGTAACCGTTCTTCTTCTTAGCATGCGTTCCTTAACGGTGGCAGGTATTTGAATGTGGTTGTTCAATAATTTATAATGTCATTTCCTGATACTTAATTGCCTCATCCTAATACTGTTAGCAATTCAGTTAAGAAAGTTTGCAGCACTGGTAGTGTTTTTGATGTGGGCCGCCATGGCAGACCATCTTTTTCTGAAGAAACATGTCTGAACATCCAGGAAAGTACACAGATGAGTCTCTGACAATCAGTAATTGCCAGATGGACTCTTGACTTCCAAGTGAACATTCCTAAGTAGCACTTGTTACCATATACTTGTTTAGAGCAGTGGGTCTGTTCTTTGGGTTTTTTTTCCCCCAAAACCCACACAGGGAATTTTTGAGTACAAGTTGTGTGTCTTTACAAGCTAAATTATTGCAGCTGTATGATAGAAGGAGTTAAAGTGACAGTTGTGACAGAAGACCTTCTTCTTCTTCTTTTGTCATCTCACTGATACCAGGTTCTTTTTTGGCTGTTGTGGTTTTTCTAAGCAAATTTATGTCCAGTAGTTTGCCATTGCTTTCTGGATGGTCGGCTTCTCAATACCACTGTCAAAACTAGCGCAAGGCCTGCAGCTGGGATCGAACCTGGCATTACAAAGCGCCTGCGCAACGCCTAAGCCACAGACGCCGACGGTACTTAAAAGAATTAAGAAATATTTACTGTATAAAGACTTATTAAGAAACATATGGTGAGTTGCTTATTACTGAAAAGGGTAATGTTCTTTTTCTGTGACAGCTTCTGCCAACTTCACTTTTGTCCAGCGGGATCCCACCTTTGTTTTCCGGTACAGCCCACAACATTGAACTGCTGCTACAGAATGAACTCCCCTTGGTTGTGTCTGCTTTTAAAATGTCAGGTTACACCCCTTCACAGGTAATATTAAACATTTCTTTTCATCAAATTACCATTAAAGTCAGTAACTTTGCTTATATTTTTTTTTTAAATGTAAATTTCCATAACCAACTAATGCTATGAAGCCATTTGATTAGAATGCATATCGAACTGTGGAAGTTTCACCACTGAGTGACCTCTCAGAGTGTAAAAGTAAAGACCCCTTTTCAGGCCTTTTAGGCGCATCGGGCATATGGGAAGAGCACCCATATTTTTACAGACCATTCAGCACTCGGTGGGTAATGTGGTCAGCATTACGCCGGCCGTCTTTACTTTCCCAGGACATACATCCTGGTACCCATTTTAGGCTGGGTCGACCTGAGATGCCCCGTACCATAATAAAAATCCACGCAGCCAGCAGTGGGTTTCAATCGTGGTACGTTGGAATTAGGCCTAAGCCACAGACGCTGCACCTTACCTCACAGAGTGTGCTCATTGTTAAATAACTTTAGTTTAATCTTTCTGAAGGATCTCTTGTTTCTTCTTCTTTGTTCACCAACTGTAAGCTGTGGAGGAAAGTTATGGTTGTTCATCCATTTGGACTTCAGTTTATTCCTGGGCCTGAGTTTTGCATGTACATTTGTTCTACTGGCTTTTTTGTGTGCAGTTGGTTTTTTGTGTGCTGCTCGAGCAGATGCACTTCAACAAAGGAAGTCCCCAGCTAGTCAACTCCTACAAAATGTTTGTTGGGGAAGCAGTGAGTCTGTTCTTGTTTTCCTCATAGCTGGGACCCTGGAACCCACATGGGGCAATCTCTTTTTCAATTACCATGCTAGAGTATGGGTCTTGTGGAAGGGCGAAGGGGAGAATTCTTTCACGAGAAGACAGATTAAATGACTTACCGTATTTCCCTCATGTTTAAGACTCACTTATTGTCCAAACATGTAGGGTCCAAAAATGTAGGTTCCCCCAAAAAAAAAAACAGTGTGCATCTTATAGAATGGTAGTCAAGTAAAGGACCCGTTTCCACACCGTCAGTCATATGGTGCATATAAGATTGCCTTTACTTCCCAGGGTTTTTACCTGGTATCCACTCAAGGCTGGGAGCCAAAGTCATTTTTTTTTTAAAAAAGGCCGGCTTCTCCAAGACCCAAACTCATGACCTTTCGATTTAAAGGCAAGCATCTAGCCGCTACACCATGCAATTGTAGTATATTGTTATTTTTGTCTCCAAATTTCCGGCCCCAAAATCTAGATATCTCTGTTCATACTAACTTTACACTGGAACAGAGGGAAGAATAGTCGAATATGTGTCAAGACTGATGCAAAGAGCAGCATTACTGCATTTTCCGACTGGTCGTTTGGCAACAAGTCTGTTATTCTAGCTGGCAGTCTCAACTAGGGCTTATTTTTGGGGTAGAGCGTATATCAAAACACCCTGAAAATCTTGCTAAGCTTTATTTTTAGGGTTATATTAAAACACCTTAAAATTCTTGCTAAAGTTTACTTTTCGGGGTAGGGCTTATATTAAAACACTCTGAAAATCTTGTTAAGGTATATTTTTGGGGTTATATTAAAACACCTTGAAAATCTTGCTAAGGTTTTATTTTTGGGGTATAGCTTATGTTCTTCTTCTTCTTCGCGTTCACCAGCTGTACTCTGGCTGAAAGTTCTGGTTGATCGTCCACTACTGAACTGCAGTCCTGCTCCAGAACCTGAGTGTTGCGTGTGCATCAGTTTTACAGATCTCATTCTCTTGAATACAGACTGTTGGTTCCTTGCCTCTCCGCAGATGCACTCCGACTTCAAAGGAGCTCCCCAATTAGTCGACTCTTACGACATGCTTTTGGGGAGGCAGTGGGTCCATTTTTGTTTTCCCCACAATGCGACCCCGGAACCCACACGGGGGATAGCTTATATTAAAACCCCCTAAAAATCTTGCTACGGTCTTTTGGGTGTAGGTCTTAATTTTAGATACCAAACAGTTCACCAAATTTAATGATCATATTATTAGATATATTGACTACCTACCTCTTGTTGACCAGATCTGCATTCATTGGTTGACCCAGTGTTTCTGGAACTATCTAGACTGGCTGGACATTGTACATTACATTGTTGTGTGCGTCTGCATGGGCATCGACTACCAGGTGTACATGTGTGTGGCCATCTTTAGACTGCTGCAGGAGGACATCCTGTCTCACATGCAAACACATGATTTGGTGATATTTCTGAAGGTAGTATTTCTGCGCTCACTTTTATCATTTATTGTCTCATTATTGTTAACACTTTCCTTTTTAAAGTAGTATTTCTCTGCTCACCTTTTTCTTATATTTTCTCATTACTGTTAAAACTTTAATCTGAAAGTAATATTTCTCTGCTCTCTTCATTCATTTTCTCATTATTGTTAACACTTTTCTTCTGACGGTAGTATTTCTCTGCTCACATACTCCATTTATTTTCTTATTACTGTTAAAACTTTTTTTTCTGACTGTATCCTAGTTGTCTCAATCAGTGTTTTATTGTTTCTACTGTGTCCTAATTGTCTCAGTCAGGGCTTTCTTGTTTCCACTGTGTCTTAGTTGTCTCAATCAGTGTTTTCTTGTTTCCACTCTTCCTGTTTGTCTCAGTCAGTGTTTTCTTGTAACAACTTTGTCCTTGTTGTCTCAGTACTTTCTTGTATCCACTATGGCCTGGTTGTCTCAATGAGTGCTTACTTATGTCTACAGTGTCCCAGTTCTAACCAAAACTGTTTTTTCGACTCATTCAGAACTTTCTTGTACTCACTGTGTCCTAATTCGAACGGTAAATGATTCCATCCTAGATGTTAGTGTCACTCAGTTGGTCCCAGACAGTTATGTTATGTTATTGCACAATAGGCATCCCCATGCATGCTCAGTCCTCCAATGCAGCAGCCACTGAAGGTACCTCTACTGATTGTTCCCATGAGGAGTTGGTTGTAGTATCTCCTGTCTTTACCTCGAAGGCGGCATAAGTGTGCTTCACCAAGCTTAACTCCTCGGTCACGCAGTCGTGTTAGTGACAGAGATTCGCCAATATCCCCCAACCTAGTCTGTACAGTGTTGATGATGTCACCTCTGTCCATTCATCTTCCCATTTGCATTGGGGCATAACCTGCCAGCTGTCAGCTCTTTCATTACTACTTAATCCTGCTTGCCCAGGTGTGTAGATCCATGTGAAGATGGTTAACTGCAACTTCAGAATGCTTTCTACCCATTCCTAGCAAAGGCTACCTGTAGCGATTTTCTGAAGCATGTTAATAGAGTCTGAAGCTTGTTCGAGTGCTCTGGAAGCAGCAGTTATCTCTGTGGTCCCGGACAGTGCTTTCTTGTATCTTCTTCTTATTCTGAGTGTTTACCAGCTTTCAGCCACGGTGGAAAGTTCTTGTTATTTGTCTACTTCTGGTCCTGTTCTAGAACTTGAGTTCTGCTTACACATCCATTTCACGTATCTGGTTTATTTGTATGCAGACTGCGGGTTCCTTGCCTCTCCGGCAGATGCACACCGAGTTTGAAGGAAACACCCATAGTGAGTCACTTTGTATGACATTCTTGTTAGGAGGACGGTGTATCTATTCTTTTCCCCTCCAAAACATGGCTCCAGAACTCATATGGGGACTTTCTCGTATCTATCATGAATGAGTTAAAGTAACATCGAAAATTGAAACATTTAGTTATTACTAAGACATAGAAGGTACCAAAAAGTACTGTCTGAAACTGATTGAACTGTCGCAGACAGCTATTACTTTCTTTTCTTCTTTGCCTTTTATCCCCCCCCCCCAACCCTTGCACAGTGGAACATAGGCCTTGAACCTACTCCCACCATCATCCTATCATTTACAACTCACCCCATGTATTTCTCATATTTTTTAACTCGACTTTTCCATGGTTGGTTGGTTTTTGTAGCTATTGTCTTTAAAAAAAAATTTTTTTAGGATGAGGTAGCCGACTCCAAGCCCAATCCTAACCTTAGTTGCCGTTTACAACATCCCTGGTAGGGTGCAGTGATACTATACTTTGTTGTCGCATAAGGGCCCAGGCAACACATCAACATTTGCCATGTAGTCCCTTCTTGTGCAGCAGCCTCCCCAGTGTCAGGGTTTATTTGAAAGGCTTTGAGTGATTCCTTCAGCGTGTCTTTGAAGTATTAGCTTGTTGACCATCAGAGCATCTACCTCCTTTTATCCATGACCTATTACAGAAATATCGTCATCATCATCATATAGCAGGTTCTTTGGAGAACGTCGCTCTCATCAACTTGGTCTCTCGCCAGTTCTCCTGCCTCATGTACTTTCGTACTCAAGGAGTCACTTGTATCCTGTGCCCATCGGTCCCTGCCCCTCCTTCCTGATACCATGCCTTCTGCTATAATTTTTTCCAATTCGTCGTGGCGCTTGATATGACCAAAATATTTCAGCTTCCAAGACAGGATGCTGTTTATTAGCCAATATTCCTTGATGTTCAGATCTTTCAAGATGTCAGTATTTCTCCTCTTCTTTGTCCAAGATATTCTGAGAATCTTTCAATAGCATTTCAGCTCAAAAGCCCCTATTCTCTTTCTTAAGGACTGAGAGTCCACGACTCACATCCGTATGTAGCCACAGGGAAGATGCATGCTCTCAAAATTCTAATTTTGATCTCCTTGCTGGTGCTTAACCATACAAGTTTAAGGCTGTTCAATCTATATATCAATATATAGAAGACAAATATCTCAAGACAATAAATAATGTTTGTCTTACAGGAGGAAGCCATCAGGAACTTCCATGTGACACAGCAGATCAAGTACATGAAGGAGCTGGAGGTGAAGTACAGAAAGCTGGTCCTGTCTGACATCATGGACATTGGCAAGCCTTGACTGAGGTGTCGAAAATAAGGGGTGACTACAGTCCAGCTGATGTCAACAAACTAAATAAACACGATGGCTAGGAAGTTGCAACTTTTGTATGTGCTCACACCTCCACAGTGTTTAGGATATGAATATATTTACTAAAAAAAAAAAACTTTTGGGGGTGGGGGGGGGGGGATTGTGAACCAAAGCCATGTTGATATTACATTTTTTTCTCGGTGATAGAGATCACGATGTTGCGAGATGAGTCACCCAATACATATTTGTTAGGCTTCAGGAAATGTATTTCATTTAATGGTACACTCCTGTTCATGTTTACTGATTACTCCCTTTATGTAACTTTATATATTTCAGGGGGAGGTTTCAGTGCAGGTTAATATATATTTGTTGTTGCTCTTGTTTATTTATTAGTGGTGTGTTAAATATTTTTTTTTTAACAGGACTTGTGTGTGTGTGTGTGTGTATGTGCAAGCACTTCAAGGGGCATTAAGATTATGGCTCCATAGCTCAGCCTATATGTGCAATTTCTCTGGTATTACTAAGCAGCATCATCATTGTCATTCATCTGTCAGCTCCATATTGAAAAGTTACAATTTTCACTTGGCAGCATCAGTTTTTAAGTTTTGATTGCCTGTTTGCATGCCTTATTCTCCATAAAAATAATAGAGTTCTATATGCCACTTTGTGTTGTGTCTATAAATATAATAATGGTAATGCCGCAAACTGATTTCATAAATTGAACATTTTTGAAATTTTTTGGACATATTATGAAGACGAACAAACTTGAAGACTTAAAGTTAGAAAGGCAAATGGTGAAAATGATATTGAGGAGTGACGAGGGGCACTGGCCGACACTCGACGCTTAGAAGAAAGAAAGGATGGATGTATAATCGGACTGCTGCTTTCACTATTGGCATTGGAACTGTCTGTTGGCTGCTGAAGTTGGGGACGGTGCGCTTATTCTTAAAGTCCATGCCGTGTGGTGTTGGTAATCATGTATTTCCACAGCCCTCTGTTTCATGTACTTTCAGTCAACTCTGACACAGAGGATCTTTCATGCCATCATGTCAGACTGTCCAGCATTTTTTTTTCTCGGTCTCCCTCTGCCTCCCCTTCCCTCCAACTTTCCTATTGAGACGATGTACTCCAGTTTTCTCCTTCTCATCACATGACCAAAGAATACAGACTGTCTCTTTCTGATGCGGACAATCAGTTCTCTTCGTGAATCAGTTTCTTTCAAGACATCCTCGTTACTCAGTTTGCACCGAATTTGACACATTAGAGCAAACGTTTTGGCCAGAAAGAACAACAGTGGAACGTAAACTCTATGGACCACTGAATGAACTAACAACGACAGTGAAATTTATACAAGAGACAAAACTGCTGATATAGACAACTTATTTCAGGCTAACGAAAGAAGAAGAAGAAGAAGAACAACAACAACTGTTGACAGAAGATTAGATGGACCATCTATGGGTAACTTCTTCTTCTTCTTCACGTTCACCAGCTGTAAACTCTGGCGGAAAGTTCTGCTTGTTCATCCACTTCTGGACTGCAGTCCTGTTCCAGAACCTGAGTGTTGCATGTGCATCCATTTTACAGATCTGATTCATTTGTTTGCAGACTGCTGGTTCCTTGCCTCTCAGGCAGATGCACTCCAACTTCGAAGGAAGCTCCCAATTAGTAGACTCTTACGACATGCTTTTGGGTAGACAGTGGGTCTATTCTTGTTTTTCCTATAACAGGGATCTGGAACCTATACGATGAATCTATGGGTATGCCCAGTGTGCTATGATGTCCATTCTTAAATCAGTAAAACAGTTTAAAAAAAAAATTAAAGCAAGAGTAAGGTCTCTTTTCCACAACTTTAGGTACATTGGGCATATAGGGCTAGACCTATATTTTTACTTCTGGGGACTGTACCCTGTACCCACTCAAAGCTGGGTTGATCTGGGAGTCAAAGTCATTTTTTAAACAAGTCAAACTCCGCCAGGGAGCGAACCCATGACCTTCCAATTTGCATGCTGGCGTCTAGCCACTACACCAAAGTGACTCCTAGTACATTAGTAAATCTTGCCAAATAATATGGGAGATAATGCTTTTCCGCAAATTGTAATTTCCAACAGCATATATTGGTTCTTGTGCTGACTTCTTTCAGTGAAATGACAAAGGTCTGCCAAGAATCCTCTCTTGTCACTTTCCTTTAAATTTTGTTATATGTAACAAGAGTTATTTTTCTGATGTTCTCTTCTCTTCTTCTTCACTTCCTCTTTTACCGCTGTGGGTGTCGAGGGAGATATAAGGTTCTGTTTCTAGCTCTTCTGGCTGCCTCGACCATAGGCACATCGTACTGTTGTAGAGTTTCTCTGATGTTATCCTTCCATCTTGTTCTTGGTCTACCCCGTGCTCTACGTCCTTCTTCTCTTCCCATGTACGCTTTGTATGGTATGGTGTCACAAGGCATTCTCTCTAAGTGGGCAAACCATTTCACTTGCTGTCTTTGTATGTAATCCAGAATTGGTTCTGTGCCGACCTGTTCTCTTATGATCTCATTTCTGATCTTATCTCTTATGGTCACTCCTACAGCCCTTCTCAGACATCTCATTTCCATGGCTACCAATTTTCTTTTATGGTTTGTTGTGAGTGACCATGTCTGGCACTGGTAGCACAGAGTTGGAATAAATATGCTTTGAATAAGATGTCTCTTTGTGCCGATTGGGACTGTCTTATGCTGTAAGAGGGGGGCTAGCTGTCCCAATACTTGGTTTGCTTTACTGCATCTAATGTCAATTTCTTTATCCAATTTCCCATCTTCGGTAAATGTAGTTCCCAGATATTTAAACTCAGATGCCTGTTTAATGCCTTTGTATTCTATTGCTATGTTTAGATCTGTCTTCTTTTTTCCTATTGACATTACTTCTGTCTTTCAGTGTTGATTCTCATATTATTTGTTTTACATTCTTCATTCATGGATGTTAGATGTTGTTGCAATTTCATGGCTGTATCTGCTATCAAGGCCTGGTCATCTGCAAAGAGTAATTCGTTGATCTTACTAAGATCTTCATTCATGGGCTTGGCATTCTTGCATATACTGTCGATGTAGGTGATAAACAGCAGTGGTGATAAGACACACCCCTGTCTTACTCCAGATGTCACTGTGAAAGGATAAGATGTTCCCTGATTTATTCTAACTACACTTCTACAATCCCTGTATAAACTTTTGCACACTTCTGTGTTCTGATGTTCAATAGTATTTATTTCAAATAAAGTCACTCTCATGTTATACAAAAATATAGTAAAAAGTCATAAAAATTTATTTCAATAAATAGATCCTTTCATACTGACACATGAAATTCCTTTTTTTTTTTTTTTGGGGGGGTGTCTTTTTAAATAAAAAAAATAAAAATTCTAATCCTCATATTCACACAAATACCACTCCCATCATTGCTGTATAAGATAACTACAACAATCAGAGTTGACTTTTTAAACTAGCTTCATAAGTCTTTGCCTTTTCCAGTCTTTGATTTATTTTGCTGTTTATCAACAAAACAATGGGGAAAGCTTAGAAATATTTCATTAAAAATAATTACATTTGGATTCATTCACCTTTTATAACGAGCTACTTTCTTTAAATGTCATAAACGGAGTGCTTAAATGTTATGCTGAATGTGTTCTGATGTATGGCAGTAAATCTTGTTTGTAACTGAACATTGTAGAGACACACCTGGTAGGCAAGGTAGAGGCACACCTGCTAAGCAAGGCACAGGCACACCTGCTAGGCAAGGCAGAGGCACACCTGCTAGGCAAGGCACAGGCACACCTGCTAGGCAAGGCACAGGCACTTGGTAGGCAAGGCACAGGCACACCTGCTAGGCAAAGCAGAGGCACACCTGCTAGGCAAGGCACAGGCACACCTGCTAGGCAAGGCTGAGACACACCTGCTAGGCAAGGCTGAGACACACCTGCTAGGCAAAGCAGAGGCACACCTGCTAAGCAAGGCACAGGCACACCTGCTAGGCAAGGCTGAGCAAACCATGAGAGATGATGCTGGATGGTGGGCTGAAGGAAAATCATCAACAGAAATGATAAAGAAAACTAACAACCAAGATCTAGGGAGAGCCATGGATACATGTAATCTAGTAAGGCATGGTCTTTTTCTGTGATCTCCCTTACAAGGTCGGTTGGCCTGTTAGGTTGTGGTTAACAGCTAGGCTGCAGTATCTGCACCTTTCATCCATACACGTCTCAATTCACCTTACCATTAATTCTTCTTCTGCTTTCTATTCCCTCAGTGGAGCATAGGCCTTGAACTAACTCACACCAAGTCATTCTGTCCTTCACTTTGCATGCAGCTCACCCCATGTCCTCCCTACCTTTTTAACTTCATTCTCTAGCTTCCTTCTCCATGTGTGTGTGTTTTTGTGTGTCTTTGGGATTCCATAGTGCCCCTTCAATGTCCAGACAGATTCTCCATCAGTGCTGTCAAAAAGCTATTTTAGTCTATAAATCCGATGTACAGTGATGAATTCAATTCAGTGTTTTGCTCTACTATTATGCACAGTGTTGCTACCCTGGTCAGAACAGATTCTACTTAGCTGAAAATTGGCCTGTTCACCTCTTAGCTTTTTATCGATAGCATCTTTTAGTTTTTCCAAAATAATCCTACTTAATATTTTTCCAGAACCAACAACAATATATTTCCTTGATAGTTTTCACACTCCTGCAGATCACTTTATTTTTGGGCAGCTCACAAGAAAATCCTTGATTAGTTGCCTTTTATGACATGCTTGTTAAGGGACAGTGGATCAATCCCCCCCCCCCCCCATTTTTCCCCCCTTAAAAATGGGCACTCAGGAAACATCCATAGGTGCTCAGATTTCCCTCTCAACATATTCATCAGCGTCGTGTGGTTAATAGTACCAGTCCTATGTTGGTTAACAAGACTTTGTGTGCATCCAGTGTGCTTCTCATGCTTGGCTGTGCCAATCTTTACACCCAGTTCACGTATTCTTAGAAGTGATGTGGACACGTTGCTTCCAAAATCCTCAGAACGTCCTATCTCTCTAAGGGCAATGACAATGTCTGCGTGATCCATGGGCTGGCCATCTTCAATTAATGCCGTACCTGCCAGTCTATCAGCTCTCTCATTACCACCAACGCCTGCATACCATGGGACGAATATGAAAGTAACTGCACACACAGGAGAATTTTGCAATGACTCAAGCCAATGTCTGCATAACCAGCCTGCCTCGACCCACCGGATCATGGGAAATCAAGGCAGCTGTGCTAAGAAATGCTGCATGCTGTCTATATTTATGTAAATAAAAAGCAGCAGTTATGGAGACACTGTTTCCGAAGATATACCAGTGTTTGCATGTGCTGGGAATATAGTACTGTTAAAGAGAAGATCCTTGACCAAACAACACACAAATGTTAAATGTGTTTGTTTTAATTAACCAGTCAAGCTAAGAGACACTGCACTGCTTCAGATTGGTGATCCCAGAATGAAGTTTTTAAGTGGTAAAAGTTTTTGTTGGGAAGACTGTGTCAGTGTCAATGATGATCCACAAGACAGACAGCACCCTGACTCCTGCCCGTATATTCAGCAAGTTTTCCTGACTTAGCACTGGCTATTTGTTTATTGTTATCTTGCCCCAGATGGGAACCGAAAGGGTTAGAATGGCAAGGCAGCAATTCTGATGAGTACAGCTGATGTCTGTGATAGACAGTAATGACAACAGCAGACATATATACTATTTTCTTAAGGGTTAAGCACACATCCCTTGTAGGAAACACACTGCTCTGTAGAGGTTTGGGAAGCCATGGTGGCACAGCGGCTAGACATTTGTCTACCGACCTAAAGGTCTTTAGTTCGAATCCATATTAAGGTTGTTTTTTGTATTTTTTTTTAATTACCATGGCTCTCAAGGACCGACTCTTAAAAAAAAAATTGGTTACCAGGTAAAGTCCTAGGAAGTAAAAGTGGCCTTACTGATAAAATGAGTCTGACATTATATGCCTGATGTACCATTAGCGTGAAAACGGTCCTTTACTTTTAAATATTTCCCAAGATACGAAGAGTATGCTTTAGTTCACCCTTTTGAAACAATTCTTTCTGTAAGGATTTAACCATGGTCACACGTTACGTGATCCGCCGATGTTTAGACCTGGCTACTTTAATCACATCCCCTGCAATCATAACTTTCAATGCTGTCATGGTAAAATTACAACTTTTGTGATAAATATAGATTGAAGCCCTTAGTCCATTAATTTTTCTATGTCCTGTAAGGGAAACAATTATGTAGTGATTTAAAGAAAATTTTTCACGACTTCTATTTAGTAAGCTCCCATATTAGTGACGAGTAAGGCAGATGTTTTAACAATAACGGCCGATCATCAGAACTGGCACGTTAGCAACATTTTAGGAAATATTGCTGGTGTTATGGGTGGTTTTCTTTATGTTTTTGCTTTTAATTAGAAAGTGAAGGTGAAGACATTTCTGAACAGTTTGCTGACTCTGACCTTGATAATTCTTATGAACTGCCATCAAAAACATTGTTAAAATTGAAATAATGACCTTTCGCTTGCTTGTCATCAGTGGCAGTGAAGTGGCAGGTAAGTATCTTATGTTACACTAGTTTGTGTAGATTCTTTCATGTATGTGCTTCAGAAAAACAGAGAAATTTAAGTATTTGGAAGCAATGTTCACCTCCGACAGAAAACTGGACAGAGAAATTAGCTCGAGATGTGCCAAAGCTAATCAAGTAATGGGGCAACTATCTCCCTTGTTGACACACAAGCAGATACCCCAGAGTACTAAAGTGAATCTTATCAGAACTATTTTTTGGCCAACACTATGCTATCAGTGACACTCACATCCTCCAATGAATGTAAAATTGTGACAACAGAGATGAATTACCTTAGAAGAGCTGACGGAGTTTCAAGGAAAGACAGAATACGAAATCACAAAATTAGACGAATGCTAGGAATAAAGCCAGTCTTACAAGTCATCAAAGAACAACAAATGAAGTGGTTTAGACACCTAACAAGAATGCCCTGCTACTATCTGCCACAGCTAGTCACACTAAAACATTACAAAGGGTATAGAGCGAGTGGAAGACCTTCGAAAATATAGAGTGATGGCATTAAGAACAGCCTTACAGAAATGAACATCAGTCTTAATAGTGCTCTTGACAGAGCTAATCAACGAATGTTACATCTCCCCCCAACACTTCGCTGAGGTACAAGGTGGAAGAGAAGAAGAAGAAGAAGAAGAAGCAGAAAAAAGCTACAGATGTGTGTTGTTAGATGTGTCTGTTAGTGTTGAGTGTGTAAATTATGACTCTCTAGCTTAAAGTTTAGTGAAAATGGTTTCACAATGCAATCGTTGACAATTACCTGGGTGTCATTCCTGGAATAGGCAGTTTGGGAAAAGATCATTCTTGTGACTTTTTGAGTTTGACAATTCAGTCACAGAATGTATCAGAAATTCTTGGTGCAAAATGGCAAACAGCCACTGAAACTGCAGAATTTTATTTCACAGTTAGGCAGAACTCTCATTAAGAATTATTTCAGCAAGTTATACTGGTGTCAGATAGAAGATTTTTAGGTTGCCTTTTTTTTTTTTTGGGTACTAATCTATAGCTACATCATGATGATTTTAAAAAAAGATTATGCAATTTTTGTTCTTGAAATATGTTCTTCATTCAATTTTGTGCAAAACACAAAACATTATGAGTAAACATTAAATAATTGTAAAGCTATACAATTTTAGTACACACTAGAAATATGTAATATCTGGGAATTTCAAAGGTTAACAGATTAAAAGGTTAACAGGCTTGGTAGTCAGTGGGTTAACTGATATAATCTCTATATGGTGAACTAACAAAATTCCCTGTCTTGCTTTCTAAAAAGATTCAGCATTCTAACTGGCAAAGATCAGTGTCTCAATCTTTACATTAGCTTACAGTTTTGCCTTCTTTAAAGATTCAGCATTCTAACAAAGATCAATGTCTCCATACTCAACATTCACACTGACAAATACCAATATCTCCATGGGTACATTGGCTGACAATGTTACTTTCTTCAGAGACTCAGCATTCTAACAAAGATCATGTCTCCATGCTGAACATTCACACAGGCAAAAACCAATGTCTCCATCTATACATTGGCTGATGTTGCCTTCTTCAAGGACTCAGCATTCTGGTAGATCTCCCTCAGTTTTCACACTAACAAATACCCAATATCTCCATGGGTACACTGACAATGAGCCTTCAGAAGAGAACAGGATACTTTAACTATTTAATGTCTCCATTTATTTGATGTGCCTTCCAAGGACTCAGCATTTGTTAATTTAACTCATTCTGTTCTAACAACTTGTTAATTTAACTCATTCTGTTCTAACAACTTGTTAATTTAATTAGTTCTTCTTCGGCTTCTTTTTTCACATTCACCAGCTGTAAACCGTGGCACAAAGTTCTGGTTGTTCATCCACTTCTGAACCTGTCTGGTTCCAGAACTTTTGCATGCACAGCCATTTTACAGATCTGCTCACTTTTATTGCAGACTGTTTATTCCTCACCATTCAATCAAATGCACTCCAACTCTGGTGAGGAAAACCCTAATTAGTCGCCTTTTGTAACATGCTTTTTAGGGAGGCAGTGGATCTATTCTTCCCCCCCCCCCCCCCCAAAAAAAAAATTAGGTTCCAAAACCCACAAGGTAATAACTCATTCTGTCCTAAATACTTGTTGCTTTAACTCATTCTAACATGTTCGAATTCCCTGGAGAAAAAAAAATCATTTCAGAAAACAGCCATGTTACATAGGTCACTGATAAATTTACTAAAAATTCATTTGTCTAACTTTAAAAAAAAATAATTTTTCTATATTAAAGATTTATAAAGAGGTAATTTAAGTAAAAAAAAAAAAGTAAAAATCCCTTTTCATGCCTTTAGGCACATCGGGTATATGGTGGGTAATGTGGTAAGAATTACGCCGTAAAGAGGTAATTACTAAACACAAACAGGGTGAAGTATTCAATGGAATACATTTCACGGAATGATCTAGTCTTCTCGTGGTGACGGGTTAAAGCATTCTGTCTTAAGAACTTGTTACTTTAAAACATTCTGTCCTAAGAACTTGTTATTTTAATGAGTTAGATTCGAAGACTTGTTACTTTAACGCATTCTGTCCAACGAACTTGTTATTTTAATGAGTTATATTCGAAGAACTTGTTACTTTAAGTAATAAGTTAAATTAGTAATGCAGTGGATACCTTCCCACTGTGGAGTTCCCGGAAACGAAAAAGCTGATAAACTAGCTAAGGAAGGTGCAACTGAAGAACAACCTGACATACCAGTCTCTTATCAACAGAAGAAGAGAATGATCAAATCAATCAGAATGCCACCGAAACTGGCACAAGATGATTACCATATTATGGACAGACCAGAGCAAGTTATTATCCTTCGCCTTAGAACAGGGCACAATAGACTTCGCTCCCACATGTACAACAAATTTAAGATTGGCCAATCGGCCATGTGTACTTGTGGACTGGCACCTGAAACAACAGATCACATCCTTCAAGACTGTCCCATATTCAACGCTTTCAGGCAAAACATTTGGCCAAAAGAGACACTTGTGGAAGTCAAACTTTACGGGCCGCTTAGTGAATTACAAAAGACAGTGAAATTCATACAAGAGACGGCTTTGCAGATATAGACAATTTATTTCATGCGAACGAAAGAAGAAGAAGAAGTAATAAGTGTTTGGTTCTGAAGAAATTAAAATATAATACCATGAGACAGCAGTATTACATTAACTATTAAGACAGAATGCATTAGTATAACAACTGGACCAGAGCATTCGGATATGAGTAGAATCAATGAATAAATGGTGAATTGCTTGGCAAGCCCATATACCATTTCAGGGTAAAGACACAAGAGACTTTACATGTCCACGTGCCAAGGGATTTTAATTAAGCATAATTTCTGCAAGGACTGTCTATATTGCTCACTCTCTTGATGTTTGATCCATTACACTAGGATCACAGGAAGTATGTCATTCTATTCTTATTTGTAAAAGTTTATAGTGAGTTTATATTAGGTCTTCTGGATTACCAACATGTTTTGTTTAGAGACTGTGAATCCAGGTTCACAACTCTGACATACCAAGTTTCAAAGTCAGCTGTGACAATTTTGTTGCAGACATTTTGTATTGAGTACAGTACATACTTGTGATAGCAACAATGGTTCTGAAATCCCATGCTGTAATTGTGGGAGACTTTTATTAACATGAGCTACTTACTCTTATTTTAGTTTAGTTTAGTTAGCGGATCAATATCATGGAACACAGGGGTAACCCATATGTTCTGCATTCTACTTCTAACTGAAACCTGAGTCTGAAGAATCTCAGCTCAGTGAACCAACTCTGTAGATTCAGCGAGGATCTTACAACTAATTTTGGGGTAGATTTAAAACTCCAAATTGTGCCCCAGCAGCACCATTAGGCTTTTCTTTTTTGATTTCCAACTGCCAAGGGATTTTTCACGTGCACAAAAATACACACGGGTGTCTGGTCTTACTACCCAGAGAATAGGGCAAAATACTAGAAGTCCACGTAAAAAAAATCCCAGCCTCCACTGGGGTTTAAACCATGGACTCCATCACTTGAGGTGGACACCATACCTTGAGACCACTCAGTCCCCCTAGTTACACCTGCCATCACCATGAGTCGTTATTCCTATGCCTGCATACAGCTATATATTTCTCTCGGGGAAGACAGAAAGGTGCAAAAAAAAACTTTGCACTGACTTTGCCAACGTTATGAGCATCATACCGTTCATTAGTTCAGTGAGTCATGGCAAACTAGTAAACATATAATTGTCCAGTAAAACCAAACAACAGCCAATAAATCAGAGAGCTGGTCTGTAATGTTCTGAAAAGTATATGCAACTGGTTTTACGTCTGAAGTTAGACACAAAACAATGTATCTTTAAGACAGTCTGCTCCAAAAGAACATGGTTATAATTATAATTAAAATCCAGTACTTTTATCTTTGTAGAAAAACATGCCGGATACTCACTGAAAAGTGTCTAAAAAAAGGGGGTGGGCAGTACTCACCACAAAGTGTCCAAAAATATTGCAGGTACTAATCATCAAGTGTCTGTTACAGTGTTACTGGGGGAAAAAATGATGTCTAAAAAAGGGTGCCAGTACTGGGCACCTTTGTGTATCACCTCAACAAAAAAGACACAGTTGTAATGATGGCATATTCAAACTTAAAAACAGACAAACCTAAGTTAGAGTTGGCTGCGGATGTGTAAGAGCTGATGACATCTTCAATTCCTCCTTCTTCTGAATACACGGGTCCATCATCCCACATGAGGTCAAACAAACCAATCCTCTTTTCTCTGCCCGTCAGTCTGAAAGACAACCAATAACCACAAACAATCGACCTCCACTCTTCTGTATTAGAAATAAAAGTGTTACCACTGCTTCAGATAAAACCCATTTACATGATCAAAATACAAACTGGTAATGCCACCATTTTCTTATCTTCTTTGGGGGCTGTGTGGTCTTGAGGCATGGTGTCCACCTCAAGTGCTAGAGGTTCCGGTAAGGGCTGGGATTTTTTCACATGGACTTGGACTTCTAGTAATTCCCCCTGGTCTCTGGGTAGTGAGATAGATGCCCCTTGCAGTTGGAAATTGAAAAGAGTAGCCTAACGACACTGCCCAGGCAAATTTTTGAGTTAAATTTCTACCCAAAGTATTTCAGGATCCTCACCGGTGCTACAGATCCTGTGCACTGTGCTGAGCTTCTTCGGACTTAGACTTGAGTGAGAAGAAGAGCAGAGCACTTGTGAGTTACTACCCGTGTGCCATGATGTTGATCCGTTGTTCAAACCTTAAACCCCAAACCTCTTACCTTCTTTGTGTTTATCAGCGCTAAACTCTGGCAAAAAGTTCTGGTTGCTTAGGTCGTTCATCTACTTCTGGATTTAGCATTGCTTGCACATCTGTTTTACAGATCTGACTTGTTTGTGTGAAGACTGTTAGTTCCTCACCTCTCAGGCAGATTTACTCAGACTTTAAAGAAAACTCTGATCCTGTCCATTTTGGCCCGGCCCCTATTAGGGCACCTGTTGCTAGAATGACTGTGACGAGCTGTAGTAGGTGTTGACCAGCGTGAGCCTTGGTCCTGGTGTACTCCGTGTGGTTCAACATTTCTGCATCCCAGTTGATGCCGCTTAAAATAGGTACCAAGGCATTTTATGGGAAGTATAAGCGACCAGCATGAGAACAACCCTCCACACTTACTGAGTTTAGAATGATCTTTAAAATACAGAGAAAAGAACTAATATATCTGAGTTATAAGTTAGATTATCTTCACAGCAGTCCGGACACATCCTTAGGTGCTCAGATTCTCCTCTCAACCTATTCATCAGCGTCGTGCGGTTAATAGTACCAGTCCTATGTTGGTTAACAAGACTTTGTGTGCATCCAGTGTGCTTCTCATGCTTGGCTGTGCCGATCTTTACTCCCAATTCGCGTATTCTTAGAAGCGATGTGGACACGTTCCTTCCAAAATCCTCAGACCGTCTCTCTAAGGGCAATAACAATGTCTGCGTGATCCATGGGCCGGCCATCTTCAATTAATGCAGTGCCTGCCAGTCCGTCAGCTCTCTCATTACCAACAATGCCTGCGTGCCCTGGGACGAACTAATATATCTGTTACCCTAAGAGTGACTCACGACCTTTTTATTTTTAGACGTATCAGGAATGCTGATTTGGGTCCTGTTTTGACAACGGACAATGTGATCTGTAGAGCTCTTTTCGACCTAGGCAGTTGTTACTTTCTATCCCATCGTCATTGTACTTTTGAGTATCAATTTTTGAGACTTAAAAGAAAGAAAGTAAGGGATCCTTTTAACACCACTGGCACACTGGGCGTTTTATGGACCAACTGATCTATTGAACTTCTGGACAATATGGCCTATAGGCATGTTTACTGTTTTAATTCATGGCATGGTTTTGCTTCTGACAGTAGTTAGCTACTATATTTTCTTCCAGGTGTAGACTGAAAGGATAGAGTTCTGTCATCCAGCTACCAAGCTGAATGCTCTGTTAGCTGCAGATTTCATTTGGAATGCTTTTTCACTGTGAACAAACATGGTTTGTTTTGTGAATTGCATATTCAGAAGATGGCAAGCAGCCTTTGTCAGACAGATAGCGGGGTGTCTTATGCAGTTAACTGTGTGTGCCACTACTGATCTGCTGCTTCTATCAGTGATGAACCGCATTTCTAGTGTTGGGACTGTCAGTAATGGCACTCCTGATGGCTGTCTTATGCATTTAGTGTGTGCCTATGCTGTTGGATTTGCTAAGACTGTAGTACGTGTTAATTTTTTTCCACAAGGGACAGTGATGGACATTCTGTGTGGTTTTCATTGGCTAGGTTGAGGTTTGAACAACGGATCAACATCATGGCACACGGGTAGTAACCCATAAGTGCTCCGTTCTTCTAACTAAAGTCTGAGTCCAAAGAAGCTCAGCACAGTGCACAGGCTCTGTAGCCCCGGCGAGGATCTTAAAATACTTTGGGTAGATTTTTCATGCCCGGGCAGCGCCGTTAGGTTACTCTTTTCGATTTCCAACTGCCGAGGGATTTTTTACGTGCACAGCGATCATCCAATCTCGCCACCCAGGGACCAGGGGGAATTACTAGAAGTCCAAGTCTACCTGAAAAAATCCCAGCCCTTACCGGGGATTGAACCCGGAACCTCTAGCACTCGAGGCGGACACCATGCCTCAAGACCATGCAGCCCCTATTAGCTTGGGAACAGAGCAACTATGGGTTGACCCGTTGATGTGAAGTTGAAACTGTGATTACCTTATCTTACCTATAGACCAACCAGTCCTCACATGACATTGTTATGAAAAGAATGAACTAAGATAATAATTATACCACAAATTGTGTCGACTGATGGCAAGCTATGACCGGCGACTCTTACCGACATGACACATGATGATGATATAATTTAACTTGCAGCAATAAAGATTCACACAGCCACATTACCTATTACCTGTTTATCTGCATTAGTTTCTGATCTGTTCTGCAAAATAAACATTCACACAACCCCATTACCTGATCACCAGCCCCTAGTACATGATGTCACTTGCAATGATAAACATTCACACAACCCCATTACCTGATCACCAGCCCCTAGTACATGATGTCACCTGCAACAATAAACATTCACACAACCCCATTACCTAATCACCAGCCCCTTATACATGATGTCACCTGCAACAATAAACATTCACACAACCTCATTACCTAATCACCAGCCCCTAGTACATTATGTCACCTGCAACAATAAACATTCACACAACACCGTTACCTAATCACCAGCCCCTAGTACATTATGTCACCTGCAACAATAAACATTCACACAACACCGTTACCTGATCACCAGCCCCTAGTACAGGATCTCACCTGCAACAATAAACATTCACACAACCCCATTACCTAATCACCAGCCCCTAGTACATGATGTCACCAGCAACAATAAACATTCACACAACCCCATTACCTAATCACCAGCCCCTAGTACATGATGTCACCAGCAACAATAAACATTCACACAACCCCATTACCTGATCACCAGCCCCTAGTACATGATGTCACCTGCAACAATAAACATTCACACAACCCCATTAACTAATCACCAGCCCCTAGTACATGATGTCACCTGTAACAATAAACATTCACACAACCCCATTACCTAATCACCTGCCCCTAGTACAGGATGTCACCTGCAAACATAAACATTCACACAACCCCATTACCTAATCACCAGCCCCTAGTACATGATGTCACTTGCAACAATAAACATTCACACAACCCCATTACCTAATCACCTGCCCCTAGTACATGATGTCACCTGCAACAATAAACATTCACACAACCCCATTACCTAATCACCAGCTCCTAGTACATGATGTCACTTGCAATGATAAACATTCACACAACCCCATTACCTGATCACCAGCCCCTAGTACATGATGTCACCTGCAACAATAAACATTCACACAACCCCATTACCTAATCACCAGCCCCTAGTACATGATGTCACCTGCAACAATAAACATTCACACAACCCCATTACCTAATCACCAGCCCCTAGTACATGATGTCACTTGCAACAATAAACATTCACACAAGCCCATTACCTAATCACCAGCCCCTAGTACAGGATGTCACCTGCAACAATAAACCTTCACACAACCCCGTTACCTGATCACCAGCCCCTAGTACAGGATGTCACCTGCAACAATAAACATTAACTGCAACAATAAACATTAACTGCAACAATAAACATTAACTTCAACAATAAATATTAACTGCAACAATAAACACTAACTTCAACAATAAACATTAACTGCAACAATAAACATTAACTTCAAAAATAAACATTTGTTGTGTGCAATATATGGGAAGGGAAGTTCATTGTTGAACGTGGGACTTGGTGCGGTGCGCACACATTGAACGTGATGTAGAGAGAGAGAGAGAGAGTGAGTAACGGTGGACTCTACTACGCTGTGTAGGAAGCCTGTTCTAATCTGGATGGATCCAGGCTGGTCCTGCATAACTGTGTTACGCTGGCGGTAGGGTACGGGCTGTCTGTGAGTGTTGTTACAGCGGTCGCGCCAGCGTGACAGACGCTCGTGTGGCCGCAGACGAAAGGTCTGGACAAGTTTCACAATGTACTGTGCATCGGCCTGTATGATTCTGCTATGACAGTGTACCCAAGGGATGGGTGTCATAGATGTAGACACATAACCACGAGCAGTGAGTTTGCACGAGCAGGTAATGTTTGCTCGTAGTTGACCACGGAACAGGGTGGCAGTAGAAGTAGCCCAGAGCGTCCGTAGTGTGTGTTGCCTTGCCAGTAGGAATGACTGTGGCGGTGTAACGTTTTATTCTCGTGATGCCTTTCATTGTTTTGGTGTTGAAATTAGAAATACATTAATTCTGTTTGACGTTCAACATGTATCCGGCGTCCTTATTGCTGTTGGGCGGGAATGGTGACTTGTTACTGTAACACTATTTAACATACCATGGATACTTGGCAAGTGTGCGTTGTATCAAGCGAACATTCGCCCACGTCAATGGGGAGCCAAGCCTTTAAAGAATGAGGGACCTCTGGTCACAAGTGTGATACGACATTTTGTCCCATTGGTTTTGTTCTTTAGTCAGAAGTATCGTCAATGGGGGCCGAAGACTGTCCCGGAGAATTCATAATTAGGCACTGAAACCTGGCCTAGAGAATTCTTCATTGGGAACCAAAGTCTTGCCCACAGAATTGGTCACTGGGAGGAGATATCATCGCCTGTGTCATCGAAGTCAACCCGTGTTG